GTTTAGAAAAATATTTTTAAACTCTAATAAAATTATTTTTAATATTCCCAATTTTCTAGAAAATTTACAAAAATTGTTTTGTTCTCAGCAAGCTGGTCAGAAGCTTGTAGTGATTATGACAAATTAATTTTGGAATTAAAAAATGAGAAGGAATATGCAACAGATTATGAAATTGGGAAATTGGTAGCTGAGGAAAATGAAGAAATTGCTAAAGAATATCAAGTGAATTCTATCCCGACAATTTTGGCTTTTCAGGTTTTTTTAATTTTTTTTTAACTTTTTTCCTTATGAGGGAGTCATTTTTAACATTAAAAGCAAGTTTACAGTCTATTTTAAGAAAATTTATTTAAGATGTTCTGTGGTGTATCGGCGCGCCCCAAAATGTCCTAATGAACAAAAACCCCCAAAATGTCCTCCCTCAAAAATGTCCCATCTCAAAATGTCAAACATATTAAAATATTCAATTCATCGAACTCAAAATTAAAAACAAATAGGGGACTATTGGTCCTAATGAAAAAACCATTTTCCGGAAAACATTTTATGGGTTTTCCGGAAACCTTTTTTCCGGATTTTAAATTAAAATTGCCCGAATTTCAAAGAAGGAATGGGGTAGGACATTTTCTGGGTAGGACATTTTAGGGGAGGTCGTTTTGGGGGTTTTTGTTCATTAGGACATTTTGGGGGGTTTTATTCACTAGGACATTTTGGGGGGTTTTATTCACTAGGACATTTTGGGGGTAGGACATTTTGGGGCGCAGCCCTCGGTTACTTCTGTAAAGGGGTCTGGGGTTCGAATCCCTTTGGTTTTATTTATTTTTTAAATAATTATTAAAATGATTATTTTAATTAATTCTAAATAATTTTTTGACTTAAAATTAATTTTTTACATTTTTTTATAGAAAGGAAAATTAATTGACCGTATAGAAGGCTTCATTCCAATAAAACTTAAAGAGTTATTAATTAAATCCACTTTTGATGCAATTGCAGCAAAGAAGGAAAATATTGATAAATTGAGAGAGACTGCAGAGAAAACAGAGGGGGAAGTAAAAAGTGAAGAAAAACAACAAGAAGAGGTTTATTAATTTAAAAAAATTTAAAAAAAAATTTTAAAGTTAAATGAACGACTTAAACGTTTAATAAATAAAGAACGTTTGACTCTTTTTATGAAGGGATCGCCAACTGAACCAAAATGCGGTTAGTTAAATAAGAAAATTTTTTTGAATAAATTTTTTGAATAAAAATTAGTAGAGATCGAGCTGGGCCTGGACCAAGGCTTAGTTTTTTCCTGTGCCTAGACCAAGGACTGGATTTTCTCCTGTGACTAGATTCCAGGCCCAGGCATTTTTTGGCCTTACCGGGTTTTTCCTGGGCTCCCAGGCCCCGGCCCAAGTCAATAAATTTCAATTTTTTTTTTGTTAAACTTATAAAAGCAAAACGGAATCCAGCAAAAAAGCCACAGGCCCAGGCTTTTCAAAAATCCCGATCTCTAAAAATTAGTTACAAAATTTAATTCTTTTCCAGGCTTCAGTCAACAAATTGTCAAACTTTTAAAAGCCCACAACGTCCAATTTTGGACCTTTGATATTCTTTTGGACGAACAAGTCCGTCAAGGATTGAAAGTTTATAGTGATTGGCCTACTTACCCACAACTTTGTTTGTTTTTTGAATTTAAAATAAAAAGAGAAAAATTTTTTAGATCTCGATGGTGAACTTTTGGGAGGTATTGATGTGGTAAGAGAAGAAATGAAAGATCCTGCTTTTGTTGAAAAATTGCCTAAACTTGGTTGAGGATTTTTTGACTTAAAATATGTTTGTTTTCTTCAATAAATTATTTTTTAATTAAATCTGTTGTGTTTGTTTCTATGCTTAGGTCCAAGGTTTATGAAAGAAAACGGAATTTTTTGAAATTTAAAAATCCGCGAAACCTTGGCATAATGTTAATGGTCACATTTAGAAATTTATCTGAAAAATATTTTAAAAATATATAAAATACTTAAAAGATAATTTAAAGGTAATTTAAAACCTTTAAAATAAAATTTTTAAAAAGTTATTAAACAAAAAATCAAAGAATTAGTATGAAAAACACATAAATATGGCAGCATTGAGGTAGTTAAAAGAATATAAAAAATTTTTTATTAAAGGCAGTTAAGAAAAAAAGCGTTTTTAAATTTAAAAAAGTATAAACGATTAAAAAATATTGAAACTATAAAAGTTAGAAATTTGCGGATAAAATTTGCGGACAGAAAATTTCAGACAAAATTTGAACTTTTTAATTCTCTTTTTTTGGTTTCAATTTTCTCATAAAAATTGGATTACACATCAAACCATTATCCACTAAATACTACATACTATGAATTTAAAATTTTGTCCACAAAACTTGTCCGCAAAAAATTTTTTTAAACAAATTTCCCTTCTAATATGCTCTAAATAAAAAATATTTTTTGTTCTTTAATTTTAACCATCTCTTATTTTTTTGAGTTTTTATTACTCTTCTAAACTTAATTTTTTGGAGATCTTCATACTTTTCTGGCGATGGTAAATTAATTCTATAAACAAAAGGCTTTAATTTAGTCCAAACTTTTTTCTTTTTAATAAACAAAAAATTCTTTAAAAAATTGTAAACATAGTTGCATAAGTATTCCGGATCACCAGTATCATAATAATAATCAGGTCCATGTTTAGCACTGGGAAAAATATTTTTCTGGTAAAAAAACTTTTGTTTGTCCGCAACAATTCGATGACATATTATTTCACGAAATTATTTTTCAAAAAATGGGGTAACTTAAACTTATGGAACAGTGTGCAGACACTGGGGCGACAAAACGAATATACTAAAGTTCAAACAGTTACTAATCAATTTGAGAATTTGCGACCTTTTCTTAAGAAATTTACTTGTTACCTAATTCAGTTAGGTATGTCCATCCTGATATACCGTATTTATTCTAATAAAATGGCCCCTCCATTAGAATGGCCCCTCCAATAGAATGGCCCCTTTTTGGGGGTAATGAAAAATAGAATGGCCACCTCCATTAGAATGGCCCTCTAATAGAATGGCCCTTTTAACTAATAAGTATATGCCTGAATACATTTCTTTATTTTCCTATTATGTATTAAATATTACTCTTTAGTAAGGGTAATCATAATATTTTCGAGCAAATCTGGAGTCATCAAAGGGAGATTAAGAGGGATATTAGGGGATTTGAGAGGATTAGGAGGGATATCAAGAAATTACAACGATTTAATGAAGTCCTCCTCCAAATCTCTTTAATGAAGTCCTCCTCCAAATCTCTCCCAATTCCCATATATTACGTTCAAATTCCGAGATCCCACGAACTTTTATGAGTAAACTACACCGGAAATTTTGATTGTCTGGCACCAAAGTAAATTAAAAGTTGCCTTTTTGCCCAGCAGGCAAAAGATTTTTATGTTTTATAGTGTTACGAAAAGAAAGATTCACTAACCAAAGTCGAAAATATAGAATTTTACACGAAAAATCGATTAAATTTCGAAGTCAAAAAATATTCGATCGAACATTTGATTCATCCTATCTCTGATTTTTACCTATGAAAAATAGAATGGCCACCTCCATTAGAATGGCCCCTCCAATAGAATGGCCCCTTTTTGGGGGTATCGAAAAATAGAGTGGCGGCCACTCTATTAGAATAAATACGGTACTTATAAAAATTCCCAGATCAAGTCGGATTTCGTTGATTTTGGTGTCATTCGACTCAACACGATGAGCTCTTTCGAAAGAGGTATAATTTGCATATTCGAATTTTTCACTCCAAAAAGGTGCTTGGTCCCCCCTATTGTTTTTCGGTTTTTAAGGACCTATATCTCTGCTCATAGGAATTTCCGCAAAGAAAAGAGTGGTACCATTCGACTCAACTCACCGAGACGAATCGAATGGTATATAATTTGACCCGTTTCTGAGTGGGCCACCGGCTAAAGTACAGCCTGTTTTTCAACAGCCATCCATATTGTAAAGTAGGGTAGCACGAGACCGTTTAATTCGAGGTTTATTTTTCCCTGTGGCGGACTTTTTCCTTCTCTCTTTTCTTTTTGACCCGCCACAGGGAACAATAAACGAGGTTTCTAAACGGTCTCGTGCTACCCTATTGTAAAGCAAAGAAGTCGTGGGTTACTCGAAACAAGAATCTCGGTCTTTTTTCCAAGCCAAAAATCGATCCAATAAATTTTCAAAACACAACCCGAATTTTTAAAGTCAGGTTGAACCGACCCTAGCCCGTCATATTTCTCACCCCTAGGGATCCCTAGTATGTTAGCATATTGAAAAAAAAGTTCAAACTAGTTATCAGCATCGAGAATGGCGCGCCAGCATTCTCTATCATCAGAAAAACGTGTAACGAAATACCCTAATGTTCGTGTTGCTTTTTTTGATCGAATATCAATATGCAATGCAATATAATATTCTTTAATCATAATTGTAATAATTCTCCAAAACTATAAGAAAAAATTTTCCTTTGGAAAAATAATAAAAATAAAAACATGCTTAGCGAGATTTTGTAATCCAACAGCTTTTCTGTCTCCAATAAACATTTTTTGTGAAGCCTAAAAATAAAAAAAAAAGACATTGAAAATTAAAATTTGCAAGATTGGACCTATGAGCTAGATGGACCTATGAGCGTATAAAAAATACCATTGTAAAAATTCGATTTTTAGATGTTCGTCTATCATCCAAATAATTTATATCACCAAAAAGAACACCTAAATAAATGGCTCCAGTTGAAATTTCTCCATCTTCAAGTTGAGAATCAGATATTTCCTTATTGAAAATTTCTTCAATAACATTTCTAATCTACATTTAATTAATTAAAAAAAACAAAACAAAATATACTTTCCATTATCCACCCTCCTTTTTTGGAGAAAAAAAGGAAAACAGAGAGGCGAGTGACCCTCAAAAAATTTTTTTGAAGAAAATGGAAAAGAAAAAAAATGGGGCGAGTGGGAGAGAAATAATGAAAAATAAATTTGAAAAATTAAAAAAAAACCTTTGGCACTTTAGACATCCCTCCAATGATCAAAACTGAGGTAACTCCAGTAGATTGTAAATCCTCCTCCTCGTTTAATTGTAAATCCTTATCATCTGCTTGATTTGCCATTTTAGCATCATTTAATGTTCTTTGAGCAAGTTGCACAATTTTTTGTATCAAATTTTCAGTCAACTCCTCAAATTTTGAACGAGTCAATTTTATTCGAAAATGTTTAGGAGGTCCATTAGTATCAAAAAAAATATTTGGAAGAATAATTTCAGTTTGTGTACAACTTGAAAGTCGACATTTTGCCTTTTCAGAAGCTTTACGTAAGCGTTGAATTGCAATAGGGTCCTTAAAAAATAAAATTGTAACTAAACTAACGCCAATTTTCGTCAGATAAAATAGGAAGACTCTTCTGCATATAACCAAAATTGCCATGTCTTTTTTTCAGCTTCCCTGCCTTAGGTAAAGATGAGAATTTTCGACATGTTCAGCAGAGATGTTTCGAAATTTCGATTTTCGAGGGTTTTTTTCTTTCGATTTCCGATTTCCGAAGATTTTTTTGTTTCGAAACAACTCTGATGTTCAGGGATCCATAAAAATTTTAAACCGTCAGTTAAACCGCTATTTTTTAGGAGAAACCGGGAGAAGATCAATAAAGGAGGAAAAAAGATGACAAATGAACGGACCAGGAAACACTAATAAAGGAAATCAAGGCTGAAGAAGATAGAGGAATTGAGAGGAAATTTGGATTACGCTTTTAATTTAAAAAACCTTGCTCAAATCAATTCCATTTTCTCGTTCAAATTCAGAAACAAAATAATTTACAATAGCATTATTGAAAGCATCGCCACTTAGTAAAGGATTGTGATTAGTTGACAAAATTTCATAAGCCTCATCTTGAACTCTCAAAATGGAAAATTCAAAAATGCCTCTATTTAAGTTACAAACAGCACTATAAATTTTCATAAAATTAATTTTTTTGGGAACCTCATCTAGGGTTCTTCGTTCTATTTCACCCTAAACGTGTCAAATAAAGACGAGTGGCCTCCAAATTTACGAAAAATTCATCTCTCAATAAATTTCCGATAGCTCCAAGTTCCTCGTCCCATTTATCGAAATAATTAGAGGATATGGGTAAAATAGGGAGGAATTAGAGAAAGTGGGCCAGAATTTCACTTAAATAAAAAACAACAAACATTTCGCGTGATCCTCGTCCAAAATCACAATCAATTGCAGCTGCAGTAGCAGAATCATCAACAAACCGTAAAATTTTCATTCCCGCAAGTTTACCAGCTTCCTCTAATGCTTGTTTTTGTGAATCATTAAAATAGCCAGGAATTGTAATTATTGCTTCCCTAACTTTTTTATTTAAATAATTTTCGGCTGTCTGCTTCAATTTTAGTAAAATAAAGGAAACAATTTGTGAAGGAGAATAAAGCTTTGATTGAATCTCAATACAAGCATCACCATTAGAAGATTTTACAATTTTGTATGGGATGGTTTTCCTGTAAAAGAAAAATATGTGTAAATTTTCCCCAAATGATCACTTGAACATATTTATGAGGACAAATTTTAAAGTGGAGCAAATTTACTTGTGAGTCATCAAACAAAATGAGAAAAATGTTTATGTTAGAACGAAAGGGCTTTACTTCCGTAAAAGAAACAATTGAGGGTTAAAAGGGGAGTGAAAGAACCTAGGATGGCAGAAAAATGTGGAGAGGAGGTCAACGCATTCAAAAATTTATAAAACTATCGAGAGGTAAATAAACGCTTAGACGTGGGTGATCCTGCGACCTCTTGGAATCCTTCCTATACAAATTCATTAAAAAGGATCAAGTTAAGCCGCGAACTAAATTTCTGGAGGGGATATATTGCCGAGTTCATGTAAAAAATTGAATTGGGATAACATACAGGTATCAAAAAAATTTGGTTATGGCTAATCAGTTAACTATAGACTTCTTAAATTTATAGGAAAAATTTCTTACATAAAATCCTGAACTTGTTTATCCTCATATTTGAGTCCAATTAATCGTTTAATACCAAAAATTGTATTTTGACTATTCAAAACAGCTTGTCTCACAGCTGGGGCACCAACTAAATATTCCCCATCTTCAGTAAAGGCAACAACTGAGGGAGTAGTGAAAGCATCTTCGTCATTTTTGAGAACCTAAAAATATTTAACAGATTAATAGAGATCAACTTTTTCCTAGATCCGGAGTCAAGGCATTTCCAGGTTCCTCATTTTTTTGACACAAATCCTCCTAATCCTCGATATCCCTCCTAATCCAACGGTATCTCCAAATTCACCAAATTCCCTGATATTCCTTTATTACCCAAAATCCACCAAAAATTTTTAATCTCCACAAATCCCCCAACATCCTTCTTTACTCTCTAAATTCCTTGGATATCCCTTGATTCCAGATCAAGAACCTGGTCAGTTTTTAAAAAATAAAAAGAAAAAACCTTTGCTTTTCTGTCTTCCAAAATGGCAACAGAGGAATTTGTAAATCCAAAATTAATTCCAATAACAGGTCCTCGTAAATAATTACTTTAAATTAAATAAAAATTTTAAGAAAAAAAATTTTTTTACTCAAAATTTCTGACAGAAAAAAGTGTGGAGGTTGGCCTTAATTTTACCATAAACACATTTAAATTTATCTGAAAAATATTTAAAAAATATATAAAAAATATTTTAAAAAATTATTATTTATCAAATAAAAGTTTGTAAAAATAAACAAATATGGCAGCATTGAGGTAGTTAAAAAATATAAAAAAATTTTATTAAGGCAGTTAAGAAAAATCATATTTTAAATTTAAAAGAGGAAAATAAATGAAAAATAATGAAATTACAAAAGGTTATTATTTATCAAGAAAATTTGCGGACAAAAAATTTTTGCGGAAAAAAAATTTTTAGGCAAAGGTTGAGCTTTTTTTCCTTCTTTTTTTGGTTTCAATTTTTTCATAAAGTTTTGGTTAACAGCTAACGGTATTCATTAAACAATAAAAATTTAAAATTTTGTCCGCAAAACATGTCCTCAAAAATTTTTTAAGAAATTTTCTTTCTAATATGCTCTAAATAAAAAATACTTTTTATTCTTTAATTTTAACCATCTCTTATTTTTTTGAGTTTTTATTACTCTTCTAAACTTAATTTTTTGGAGATCTTCATACTTTTCTGGCGATGGTAAATTAATTCTATAAACAAAAGGCTTTAATTTAGTCCAAACTTTTTTCTTTTTAATAAACAAAAAATTCTTTAAAAAATTGTAAACATAGTTGCATAAGTATTCCGGATCACCAGTATCATAATAATAATCAGGTCCATGTTTAGCACTGGAAAAAATATTTTTCTGGTAAAAAAACTTTTGTTTGTCCGCAACAATTCGATGACATATTATTTCACGAAATTATTTTTCAAAAAATGGGGTAACTTAAACTTATGGAACAGTGTGCAGACACTGGGGCGACAAAACGAATATACTAAAGTTCAAACAGTTACTAATCAATTTGAGAATTTGCGACCTTTTCTTAAGAAATTTACTTGTTACCTAATTCAGTTAGGTATGTCCATCCTGATATACTTATAAAAATTCCCAGATCAAGTCGGATTTCGTTGATTTTGGTGTCATTCGACTCAACACGATGAGCTCTTTCGAAAGAGGTATAATTTGCATATTCGAATTTTTCACTCCAAAAAGGTACTTGGTCCCCCCTATTGTTTTTCGGTTTTTAAGGACCTATATCTCTGCTCATAGGAATTTCCGCAAAGAAAAGAGTGGTACCATTCGACTCAACTCACCGAGACGAATCGAATGGTATATAATTTGACCCGTTTCTGAGTGGGCCACCGGCTAAAGTACAGCCTGTTTTTCAACAGCCATCCATATTGTAAAGTAGGGTAGCACGAGACCGTTTAATTCGAGGTTTATTTTTCCCTGTGGCGGACTTTTTCCTTCTCTCTTTTCTTTTTGACCCGCCACAGGGAACAATAAACGAGGTTTCTAAACGGTCTCGTGCTACCCTATTGTAAAGCAAAGAAGTCGTGGGTTACTCGAAACAAGAATCTCGGTCTTTTTTCCAAGCCAAAAATCGATCCAATAAATTTTCAAAACACAACCCGAATTTTTAAAGTCAGGTTGAACCGACCCTAGCCCGTCATATTTCTCACCCCTAGGGATCCCTAGTATGTTAGCATATTGAAAAAAAAGTTCAAACTAGTTATCAGCATCGAGAATGGCGCGCCAGCATTCTCTATCATCAGAAAAACGTGTAACGAAATACCCTAATGTTCGTGTTGCTTTTTTTGATCGAATATCAATATGCAATGCAATATAATATTCTTTAATCATAATTGTAATAATTCTCCAAAACTATAAGAAAAAATTTTCCTTTGGAAAAATAATAAAAATAAAAACATGCTTAGCGAGATTTTGTAATCCAACAGCTTTTCTGTCTCCAATAAACATTTTTTGTGAAGCCTAAAAATAAAAAAAAAAGACATTGAAAATTAAAATTTGCAAGATTGGACCTATGAGCTAGATGGACCTATGAGCGTATAAAAAATACCATTGTAAAAATTCGATTTTTAGATGTTCGTCTATCATCCAAATAATTTATATCACCAAAAAGAACACCTAAATAAATGGCTCCAGTTGAAATTTCTCCATCTTCAAGTTGAGAATCAGATATTTCCTTATTGAAAATTTCTTCAATAACATTTCTAATCTACATTTAATTAATTAAAAAAAACAAAACAAAATATACTTTCCATTATCCACCCTCCTTTTTTGGAGAAAAAAAGGAAAACAGAGAGGCGAGTGACCCTCAAAAAATTTTTTTGAAGAAAATGGAAAAGAAAAAAAATGGGGCGAGTGGGAGAGAAATAATGAAAAATAAATTTGAAAAATTAAAAAAAAACCTTTGGCACTTTAGACATCCCTCCAATGATCAAAACTGAGGTAACTCCAGTAGATTGTAAATCCTCCTCCTCGTTTAATTGTAAATCCTTATCATCTGCTTGATTTGCCATTTTAGCATCATTTAATGTTCTTTGAGCAAGTTGCACAATTTTTTGTATCAAATTTTCAGTCAACTCCTCAAATTTTGAACGAGTCAATTTTATTCGAAAATGTTTAGGAGGTCCATTAGTATCAACAAAAATATTTGGAAGAATAATTTCAGTTTGTGTACAACTTGAAAGTCGACATTTTGCCTTTTCAGAAGCTTTACGTAAGCGTTGAATTGCAATAGGGTCCTTAAAAAATAATTTTATAAATAAACTAACGCCAATTCTCGTGTCAGATAAAATAGGAAGACTCTTCTGCATATAACCAAAATTGCCATGTCTTTTTTTCAGCTTCCCTGCCTTAGGTAAAGATAAGAATTTTCGACATGTTCAGCAGAGATGTTTCGAAATTTCGATTTTCGAGGGTTTTTTTTCTTTCGATTTCCGATTTCCGAAGATTTTTTTGTTTCGAAACATCTCTGATGTTCAGGGATCCATAAAAATTTTAAACCGTCAGTTAAACCGCTATTTTTTATAAGAAACCGGGAGAAGATCAATAAAGGAGGAAAAAAGATGACAAATGAACGGACCAGGAAACACTAATAAAGGAAATCAAGGCTGAAGATAGAGGAATTGAGAGGAAATTTGGATTACGCTTTTAATTCAAAAAACCTTGCTCAAATCAATTCCATTCTCTCGTTCAAATTCAGAAACAAAATAATTTACAATAGTATTATTGAAAGCATCGCCAATTAGTAAAGGATTGTGATTAGTTGACAAAATTTCATAAGCCTCATCCTGAACCCTCAAAATGGAAAATTCAAAAATGCCTCCATTTAAGTTACAAACAGCACTAGAAATTTTTTAATAAAATTAATTTTAGGGAACCTCACTAAAGCCCGGAGTGGGAAGTTAAAGACAAAATTCATTTTCCAAGAAATTTAAGTCCCTCGTCCCATTTATCGAAATAATTGGAGGATATGGGGAAAGTAGGGGAGAATTAGAGAAAAAAGGGCCAGAATTTCACTTAAATAAAAAACAACAAACATTTCGCGTGATCCTCGTCCAAAATCACAATCAATTGCAGCTGCAGTAGCAGAATCATCAACAAACCGTAAAATTTTCATTCCCGCAAGTTTACCAGCTTCCTCTAATGCTTGTTTTTGTGAATCATTAAAATAGCCAGGAATTGTAATTATTGCTTCCCTAACTTTTTTATTTAAATAATTTTCGGCTGTCTGCTTCAATTTTAGTAAAATAAAGGAAACAATTTGTGAAGGAGAATAAAGCTTTGATTGAATCTCAATACAAGCATCACCATTAGAAGATTTTACAATTTTGTATGGAACGGTTTTCCTATGAAGAAAAATTTGTGAATTATTCCAAACATGAGTACTTGGACATATTTATGAGGACAAATTAAAGGGGAGCAAATTTACTTGTTTTTATGTGTCATCAAAATGAGAAAGTGCCAGAACGAGAGGGCTTCTATTCCGTAAATGAAACTATTGAGGGTTAAAAGGGGAGTGAAAGAGCCTAGGATGGCAGAATAATGCGGAGAGGAGGTCAACGCATTCACAAATTTATAGGTCTATCGAGAGCAGACGTGGGCGAAACGTTTCGTTTCGTTTCGTTGTTTCGTTAGTTTCGTTATGTTTTTTCCTGTTTCGTCTCGTTTCGTGACGAAACACTTTTTAATTTGTTTCGTTTCGTTTTGTTAACGAAACACCTGTGTTTCGTTAACGAAACATTACCTATTTTTTAAGCCAAAATATACCCCAAAAACTAAAAAAATTTCCCCTTTGGTGATAAAAATTCAAAAAATTTTCGCCTGCGGCGCTGAAAAAGGAAGAAATCTGGCTTATTGGCCTTCAAACTTTTCAAAATTTTCGCCGGCGGCGCAGAAAATGAAAGAAATCTGGCTTAAGTACACCTACTCACTGATGACCTATTGACCCTGAAAACTTACAAACTTTTGATCAACACCATTTTTTGCTTATATCTCTTTACAAGTTTAATCAGTCGATCTGTGGGATTAACGGAGCTAATGAGGGGTACAGAGTTGACCCCCTTTTTAATTATCTTTAGAGCCCGTACTGTGAGTATCCGCAGATTAATCTTTTTGCATATTTTTGAGGGAAGGACCTTGGCTTAATAATCGATTACTCATTCGGTAATGCGACGATTTCGACCAATCCCGATCCTGTGTCGGGATCTGTATCACCATTCCAAAATCCAGATCCCGGTTTTTATATAAATCCCGATACCGCTGAACTCTAGATTTAAGTGAGATTAAGAGAAAAATTGGCTAATGTGACCACAATTTACCACAATTTCTGGTCCACATAATTTTACGATCACTTATATGTCATAATTGGCCAATTAATATGCTTAAAATTGTGTAGTTAATAAAATAATCCAGATTTTTGAGATTTTTTTCGAAATTAAAATGTTTCGTTTTGTTTCGTTTCGTTTCGTTAAATTTTGACTGTTTCGTTTCGTTTTGTTAACGAAACGATTTTTAAAAATTTTTGTTTCGTTTCGTTTCGTCCGAAAAAAATTTGAAGTTTCGCCCAGGTCTGATCGAGAGGTAAACGCTTAGACGTGGGTGATCCTGCGACCTCTTGGAACCCTTCCTATACAAATTCACTAAAAACTTTGAAGCCCTATAACTTTTCGAAACGGGGGTCAGGGGAAGAAAAGCCGGATACTACAATACGTTTTCGACCACGCTCTATACGATGGTATAATTTTTATTTAAAAATTTTTGGTCACAGTTCGAAATGTTCCCTTGTATGTAAGCCGCAAACTAAATTTCTGAGGTATCAAAAAATTGGTTATTGACTAGGTCTTTTTAAATTTAGAAAAATTTTCTTACATAAAATCCTGAACTTGTTCATCATCATATTTGAGTCCAATTAATCGTTTAATACCAAAAATTGTATTTCGACTATTCAAAACAGCCTGTCTAACAGCTGGAGCACCAACTAAATATTCCCCATCTTCAGTAAAGGCAACAACTGAGGGAGTTGTGAAAAAGTCTTCGTCATTTTTGAGAACCTAAAAATATTTAACAGATTAATAGAGATCAACTTTTTCCTAGATCCGGAGTCAAGGCATTTCCATGTTCCTCATTTTTTTTGACACAAATCCTCCTAATCCTCGATGTCCCTCCTAATCCAGCGATACCCCTCCAAATTCACTAAATCCCCTGATATTCCTTTATTACCCAAAATCCACCAAAAACTTTTAACCTACACAAATCCCGCGGTATTCTTCTTTATCCTCCAAATTCCTTAAATATCCCTTGATTCCAGGTCAAGAAACCGGTCAATTTTTAAAAAAATTAAAAGATAAAAACCTTTGCTTTTCTGCCCTCTAAAATGGACACAGAAGAATTTGTAAATCCAAAATTAATTCCAATAACAGGTCCTCGTAAATAATTACTTTAAATTTTAAAAAATTTTGGGTAAAAAATAAAATTTTTTACCCAAAATTTCTGACAGAAAGATGTGTGGAGGTCGGCCTTAATTTTACCATATACACATTTAAATTAGAAAATAATTAATCTGAAAAAAACTAAAAAATTATAATATTATTAAGTAGATATTTATGTAAATACGAACATAAATGTTGTACAAAAAAATAAGAAAAAAAATTTTTTATCAAAAAATTTAAACAAAATGAGGCTGGTAAAATACGGTTTTGGTTAAATGTGATTTTATATCCTTATTGGCCAAACTTAGTTCAAACATTTAAAAAACACATCCTTTCTCGACTTTCTAATTTTTAAATCTTTCTAAATTTTATTCAAACAACAAAAAAATAAATTTATATGATTCAGAAAAAAAAACAAAAAAATAAATCAGACTTGTACATCATAGACACGGATTTTAGCAGGGGAAGATTTTGAGATGGATATCTGCGGATTTAGAGCACCATATCCGTACCCATCCGTTTGATTTAAAAAAAACACTATCCATATTTATCCGTATTTGCGGATATCCGGGGATATTATCCGTATCAGGGATAGGAAAGGTTACCCGAAATCCGGACTCTTTTTTCGACACAAAACCTGATCCAAAAAAATTTGAAACCCCGATACCCGACTTTTTTTTCACCCCGTCCCATCCCTGATCCGTATCCATGTGCATGTCTGAAAAAAATTATCATTTTCTTAAATAATTTTATAGCCTTTTTAAAAGACTTTTCTTAAAAAAATATTTATTTATATGAGATATATTTTTTATTTTTTCAAAAATAAATAATTAAAAAAACTTCCTTTCCTCTCATTTATTCCTTCCTTTAATCAGTCATATTATCCGTATATTCTTGTTCAGAACCTATACTTGTAGTTACCGGAATATCTGTAGAAGAAGAAACAACAGTTCCACCTCTAAGGATTATATCAACCTTTTTAAAAAAAAATTTTTTTTGGGAAAAATTAAATTTTCTTTTACCTCTTTACGAAATGTGCTCAGATTTTGAGTAAAATTATCTTTATTTTTTAAAGTCACATTTTTAGCTATTCCATCCATAAGGCGAGTAAATGCCTTTTAATTAATTAAAAATTTAATTAAAAATTTTATTGACCAGACAACTCCCATATAAATAAAAAAATTTTATTGACCTTCTCTTACCTAAGGAGAACCCTAAGGGGAGAAATTGAGCTGACGTACAGAAGAACGTCAAATGTGAGGAGGTTGTGGGTTAAAGAGACGACAAGTTAATTTGACTGTACCAACAGAAATGTACCCAAGATATAACTCAATTCAAAATATATCCCCAATTTAAGAAACAACTCATATAAGGATGCTTTTCTTTCAGATGCCAGAGGGGTATACTACATAAATCAGCCCCGACTAAAAAATTAATTTTTTTTTACCTTATCCAATTCCATCTGATAATTTTCTGGTTGTTGACGAAGAAATTCTCTTTTACATTCATCAAAACGGCCAGACTCTCTTGTTAAAATAATTAAGCCAAGTAGTGGACGAGACATTGACCATTGACACTTTACTTCTTCAAACAATATTTGGGAAAGAATTGAAACAAGCATCTAAATATTAATTTTGTTAAAATGTTTAAATTAAATTCTGGTTTTGTTTTATTTTTTCTAACAATGTTCAAATTAAATTCTGGCTTATTCAGAATAAAATCTAACATGTTTATTTTAAATTCTGATAGTGTTCAGATTAAATTCTGGTGTGTTTTAATAAAATTCTGATTTTGTAAAGACTAAATTCTGATCATGTTTATTTTAAATTCTGATAGTGTTCAGATTAAATTCTGGTGTGTTTTAATAAAATTCTGATTTTGTAAAGACTAAATTCTGATCATGTTTATTTTAAATTCTGATAGTGTTCAGATTAAATTCTGGTGTGTTTTAATAAAATTCTGATTTTGTAAAGACTAAATTCTGATCATGTTTATTTTAAATTCTGATAGTGTTCAGATTAAATTCTGGTGTGTTTTAATAAAATTCTGATTTTGTAAAGACTAAATTCTGATCATGTTTATTTTAAATTCTGATAGTGTTCAGATTAAATTCTGGTGTGTTTTAATAAAATTCTAATTTTGTAAAGACTAAATTCTGATCATGTTTATTTTAAATTCTGATAGTGTTCAGATTAAATTCTGGTGTGTTTTAATAAAATTCTGATTTTGTAAAGACTAAATTCTGATCATGTTTATTTTAATTCTGATAGTGTTCAGATCGTGACCGGACAATCCGTCAGTGGACAATCCGGCAGTGGAAAATCCGTCAGTGGACAATGCGTCAGTGGTCGGACAATCCGTCAGTGGACAATGCGTCAGTGGTCGGACAATCCGTCAGTGGACAATCCGTCAGTGAAAAAATTCGTAATTTCTACCCATAACAAAACTACCACGGCCACAAATTTTCATTTTTTCGTGTGAAGGATTATAAGAGATATCGAAAATTTGGAAAAATAAGGAAATCGGCAGATTTAGCTGGATTAAAAGGATATCAGCGGATTTGAAAGATATTGGGCAATTTGGTTCAATAAGCGAATGTCGATGGATATAGAAGGGTATAGTGGATTTGAATGGATTAAATTTACATAATTAACATATGGGAGTATATTGGATTTAGATGAATATCGTGGGAGGGACTTTGGAAAATCTATGAATAAGAGAGATTGTTTTCAGATGTGTATCGTGGAACCACCTACAAATCCTCTTAATCCGGCTATATCCCTTGATATCCCACTTAATCCCCGAAATCCATTTTAATCTCTCAAATTCCTCGAAAGCCACCATAATACTACAAATTTCTTTTATTCCCCGTAATCCCACAATATCTTTGAAATCCCCGATATTTTTTAAATCCACTGATATCCTATTAATCCAGCTAAATCTGCCGATTTCCTTATTTTTCTAAATTTTCGATATCTCTTATAATCTGCCACACGAAAGAATGAAAAATAATTGGCCGCGATAGTTTGGGTATGGCCAGAAATTACGATTTTATTCACTGACGGATTGTCCACTGACGGATTGTCCGACCACTGACGCATTATCCACTGACGGATTTACCACTGCCGGATTGTCCACTGACGGATTGTCCGGGAGCCGTTCAGATTAAATTCTGGTTTGTTTTAATAAAATTCTGATTTTGTTTTGCTTAAAACAAATATCTATTGAAAAACACCCCCACCTCATACAAAACATTTGGCTGTTTCTCAAAAGCCGTTCTCCATCTATCACCTTCTGGCTCCCTATATAATTGTATCATGCTTGTTGTTCCCGGTTGTTGTGTTAATTGTTCAAAAACATAAGTAATAACTTGATCAAGAATTGAACAACTTGTTGAAATTGCTGTTGTGTCTAATTGAATAAAAAAATAAAAAATAATATTTTTCAATAATGAAAAAGTCTATATTTGAAATCAGAATTAAATTTAAACATAAACGTAATTTCAGAATTTTATTAAAACATCCCATATCAGAATATAATTTAAACATCCCCCATACATGTTTTTATGAACATTATTATTTTTAATAGTTCATGTTTTAATTAAATTCTGATTTTGTTGTGTTTATTCTGTGTTGTCTTTTAAAGAAAATTCTGATTTAAATTATGTTTAAATTAAATTCTGATTTGAATATATTTTTAAAACCCCCTTAAAATGGACAGAACTAAAAAAACTTTTCCCTTGTTAATAAGAATTAAGAAAATTAATATTAAATAGTTAAGAATTTTGAATAAAAAAATAAATTTAAAAAATAGAAATTAAATATAAAAAGAAATTATTAAAGAGATTTTTAAAGAAATAACAAAATAAAAAGAAAATAAAAATGAGTGAATAAACAATTGCCCCCACTCCTCACCAGCAAAAGAAATATTGGAGAAAGGTGAAGATGAAAATGACGATAAATTATTATTAATTCCCAAATTATTAGTAAATGTTGTTGACATATCCTGGAACCAAAAAACTATTGCCAAGTAAAAAATTGTCTTACCTACAGAACAAATACCGCGATGAATAGCTCGAAATATTGCAATAAAATAAATTTCTTCCATTTTTGAAATGTATGCCTTTAAAAAAATTTAGAAAAAAATTTTTTAATTGAAAAAATAAATTTTCTAGTCATTAAAAATTAAATTTTGTTCCAAAAAAAAATTTTTTTAATTAAGAAAAAAATTTTTTTTGATTAAAAAAATAAATTTTCTGGTCATTAAAAATTAAATTTTGTTCCAAAAAAATTTTTTTTAATTTTTTCTAAATTTTTTACCGTGCAGTCCTTAGTCACAATGTCTAGAAAACCATAAACTGCTTGTGTCAATTTAGGATAAACCTAGAAAAAAATTATTTTTTAATTTAAAAACTGAGGAAAAAATAAATTTTACCAAAAAATTTTCTTCTTGTAATTTATAAAATAATTTAAAAGTAATATCCAAAGTATCAGTCATACAAGTATCTCCATAAATATAAAAAACACCAAAAGGTAAATAATTCCCAGCCAAAACATTTTTAATTATTTGACAACAAACACCAGTGTTTTTAATACGTTGTTTATAATGGTGTTCTTTTGGAACTGGAGGTAATGAAAGCAATCTAGTACCTGTTGAAAAAAATCAGAATTAAATTCAAACAATCTCAGAATTTAATAAAAACAAAACCAGAACACAAACAAAATTCAGAACATGTGTAGAACATTTTCAGAATTTAATCTAAACTTAACCAAAATTTAATTCAAACACATACAAAAACAAATCAGAATTTAATAAAAACATTTCAGAATCTAATCTGAACAAGATACACCTTCGGATTTAATTTTGAAAATCAGAATTTAATACAAGCACATATAAAACTAAACCAGAATTTAATAAAAACAAACAAACAATTTCAAACAATTTCAGAAATCAATTCAAACACCTCTGGATTTAATTTTAAAAATCAAAATCTAATAAAAAAACATACAGAACCAAACCAGAATTTAATTAAAACAAACTTACCATATTCACAAATAACTTTAGCAATATTTCTAAACAAAACAACAGCCATACAACTTTGCATATCATATTGTAGTCTCGATTGTCTATTCATTACTAATTCTGCCAACAATTTTAAAATTGGTGTAACAACATCAGCATTGTCAATCCAGAGTTTTATTGATTCTTGCATTACCGAAAATAAATTGGAAACATTTGAATCACCATTGGAGAAACTGAAAAAAAAAAGAAAAAAATCAGAATTTGAATAAAACAAAATAATAAAATTCAGAATTAATATAAAAACATTATCAGAATTTGATTAAAACAAGGTCAGAATTTAATTTTTAAAAAATCAGAACTTGTTTAAAACAAATTAAAATTTGAAATAAACAAGATCAGAATTTAATCTGAACAAAAATAACTATAGTAGATAAAAATCAAAATTTGTTTAAAACAAAATCAGAATTTAATTAAAACAAGGCCAGAATTTAATTTTTAAAAATCAAAACTTGTTTAAAACAAATTAAAATTTGGATTAAACAAATCAGAATTTAATCTAAACAAAAATGACTATAGTAGATAAAAATCAGAATTTAATTAAAACAAAACAGAACTTACCACCACAACAAAAAATTCAAATAAAATTGTTTCCGCGTGCAAGATGCAGAAATTCCTCGCAAATCACGCATAAATCCAATAACAGCCATTCGAATTTGAGTTTCATTAACAGAAGAGGATATATTGCCATTTTGAAATATTGCAGAAATTTCTTTGAATTTAACTGAAAAAAATATTTTTTTTTTATAAGAGAAAATAATTCTTTAAAAATTTGGGACAAAATGTCACCTATTCCGAAAAATATTTCTAGCCTCAAAAATTAATTTTTCAATATTCCCTCGGATTCTTAAGCGCAAAAAATTTTTAAAAAATTGAAAATAAATTTTCAAATAAATTTTCTAACACTTGAACAATGTTTTTTAAAAATTTGGGATAAACTGTCATCTTTTTCAAAAAAATTTTTATCCCAAAAATTAATACTAAAATTTTCCCACGAATTTTTAGAAATAAAAAAGTTATAAAAAATTGGAAATAAATTTTAAAATAAATTTTTCAACACATGAACCAATTTAAAAAAAATTGGGATGAAATGCCATCCTTTCCGAAAAAATATTTTTAAATCCTAAAATTAATTTTTCAAAGTCTCCCCCAGATTTTAAGAATAAAAAACATCTTAAAATTAAAAAATTCTTCTTTTTAAACCTGTAATCGGAGCCATAAATTCATCAAAAAAGGCTGGCTCTTCCTCCAATTCAATATTGACTAAACGCATCAAAGACGAATAAAAATTTGTTCTAGAACGCATTATAGAAATATCTTCGTTGGTAGCAACAAAATCAAAAACCTTTAAAATTAAAAAAAAAAATTATTTTAAAAAATTATTTTAAAAATTTACAGCATGATTCCTCAATAATAATTGAATTTCTTGTGTTTTTAATAAACGTCTAATATTTGAATAACCAGCAGTTAAATCATTTAAAAGAGCTAATGTTGAATTTAATATTCTTTCATCTTTTCCCCAAAATTTTAAATTTGTTATTCTAAAATTTAAAAAAATTTTATTTTTAAAATGAAATAATTTTCCTTAAAAAATTGGGACGAAATGTCACTATTTTTTAAAAGGTTTTAATTAGGGAACGAACTTGAAAATCTATCAATTCACAAGGTAGATATTTTTAAAAAAATACAAGTTGGGTAACTTTAACGCTAATTAAAGACTAGACTTGTGAAAAAAAAATCAAAAAAAAAATCCATAATGAAATCCCATCTCCTCCCTCTAATTTCAACCTTAATCTCAAAACTTCAAAAACTAAAGTAATAATTTTATTAAATATTTCTCCTCAAACTTTTAAAATACATAAAAACAAGTACGTTCAACATGTATTTACTGAAGGTTGGGGGCCCGGATATGAGAGGATTTCCTAGCCACTCTTTAATATTTAAATATTCTGAACGTTTTGGGGCATTTTAACATTCAAATTAAACAAAGAAATTAAAAAAAAATGTATTTACATTTTCTGAGCAAAAAACCTCAAAACACCAACTTCATCATTAATTCCCAAAGGAGCAAGTTTTTCATAAAGTTTACTTTCCCGTACAGCTTGGTCTGTAATACAAGTTCTTCTAAATTCATCCATTAAATAAATATAAGCAAATTCTAATTGAATATCAACAGCACCGGGTTGTTGACTTTCTAAGCGTTGGTCAGTCATTTGCATTGTCTTTAAATAAATTTTAAAGAATTTTTTGAATTTAAGATAAAATCCGCAAATATAGTCCGCAAGTTGTGGAGTTGTCCGCAAGTTGGATTTTATGGGTAGAGAGCAGGGTATGGCCGTTCCGTGTTTTTAAAAAGGTGAAATGTGGAAAGAAGCAATTGCGGATTGCGTAAATTGCAGGTTTTTTGCAATTGCGAGCTGCGGATTACATTTGCGGATTTAAAAAAAACTGGGGGTTGCGGATTGCGAGTTGTGGAATTTTTTTCCAATTGCGTGCAGCCCTGATCTACTCCTTAAGAATAAAATATCTGACTTGCAAACAATAGTTGCAGACTTATAATAATAAAAAATCCAAAAAAATACAAACCTTCCAAACTCTAAACACAACTTCTCCATCATACACATCTTCATCATCCCCATAACCAGCAGAACCTTTCCCATTTATGCCAGCAGCCATCATTGTAATTAACCAAATTAATTGTTTCCTGGCTATTAATTGATCCTATAAATTTACTTTTATCTTACAAAAATTTCAAAAAAAACCTGATTACTAACTCCCTGTCTAAACAAAACACCCAAACTTTCTTCAAAATTTCTGACCAACTCTTCTACCGATGTTTTATAATCACTTCGGGATATAACAGTAAAAAGCTCCATTAATTGCTTAACTGAACCCAAATCTTCGAGAGGGTCTTCAATATTTCCTCTAGAAAAAATAATTTTTTTGAAAATTCAAAAAAAATTTGCGGACATATTTTGCGGACAATCAAAAAAAATTTTTTAAGTAAAAACTAAAATTTAAATTTACAAAAAAAAGAGCATATTTAATTCTAAAAAAAAATAAATTTTAAAAATTACCTAACAACATTCTCAGATAACAACACTCTCGAACGGATAAAGGCAGAACATACTTTTGGGATAGCAGCCGAAATCTGAGAAAATAATTTTTTTAATTTAAAAAAAAATTTTTTTGGGGAATTTAAACTAGTCTTTTATAAAATCTTAAACCCTCCCCTCCCCTCCCCTCAAAAAAATCTTGAAAAAAAATTTACAAACCAAATCAACATCAACCCTCGCATAAGTAAGCGAACCAGCCATTCTACTCCAAAAAGACATTAAATAAAAAATACTGCTTTGGGTAAATAAATGAGACATTTGAAGACTTTGTTGAGTAAATACTGTTAATAATTCCAACAAATTATTAAATTGATCTCCACATTTAACTAATTCTGAGACTTGATAGTTAGCCTTTAAACGGCTTAAAATACGGCAAAATTGGTGGAAATTGTCCTAAAATGAAATAAAAATTAATAAAATATTTTAAAAATTAGGAGAATAGGTCGAAAGAAAACAGAAAAAAATTTTTTAACAAATAAAAAGTAAAAAAAATTTTTATTAACAAAATAAAGTCAATAGAAGCAATAAATCCAGTAAAGGAATCGAACCTTCACCCCCTAAAAATTCACAAACTCAAACCACTATCCACTACACCAACACACAACTTAAAAGGGAATAGATAATTTAATACCAAAAGAACAAAAGAAAATAACACAATAATAAAAATATACAAAAGGACTAAAACAAAGGTTAAGAGAAATTGTAACAACTTTTCAAAAAAAAATAAAAAAAAATTAAAAAAAAATTTACAAACCGGATAGCTCAGTTTTTGTGGACTTTCCAGCACCCTTTTTAACCCGCAAATAAAAGAATCCAAAAATTTGAGACGATCAACACCATCGAAGAGAAGACGGCGGATAGAGACTAATTGAACCTTTAAAAACAATTTTAAAAAAATTTTCAAAAAAATTCCAAACCAAAGTTAAAAAAGCTTTAGAAATAATTTGTTCAGGCAAAACAAAATAGAGATCAAAAAACATTGTAACAACTTGTTTTTCTACCAAAACTGAAAAAATAAAAATTTTCAGTCCAAATTTTAGAAGGAAACCTGGCCGCCATTTTGTAGGTATTTGGACATTATTGCCCTCATCCAAAGTCTCATCATTTACAATACCCGAAAAATCATAATTAGTACAAGCAAAGGAGAGATCAAGTGCTAATGTGATATATGATAACTGAAAAAAAATCTAAAATTTTCTTAGAGGCTAAAATTGATAAGAAAAAGGGCAGAGTAACCTAGTAAAGATCCTAGTAAAAAATTAAATAAATAATCAGGATTGTCCACAACTTATGGGACGACTGATCGTGTAATTCATGCTTTTTTACAAAAAAAACCTAAAAATTCCCCCAATTACAGACTGTTTTCAACATTATTCAAGGTAAATCGCACATTCACCAACCTTAAATTCACAACTTTTTATTGTTAAAAGCTTGTTTAAGAATGTCATTTTCCTCAAATCGTGACATCCTGAATCAGGACCGTAACCGGGGGAGAAACCCTCCACTCCTTTTCCACCGAAATCTGGGGAAAGGAAAAAATTTTGGGACGGGATTGAGAAAAAAACGAGAATTCTTTGACCTCAACTTTACTAAGTTAAAGAGACTAGAAATTTTTTTAAAAAAAGTTAAAATATACCATAGAGTCATTCAAAGTTTTTGCTTCAGCAGCTTGTTTAAGAATATCCAACGAAACAATAAAAATATCCAAAAGTCGAGTATCTCTAAAAGAACCAGAAATCTTTCTTTGCTTGCTAACAGATTCAAAGCCTTCCTCCTTAAAAAAATTTTTTTTCCTAATTAATAAAATAAAAATAAAAACCAAATTCATTTCTTCGACCAAAGAATTTAACAACTTTAAGCCTATAGTTCCTTCTGCTGTAGGCTCCTAAAAAATAATTTTAATGAAAAAATTCTTAATGTTAAAAATACAAGTCGGACCACACTTTTATATAATAATAAGGGTTATAGGATAGTCTCAAATAATGAGATATATCTAAATAGAAGGTAACGCTCAGGCACTCTCTCCACAGTGAACTATCGAATTTAGAAAAACGTGGGTATCCTAAATGTGTCCCACTTAAATCGTGAGTATTAATGTTATTTGCTTTGCCAATTTTGGCCATTTTTCCCTATAAAACAGGGCTGGACGGATTATAAAAACTGCGGATTATAAAATAAAAATTGCGGACTGCGGAAATTTTTTCAGTTGCGTCTAATCTGCTATGGAGCCATTTTCGGAGTTATATTGGTGTATCTAAAGAGGTACGACTCAATTTAATAAAGAAACCTTGGCCAAAGTCAAAATTTGATCTATCGGCATTTGAAAATGAAATGTTCCAGTCTGGTCTTTCTCCAACAATCCAATTTTGGTCAAATAAGCATACAATTTACACAAAGGGTTCTGAATGTAGAGAGGAAGAGAAGGACGGTCAACAAGGTATTTCAACAAATAACGACCTTTTAAAGAGAAAATTTATTGTTATGGAATTTTTTGAATAATAGTTGCGGATATTTTTAGGCTAAATCGGCACAAAAATTAATCACTGGACAAAACGAGGATTTTAATAAACCCCTTAAAGATGCAGAGATGAAAAAAATTATGTTGAGGAATAAGTACAGCCATAAAATGTGAAGATTGGACAGGCATACTTGCTAGAGATGGGAATTTTTTGAAAAACCTGGGCCTGTTCCTAGCCTCTGGAGTTTGATTTATTAACCTGGGCTGGATCCTGGGCATGTAGTCAAAGAAAAACCCAGGTCCAGGAAAAACCCAAGAAGGTCAAAAATGCCTGGGCCTGAACTCTAAAACAAAAAACCCCTGGTCTTGGTCCAGACCAGCTCGATCTCTAATCCTCGTTGAATAAAATTTAAAAAAACCAACTTAATTCAAGACGGTCCTGAAGGCTCAAACTGACTTTTTTGTTTAACAAGCGCTTCAAAGCTCCACTCGCAACAACTTGTGCATAAGGTTGCTTTAAAACAAGAAATACTTTTAATTAAAAAAAACTCAAAAAAACCTCTCCACTTTCCAAAAGCAAAAGACAATGTTGCAGACACTGGTTAGAGTCAATCAATTTTGAAAGCGTCTCTTCAGCAACACGTCTATCCTGTTCATTGACTGCTTCACAAAGTGTACGACTCAGCCGGTTTAGAAACTAAAAACGCAGAATTTTAATTTAGTAAAATTTAAGTTTGTCCGCAAATATTTGCGGACAAAAAATTGATTTGCGGACAATTAAGAGTTATAGGAATATCAGCCTAATATATACACAAATCACTCAAAAACCGTTTCCATGTTAAATATGAGCAAGGAGATGAGTAGGGAATAGAAGTTGACCAAAAAAGGGACAATTTACCGAAGGACAAAAGATCCCCAACAAATTTCTGCCTAAGTTTTAATTTTTCGGTGAATTGTCTGTCCGTGAGAAGTCTCTCAATAAATTAAAAAACAAACAAAAACAAACCTCAATCCAATAAATTTAAAAAAATAATAAAACTTACGTCAATGTCATACATCTAGAACAATAAAAAAAACTGTGACGCGTTAGTAGTGGAAGATTTTGAATAATAAATAGGTCTTAAAAATAGAATTGCTTACAAATCTAAAAGAAGAATATGATTATTAAAAATAAAATTTAGTCAAAAAAATTAATTTTTAAGAAAAGAAAAGCAAAAAGAAATGTTGCAAAAAGATTAAATGACCAAAATTAGAATTTTAAACATTACGCCAAAAATTAATTTTTAATGCCAAAAATTAATTTTTTTTGAAAAATGGATCGAATAGGGTCCACATTTTGGGTCATAACTTTTTAAATTCTTAACCGATTTGAATGGTTACTATATCAATCGAAAGCTATTGATGTGAGGATTATTTTATCTAACAGGATCGATTTGATCAGAGTTTTCTACAAAAAGTTATGGCTAAATAAGTGAGCGCAGTTCATGAAAATGAAGTGAATAGAGGCCATATTTTGGGCCATAACTTTTTTGTTTCTTAACCGATTTGAATAGTTTATATATCAATCGAAAGCTCTTGATTTGTTGATTATTTTATCTAACAGGATCGATTTGATCAGTGCTGGCTATAAAAAGTTACAGCTAAATAAGTAAGAGCAATTCAATAAAAATAAAGGCAAAAAGCCTTAATTTAACTTGATTTGCTCCAATTTTGTTTAAATTTTCTATCATTTTATGGACAATTATTTGTTTGTTTTTCATGATGAACCAAGCTGGGACCTAAAAAAGGCAAAAAGGATCACTTTAACTAAAATTGTCGCGCCAGACTGGGCAAAAAACTAAGCAAAACGTGTAATTAAATTTTAATTATAGGAAAGCCTAAACATATTTTTTATGAGAGTTAATAATTATTTTTAACGAAAAAAATTATTTTCGCGCATGGATATAGCACATATTGCTTGTTTATATTTTTGCAAAAAAAAAGATATTGAAAATATTTGGCAGCTAAACAATTAAAAATACCAAAAATAAATATTATTTATTTTAATACGTAAATTGGCTTGTTAAAAATTTAATTAATTAAGAATAAAAAATTTTTTAGCCCCAAAAATAATTTTCAAAAATTTTTTTTCATTTTTAATTAGAGACCGGACTAGGAGTGTCGTACGAGAATCGAGGTCTCGTAAAATTCTCGATCTCGATAACTGAGATTTTCGATCGAGATCTCGTCTCGGTCCGGTCTCTAATTTTAACGGGTAGTTTCGTTTATATTTTTGGAGTTGATTTATTTTATAAAAAAATTTTTTTTTCGAATTTTTAGCTATCCCAAAAATTACCCCAATTTTGTTAAAAAACTAAAATAAATTCAAAAATTAAAAAAAGAATTTTTTTACTAATATAAAATTAAAACAAAAATTAGTACACACATTAAAAAAGTCAAAGGGGGAATATTGGGAAGGAATTAATTTTTTTAGGAGAAAAAAAATTTTTTTTTGGCAAAAGAAGAAAATATACAAAATGGGGTATTAAGCAAGTAAAAATAGAGGGGAACACAAAAATAAAAAAAAATTTATATACAAAAGTTATCAAAATACTTGATCTACAACTTTATTTAAAAATATCTTTTCTCCCTTGGCTCTCAATCTAAAAAGCCTTTTAAAATAGGCAAACTTAGGAGAGACAAAGGGAAAAAAGGAGAGAAAAAATATTTACAAAAATGAGCACAGATGTTTTTTTGTGTTTTTAAAAATCAAATGGAACAAAACAAAAGGAAAATGAGATCAAAAAAAGTTGTTGATGTTGAAAAAAAAATTTTCAATAAAAATTTATGCAAGTTTTGTTCATAAATTTAAAATAAAAAGGTAGTCAATATTTATAAATCCTTAATAAATCCAAGAGAATTCTTCCTAATAACAAAGGAAAAATTTTTTAAACCCTGAAATATATTTCTTTTCAAAAAATTTAGTTAAATTACTCAAAAGAAAAAAGTTTGGAGAAAGAAGGATTCGAACCCTCAACCTTTATCTGTGAAAATAAAATTTTTTCCCACTACACCAACCCTGACTTAAGCTCTTTCTTTAATTTTTAAGTAAAACTTGCATCCTTTGTTCTTTATAACCGAGAAAATTTAATACAAAAAATTTTTTTTTCAATCATTTCCTTTTTCCATTAACATTTAGATCATAAGCAGAAAGAGATTTTCCAATTTCTTGTAATGTTCGGTTTTTTAATTTTTGTAATTTTGATTCTAATTTTGGTAAATCATCGATTCCATCAAATTGTTCATTGTGTTCTTCAACTAAAAAAATTTTTAAAAATTTTCTGGAATTATTTTTTAAATTTTTCTGCCAAAAAATATTTTTTATAAGAAAATACAAAAGATTTCCCTTAGGCGGGTTCGAACCTTCGACCCCTATACAATGAAAACTAAAATTTTTCCCACTACACCAAAAATACTTTTCCAAATTTTTTAAATGTAATTTCTCGGTTTTCTGCCAAGAAAATATTTTTACGAGAAAATAAAAAGATTTTCCACAAGCGGGTTCGAACCCGCGACCCCTATACAAGGGAAATTACAATTTTTCCCACTACACCAAAATACATTTTTATTAAAATTTTTTTTTATTTTTTTAATCTCAAATTTATTTTCTCACCATTTGTAATTCCTTTAATTTTATTTTCCCCAGAAACACTTCCACGAGACCCAGAAGAGTCCCTTCCCTCACTTTCTGTTCTACCAAAACGAACTCTACGCAAAAATTCTTCGTCACTGCCTAAATAGGGAATTTAATTATTTTAATTTTACAAAAAATTTTTTTAACTCACCACAACGACGAAAATTATTTGCTGGACACATTTTAGCCCTTTCAGCTTTGTGAACACTTCGACTTAAAAATTCCCAATAACGACTCTTTTCTGAATCCAAAAGAACCTGAAATTTAGGAAAAATTTTTTTTGAAAATTTTTAAAAATTTTTTAAGGTCTAGAAAATATATAAAATTAATTCTAAATTTATTTTTGGCCCTGCAAAAATCACTCCACAAAACCCCCAAAAAGACTATAGGAAAATAAGAGAGACAATGTCTGCCAACACGTTGTCTCTCTCATTTCCCCCTACTATTTTTTTTCTCTGATTTAATTAATTCAAAAATTATTTTTAATCACCTCTCTAGCTTTAGCATTAAATCCTCTATGCGGAACAGGGTCTCTCCGTTCAGGGGGAGTATTTCCACTGCTGTTGTTGGTACAGAGCATTTTTTAAAAATTCAAAAATTAAATTTTAAGGCAATTGGAGGGGAAAATAATTTTTAAAAAATATTCAAGTCTATCGAAAATTAAAAAAATTATTTTTAACAAAAAGGAAGAGGAACATAAATTTAAAAAAATTATTTTAACGAGAAAAATGGAAGGCGGAAAATGACGAATATAAATAAAAAAATGTCTGCCAACAGGTTGTCTCTCTCATTTCTCCCTACTATTTTTTCTTCTCTAACCTATATTAAATATTTATGGTTGGGGGATAATTTAGCTTTTTTAAAAAAATTAAAAAAAATTTTTTTTTAATGAAAAAGAAAATTATATAGGTGTGTAAAATGAGAATAAAAGGGAGATTTTAAAATAAATAATTGGGTATTAAAAAAGCCGAGACGAGTAAAATAAAAAAAATAAAAAGGAGGTAATTAATGAGAGTTATTCTACCTCTATTTATTTGTCTTTTTTTAATATTAATTTTTTTAAATAAAATGAATAATACTTGGAAAGATTAAAAAATAAGAATAAAAAAGGAGGGTAAATAAAGAGGATAAATTAAGAAAAAAATTTTTGAATAGAAAGAGTGATAAAATAATTAAGAGTAGAATCAAGGATCCTGCCAATTCCTGATTTTTTAGTTCCCGCTTTCGGGAACGCGTAAATGTCGCGGCTTGGGGATTGCTACCCCAAGCCGCGACATTTGCGCGTTCCCGATTTTCCGAAATCGGGAATTAAAAAATCAGGACTTAGGAAATTACCTCAAGCCGGACTTCGGAACTCGGCTTCGGAAACTAGCCAAAAACGTCGGGAAACCCTGATTTTCTGGACTCGGAAGGGCAATACCCCTGATAAAAATACGTACAACCTAAATACCGTTCCGAATCCGAGTAAAAAACTCCATAATAAGTATATCACTTGTATGAATTTGTTTTTTTTGACGCTAACACACAATACGCCAAATCCCCCAGACCGCAATTTTTGGCCAGGTGGGTAAAGGCCCTGACTATAAAAATAAGCTTTAAAATAGGGTCGTGGGTTCGAACCCTTTCCGGAGTAATTAATTTTAGCTGATTAAATAAATATTTAAAATACAAAATAAACAGTTTACTAAATATTTTGAGCCTCTAAAATTTTTTAAAAAAGTATTTTGGATAAATAAAGCAAAGGAAGTTGAAATTTTCCCCTTAAAAATTAACATGCTTCACTTAGCTTGTTTAAAAATTAAAAAAATTTCAAAAAAAAATAATTTTTTTAATAAATTAAATTATCAACTGTATATTTATTTAATAGCCTAATTTTAGGGTATTTAAATAATTTTTAAATTAGTATTTAAAAAATAAAAATAAATTAATTCATTAAAAATTAAATAACTAATCTCCCCTCTTTTTCTCTTGAAAAGATTAATAATTTTAAAAAGGGATTAATTTTTTTCTAAATTAATTATTAAAAAAATCATCACATCATTTTTATTTAATTTGCAAAAATATTATTTTAATTTTTAATTAATTTTCTTTAAAATAATTTGTATTTTTCCTTGAAAATTAATTTAATTTTTAGGAAGAGATTTAAATTTGTCTGGATTTTAATTCCAAAAAAAATTTTCAAAAATTTCAAAAATAATTTTTAAATAGTTTCTAAAAATTACTAAATTGTTTCCAAGAAAAATTAAAGTTATCTTAAAGCAAGTTAAAAATTTTTTTTCTAAAATTTGTCTAAAATTAAAAATCAATTTATTAAAAAATAAATTAATTTTTAAATACATCACCCGTCTTGTTTAAAAACAAAAATCTTCGAAAATCGGAAAATAAAAAACTTTGAACCAACTCTGGTACTCGTAAGCCTCTTTTCATCACAAATTTTGTTGTTGTTCTTGTTGATCATTCCTAGCAAGAGAACTAATAGTAGGAAGAGGGTCCCGCGCGTTCCCATCCCGTACGAAATGTTGAAAAAATTACCATTAAGGCTTCAGGGAATGCGATTTTTTCACGACCTACCCCAAACCCATTTTAAACAAATATTCAAAAAAAAACTTTTTTATTTTTCTATATTTACATATTTTTTTTAATAATTTATTATGACAGCAATAAAAATAAATTTTAAATAAATTTCATTTTATATTGCTGCCAAAAAAACAAAAAAATCACCCCAAAAAATAAATAATTTATATTTTGTGTCACCCATAAATTTATATATTTTTTCTCTTTCAAAAAAAAAGTTGCGCACTTTTCTATTTTCCTAGGCACTTGGATAAAATACTAGAAGAGGAAGAAAAAAAAAATTTTTTTTTGATGAGATTCTGTTGTTGTTTTATATACTAGAAGGTTGAAGTAAACGAGGTAGATAAAATTCACCCTTTGAAAAAAAAAAAGAATTTTTTTTTTAGGTTGCAAAAATATTTTTTGAATTTTCTTGAAAAATTTTTAAGTTAAAAATGCTCTGGTAAAGTTCATGGGTCCAATGAATTTTTATGAGTCCAATGAAAGTAATAACTCATAAATAGGATTGCCGATCCGGTTCGGTTCGAAAGTTCAAATCGGGCTTCGATTTTTAACCTGAAAAAAATTCTAACGGCCCGGTTAGATAAAAATGAAACCCGAAAAAATGACTCGAACGTCGGCACGATTCGTAAACGGCAACCCAACTTATAAAAAAAATTCCCTAGCTAGAGCCCAAATTAAAAAAAATTTTTTTCTAATAAAAATTTTTTTCTATGGTTAAAATTTGGAAATGCTTAAGACCCCAAAAAAATTATTTTTTAATTAAAAAGAAAAAACAAACTAGAATTTGTTCTCCCAAATAGAATCCACGTGAATCTGGATCGAAGAGAGAGTAGAATCTTCGCGGCTAAAAAAAAATAAAAAAAATATATTAGAAAAATAAAGGTCCAATATCCTAACCGAAGATTTTCGAATATTTGGACATATTTTTTCAGATATCCATATACGTCAATCCTTGTGAATACCGGTTATTAAACGGCTTTTACTAAAATATCACCACGAAATTCGGGGGCTGTATCGTCGAGGATCGAGGTTTGCCGAGGTAGAGCCTTCGGGGTTTGGATCGTGGTTTTTGCCTTAAAATCCGTCAGAGGTGCTACCCCAGTTTTTTTTCAGTTAATCACAATTTTTAAAATTCAGTTTTTAGGCAAAAATGCATTTTTAATTTAGGAGAAGATTTCTTTTAAAAATCACCTTTCGAAAATTATTAGGTTTTTGGGTAGTGTTTCACCGGAACTGAAATTCTGACCGGAACCGGATTTAATATGAGTTTAGGATCTCGGAACCGTAAACAAAAAAATGGCTGAACTTTCCGAAATCGGAATTTTTGGGGAAACTCTAGTTTTTGGGGTTATAAGCCGATTATAAACTCCCCCCACCCCTAGAGGTCTATAACCCAAAGTAATTTAACAAACTTGTATGTCACCACCAGCTCCATTAATATTATTATTATTTCCTCCCAAATTTTGTTGTTGTTGTTGTAAATCATTTTGTAAAGGAGGAGCTGTAGGTGGTGTTTGTGACGGTGTTGTCATTGGTGTTTTTGAATTTGAACTAGGCGATTCTCGTTCTACTCGATTTGATAAATATTGATTTGAAGATAGTGAAGGCGAATGTTCTGATGTTCTTTGAAAAAGAAAAAAATTTTTTAGGTTAAAAAATTTCAGAAGATTTTTGTGAAATTTTTTTCAAAAATTCCAAAAAAAATTTTTTTTCACAAATTTCAAAAAATTTTTAGGCCTAAAAAATTTTCTGAAAATTTTCAAAAATTTTTTAAAAAATTAAAAAAAAAATTTTTCAAAAAATTTTCAAAAAAAATTTCTAAAAATTTTTAAAAATCTCAAAAAAAATTTTAAGCCCAAAAAATTTTCAGAAAAATTTTCAAAAATTTTCAAAATTTCAAAAAAATTTTCTGAAAATTTTCAAAAATTTTTTAAAAAATTAAAAAAAAAATTTTCAAAAAATTTTCAAAAAAAATTTCTAAAAATTTTTAAAAATCTCAAAAAAAATTTTAAGCCCAAAAAATTTTCAGAAAAATTTTCAAAAATTTTCAAAATTTCAAAAAAATTTTCTGAAAATTTTCAAAAATTTTTTAAAAAATTAAAAAAAAAATTTTCAAAAAATTTTCAAAAAAAATTTCTAAAAATTTTTAAAAATCTCAAAAAAAATTTTAAGCCCAAAAAATTTTCAGAAAAATTTTCAAAAATTTTCAAAATTTCAAAAAAATTTTCTGAAAATTTTCAAAAATTTTTTAAAAAATTAAAAAAAAATTTTTCAAAAAATTTTCAAAAAAAATTTCTAAAAATTTTTAAAAATCTCAAAAAAAATTTTAAGCCCAAAAAATTTTCAGAAAAATTTTCAAAAATTTTCAAAATTTCAAAAAAATTTTCTGAAAATTTTTTTAAAAAAATTTAAAAATACCCATTTGTAACAAATTCATTATTTTGTTGTATCAAATCCAATTGAACAGGCCTAACATTATTATAAGTATTAGGTGTTGACAATTTTGATTTTCTTGATGATTTTTTCGATTGTGCTGATTTTGGATTGCCATAAGCCTTCTTTTTTCGATGTTCATCAACATGTTTCTTTAAATTAAAAAAATAAAATTTTGCGGACAAATAAAAAAAATAAAAATTTTTTGCGGACATATTTTTGCGGACATTTTTTCCAAATTTGAGTGGTTCCTCTTCTTCTCCAAAATTATTTCTAATTTTTATAGAAAATATTCTATAAACAAATAGTCATTTCTAAAAAAATTTAAAAAATAAAAAATTAATTTTTAAAATTATCCGCAAAAATTAATCCGCAATTAAAAAAATAATTTTCGGTTCTGCTAGAGGGTGGACAGGTTAAAATTTATTTTTTATTTAGTTTTTGGCCATTTAACAGTGAATTGTTAGCTTGTGAAAAATAAATTCCATAAGCGGGTTCGAACCCTCACCCCTTAATTTGGTAGTTTTTCCAATTTTGTCCGCAAAAATTATCCGCAAAAAATTAATTTAATTTTTAAAAATTCAAAAACCTCACTACCACCACTCGAAAATAAACGTTGTTGTTGTTCATGATGAATAGATGGAGGTGTAGGTGACGATGTTATTGTTGTTTGTTGTGAAGAGGGGGATTCCCTTTCGAGTGAACGACCATTTAAATATTGATGAGGTGAATGTTCTGATAGTCTAAAAAAATTTTTTTTAATTAAAAAAAATATTTTTTGAAAGAAACAAATTTTTTTAATGAAAATCTAAAAAAATAAAAATAAAGAGGAAAATAAAAGAACAAAATGGCAAAAACAGTCACGTGGTTAAGTTGGTAAAACTACCAAATTAAGGGGTGAGGGTTCGAATCCTTTTGGGGAATTTATTTTTCAAAAGATAACAATTTAATGTTAAATGGCCAAAAATAAAAAAAATAAATAAATTTGAACTCCTAAAATTTTTTTTTATAAAAAATTAAAAAAAACCAACTTGGCTGGAAAATCATTCGACAACAATTCCAACGGAACAGGACGAACATTATTATAATTAACAGCAGGTAATTTGCTTTTTTTGGCTGCCTTTTTAGCTTGTACTACTTTTGGATCAGCAAATGTTTTTTGTTTTCGTTCTTCAACCATTTGTTTCTTTGAAAAAATTTTTTTAATAAAAAAATTTAAGGAAATAGACAAGGGGATGGGGTGAATTTATGAGAATGCTACTAAAAATAGGACTAATTTTTACTATCGAACATTTTTCTTTCGGACCGATAAAAAGATAGGGGACTTATTTAGATCATAGAGACTCTCCCTTCGATCAGGTTTCATGTTACCTTCAGCCTATTTTTATGTTCCCTTCGGACTGGTACAGAGGTTCCCTTCGGACCAGTAAAAGGTAGTTCCTTTCGGACTACTTATGTTCCCTTCGGACCGGTAAAAGATACAGAGGTTCCCTTCGGACTACTTATGTTCCCTTCGAACTACCCTCCTTCAGACTACTCCTTACATGCCTTCCCAATCCATTTCCTTATCATCGTTTTAAAGAAAAATTTCAAACAAAAAAAATAAAAAAAAACCTTGTAAAAATCAACATCAACACTCATTACACCCATTCCACACCGACAACGTAAAATTCTTCCAACTAAGGATTGCCCCTTCTTTTCCCACAAATTACTTCTTAATTGTGCATCTTTAAATTATAAATAAATTTAAAAATTAAATTTAAAATTTCCACAAACCTGTCCAACCTCTAGCAGACCCTTCATTTGCCAAAATTTTCAATAAATTTTCTTCCAATTTATCCGAACATTTTTTATGTAGAAAAAATGAACTAGCCAAATGACAACGATCGTTTGTACAACGCATTCTAAAACCAACACCTTCATCCGTTATTTTTTTAGGGATTGGGACACCTTGAAAAGAAAGGAAAAAATAAATTTTGTTTTAAAATTAAAAAAAAATTTTTTTCTAGGAATTTTTGGCTGGAATTCGTTTAACGAGGAAAATTACGAGGAAAATAACTAAAATTACGAGGAAATTTTAACGAGGAAAATTTTCAGTGTGTATTAATGATTGTTTCAAATTCAAAAAATTTTTTTAAAATTAAAAAAAATTTTTTTTAACTTTTTGTGGTAAAATTTGTTAACCAACCAATATTTCCCAAATGTGTTAGGTAAACAGAACAAATAAACAAAAAAAAATTTTAAATTTAATTTTTAAAAATAAAAAAAATATTTCAGTCCAAAAATTAGTAGGAGTAAAAATTTAGTCGATTAAAAAAATTTTTTTTTAATTTCGAAAAAAAATAAAAAATTAATTCTCTTCTGGTTAAAAAATTTGAGGGAAGATTAAATTTTTAAAAATAAAATTTAAAAAAATTAAAAAAAAAATTTGGGAGGAAAAATTTATTTTCTATCATTTATTGACTTTCAAAATCAATTTTTAATTCTTTTCTTCTTAATTTTAAAAAAAAAAAATTTTTTATTAAATTCCCAAAAAAATTTTTTTAAATTAAAAAACGTCAAAAAACCTCTAAAAATTACCCAATTTCCCTCCCAAATTAAAAAAAAATTTTAATTTAAATTAAAAAAACCTCTACAAACGCAAGCAATATACGGTACTGGACAATCTAAATTAGCGTCGTACTCTTCTGGTTCACTAGAAAAAAAAATTTGGGGGAAAATTAAATATTTAAAAATAAAAATACTGACAATCCTTTTGTTGCTGATCTTCTTTGTTTTGCTGTCATCTAGAAAAATTTAAAAAATTAATTAATAAAATTTTTCAGATAAAATATAAATTAAAAATAATAACAGAATGAGACAGGAAGAATTGCCAAAAATAAATTTATTTTTAAAAATATTTAAAAAAATTATAACAAAAGACACAGGATTAAAAAAAAATTCCCGAAAATTTCTTACTTATTGTTAGAAAAAAAAATTTTTTAAAAATTTTCTAAAAAATTTCTAAAAAATTTTTTCCCAAAAATCTTCCAAAAAAAATTATAAAAATAACAAAAACTTGAAAAAATTCGCGAATTTTTTTTCTTAGAAAAAAATTTAGAAAAAATTTTCCCAAAGACTTTTTTCCCAAAAAACTTCCCAAAAATTTCCAAAAAAATTAGTTAATTAATAAAAATTAATATTCCAAAAAAAATCATTGCAAAAATCAATTGCTGGGAAAAGTAGTCCATTGGCCAGAAAATTTTACAATAAAAAAAAATATTAAACACGTAAGCATATATTAAATAATTTAAAAAAAAGAAAAACAACAACAAAAATCCCCCCTTCCTTTAACTTGCTTTAATATAGACTTCCCCCCTTTAAATCAATTTTTGTTTAAAGAAAAAAGTTTTTTTCTTTTAAAAGTTTAAACAAAAAAACCTTTTTCTGAAGAAAATTGTTTTTAATTTATTCAAATAAAAATTAATTAAAATTAGGAAAAAATTAGGAAGAAATTAGTAAAATGCTTATATGTTGATGAAGCGCAAGGAATTAGTGACTGAAAAACTTTTTTTTTTCAAAAAGGTTCAAGGCCAAATTAAATCTTTCTCTAACAGATAGGCTAACACCGGAATAAAATTTCACATTAAAAAATATCCGGAAAAATTACAAAACACACATCGACTGGTCAAAGCTTTTAGGTACCAAAAATGGGCAGAGTCGGTTATCCGAATTTTCCTCTATCAAAAATCCAATCCGAAAAATTTTTTGAAACCCCAAACATGAATGACTACCTTTTTTAAACACGTCCCATCCCTGGAATATACACAAAAAAATAAAAATAATTCAAAAGGGTTGAAGGATATTTTGTTTTGGTAATTCCAAGGCTGGCCCCCCTTTTTTTCCTTTAAATTTTTTTTTCGATTTTTTAAACTTTTTATGGCAAATTATATATCGTTCGAAAGAGCTCTTCAAGCTGAGTCGAACGGTACTAAATTCATCGAAATCCGACTTAAATAAACATAGTTATGAGCAATTGTTTTAATCCCTTTCATCATCACAAAAAGCATGTCCATCGAGGATTTAGCTTCATAATTTGGTTCAAAATCGACAAATCTATCCGATCATAGTATCATTCTACTCAGCTCGAACAGCTCTTTCGAATGATATATTGTAAATTATATTTCAAGCAAAAAATCTCAAAATGGTCAGGCAAACAGAAAAAAAGGGGGGGGGGGACCAGCCTTGGAATTACCGATATTTTTTCAAAAGATTTAAGACATCCCCAATTTTAAAAATATAAAAAAAGCTTAAACCATCCCCTAAATTTTGAAATGACTAGAAAAATCCGGAAAAACTACAGAAAGAAGAGAATAAAAATAAATAATGAAAGAAGCAATTATGAAATTAATTAAGGAAGTAAAAAAAAGTAAATAAATAAAAATTAAAAAAAAAGTGCCGAAAAATATTTAAATAAAATTTAAAAATAAATAAATTTAAAAATAAAAACAAAAAATCGCCATAATTGATTAAATAGCTATCATTGGCAAGAGAAAAGGGCATTTAAAAAAGATTAAGCAAGCGATAAATAAAGTGACGCTAAAATCGAATTTTGCCCTTTCTTAAAAATTAAAGAGGGGGGAGTGAAAATAAAGAAAAAAAAATTTTTAATATTAAAATTCAAAACACAATTAGAAAATCAAAACACAAAAGAAAATTTTTTCAGAAAAAAAATTTTAAAAATTTAAAAAAATTTCCCCTAAAAAAATTTTTTAGGGGAAAAAAAATTTAAAATTTTTCCCCACCTTCATTCAGCAACCCTTCCAGAAGAAAAAAATAAATACCAAACTTTTTATAATTTTTGTTGTTAAAGTCAAATTTAAAGTAGTAAATAATATAGGCGTTTTAATAGAATAAATAATTTTCTCTTTTTTGTTCTGAAAAAAATATAAAAAAATTAAAAAAAAGCATTCAAATTAATTTTTATTACAAAGAAGAATTTTTGGAATAAAAACAGGACTGAGAGCAGGGGTGGACGCAATTGAAAAAAAATTTTCCGCAGTCACAACTCGCAAATTAATTTAAAAATCCGCAGCCGCAATCCTCAAGTCAAAAAACACGCAATTTCACGCAATCCGGAATTTCGTCCAGCCCTGACTGGGAGCGCCATAAGGTCTCAAAAAATTGCGATTGTTTTGTTTGAGATCTCGTCTCAGATCTCGTCTCTGCTCTTAAAATTTCACTTAAAATTTTCTTTTAAAAATTTATTTAAAAATAGCCTTGCGTCTTGCGACAAAAAGAATAACAATCAAAAAAGTAAAAAGACAAAATCGTTCAAGGAATTATCTCTTTTCCTATTACCCTTCTCGTTATAAGACGCAAAGCAATTTTTAAATAATCGAAACCTAAAGCAGGATTTTATTAACAAAAACAGAAAAATATGTTCAAAAAAAATATAAAAATTACCTCATTAAATTTAAAAAATAAATGGAGACTCAAATTATACAGTAGGCTTTTATACTTTCTAGACGGAGCAGTTCAACTGAGTCCGCACGATTGAGTCCCCACGATTGAGTCCGCACGATTGAGTCCCCACGATTGAGTCCCGGCACAATTGAGTCCCCACGATTGAGTCCGCACGATTGAGTCCCCGTTGTATATACCTCAATTGAATCCCCGTTAAAAATTCCCGGTAGGGGACACTTGTGTACCGCCGTTTGTGTACCGCCGGTTGTGTACCCACCCAAAGGGGGACGTTTGTGTACCCGCATTATTTTCCTAGATTTTTTTATTGTTTTTTTTTATTTTTTTTTTCTTTTGGGGTTTGCAACTAATTTTGTTAATTAGTTGACCGAGCATCCACTCAAGTCCATCCGAGCACTGAATTTTCTCAATGAGGACGAGAGGGAGGACGAGAATCTTGTGTAGGTAAAAGTTTAATTTTTATTTTTTAATTTTAGATTTTATATTTCAGGTTGGTCTAACTTTGCTCATCATGTGTCGGACTTCATCCCACGGCTGCAACGATGGGAAATTTGAAAAGGTTTGGAATTTTTATTTTGTTTTTCGTTTTTATTTTTAAAATTTTTTAGTTGATTTTCGTCAGTTTCTGACTGGCGATTTTCAAGTTCACAGTTTCTGAAGGAACGAAGGTGGTGAACTTAGGAGAACAAAAAACGAAAGAAAGGCCCTTCTTTGGCACAATAATTGAAGCTAGACTTTGGTTTTTTTTAATTTTTTTGATAAAATTTTTAAAAAATATTTTTTTATTTTTTTTTTCACATTTTGATTTTCTCCCGTATCCAGGTAGATTCTGCCGGAGTCCGGAAATTAGGAAGGAGTTTTTACGTTCGTAATTTAGATAGTTTCCCCTACCCTCCATAGCAGCACAAAAAGTTTTTCCAGCGAAGATTCTGTTGGTCAAAATTTGTTCAGAATCATTCAATCAACTTGATTTTGGTCTTATTCTTATTCAACTCATCTCGTCGATCCCTTTCGAATGAGCTATTTTTTGTTTATTCGAATGTTTCGCAACAAAAATTCCCCATGGAATTCCACCAAAAAATCCACCATTTCGAGCCCCATATCTCGGCGAGAACTTGTTCAACAATGTTGATTTTGGTGTCATTCGACTCACTACTTTCGAATGAGCTGTCATTCAAAAAATCTCTCGATATCCCTCCTAATCCCCAAACCCACAATATCCATCTTAATCTCTCCGAATTTGTTGATATCTGCCTTAATTCAACCGATATCCCCGCTTAAATCTACTTATATCCCTTGATATTCACCAATATCCATCTTGATACCTCGATGTCGGTTACAAGTCCCCTGATATTAACATTAATCCCTCCAAATCCCCAAATATCCCTCTTAATCTTTTTTAATATAATTAAATCTAGGGGACTCAATTGAGGTATATACAACGGGGACTCAATCGTGCGGACTCAATCGTGGGGACTCAATTGTGCCGGGACTCAATCGTGGGGACTCAATCGTGCGGACTCAATCGTGGGGACTCAATCGTGCGGACTCAATTGAGGTGTACCGCTTTCTAAAAATAAATTTTATAACATCTAAATTCGTTTCGGTCAGTAGAGGCAAATTTGCCATTTGGTTCAAACAGAATAAAAAATTATGGGGAAATTTGTTCAGGACTCTAATAGTTTTTCTTTAAAATTAAACTTTGAGTCTTACTCCAATCTTTGGGGATTTTTTTGAGTTTGGTACAGCCCAAAACGGCGCGAGGCCATAACGGCGCAAAGCCATAACTTGCTGAAAAATGTCTGACCCTTGCCAATTTTGATACCAATCTCCCTATCTCGATGAGAGGAATCGTTTGATGCTGAATCTGGTAGGATTCATAAATCTTGAAGCAAGTTATGTTATGGCTTTGCGCCGTTTTGGGCGCGCGCCGTTTTGGGCGTCTCCCGTTGACATTGAGTTCTTCTTGGGGATTTTTTTGAAATTTAAAAAAAAATTTTTTTTTGATTTTCTTTTGTTTAATCTAATTAATTTTCAGCCATTTACAACAACAATAATCTCAATTACATTTTTAATGCCTTAAAATGACTAGAAAGAAGTCTAACAAAACAGCCTCTAACAACCACAATTCTGACCGCCCAACTAAAAATATTAGTAAAAACAACAATAACACAATAGAAGCAGCATTTAAAAGAATTCAAAATATCCGTCAATGTCCAAAATGTAACAAAAAGATGGATTATTCTATTTATTTACAGCATTATGAAAAATGTAAAAATCGAGAGGTGGAAGAGGATGATGACGATGATATTATTTTTTGTGGAGAAGGACAAGGACATAAGGAGAATGAACAAGGATCCAGGGAAGCCAGTGAATCCAAGAAAAATCTTAAAAGAACGCAAAAATCAAGCGTGGTTGTGAATGTGGAGGAGGAGGATTCTCAGTCAAATGCTAAATCCCCTAGAAGTTCGGCACTTAATTCTGGTATTGTTTCTGAAAATGTTTTTGATGGAAATGTGAGAAGAGGTTTTTTATTTTTTATTTTTTGTTTTTAAATTAAAAAACCCCCAAATTTAATAAATTTTAATAAATTTTGATTTTTTGGAATTAAAATAATTTTCATGTTTTCGGGAATTTGGGGGTCTATGATGATAATCTTCCATGGTTAACGTCATTTTATTAAATTTTATTGTTAATTTAAGGATTGGTTTTTTGAAAATATATATTATTTTCCTATTTTGAAGATTAATGTTAGGTTGTCTGGAATTTTTCTCGCTTAAAGGGAAATAAAGGAAAGGGAAATAACCCCCGGAAAAAATCCTGGTTACGGGGCCTGAAAGTGACAGTCCTATTTTGGTGCGTGTATTTTATTTCTGGAAGGCATCAGTAAAAGTCAAAATAATTTTTTTTTAATTAAATTAAATTTTTGTCTTCTAAAATATTTAAAAAATAATTCCTTTAAAGCTCCAGCAAGTCCAATAACTATTTGTGATGATAGTTCTAATGAAGTTCCAGTTACTGTTTTTAAACCCAAAAATTATTGTTCCGATTTGCCACTAGCTCAAATTTATGATTTGTGTGTTGAACGACTAGAAGATTTTTTGAGTGAACAAGAAGAGCTCTTGCGCAATCTTCCACCTCCAAAATGTAAATAATCTGGTTTGACTTATTTTTTAAAATTAAAGCTGCGGTAATACTGAACCTGCCAGACCCCATTTCTTCCTCCCTCTTCCCTATATTTTTGCAGAATGGTCAGACTTTTTCCCTTCTTCCATCCCAATTTTTCCTTTCTTTCATCCAAATGGGAATAAAAATTAATTCTTTTATAATTTGTTTTGATTGTTTGTAAGCAAAATAAATATATAAAGGCAATTGGAATGGAAGAAAGTAAAAAGTCTGGCCATTTTGTAGATATATAGGAAAAGGAGGGAGGTAAAAATGGGCTCTGTCAGGTTCAATATTACCAAAGCGTGTCATTGTTAGTAAGAAAATTGGGAAATTATTTTTCTGAAAATTTTCCTAAAAATTTTTTTATTTCCTTCAGTTCCTTTAATAATTCGAAATTTGGAAAAAATTTTTTCTGAAAATTTTCCTAAAAAATTTTTTTCCTTCCCTTTCTTTAATTTTTCATACTATTTTTTGCTTTATTTTTTATCTTATTTTATTCTTATTATTTTCCCAAATTCATTTTTTTAATTTTAAAATAGGCGATACTAATCGACCACTTGATTTGACAGACGAAAATGATTCTCTTATGGATCCACCACCAACAGAAAATTTGTCTATTAAATTACTTCCAGTCCATTATTCTTTACGTTTTGTTTGGCAAATTATACAAAAAGTTTTTTTTGAATTTTTAAAATTTTTTTAAAAATTAATTTTAGGCTCTTCACTGTGTTAAAAACGGCCATGAAAATATTTTGGAGACGGCAAATAAATTTTGGGGGGATTATTTGAGAAAAGTCTATTCTTTTTTGACAACATCAGGTTTTTATTTTTTTTATAAAAATTTTTTAAAAAAATTTTTAAGTTCCGGCTCAACAACTTTTTTGTAGAATATTGGTACGGAGAAGAGGTTTTCATATTGCTCGTAATATTAGGTGATTTAACATTAAAAAAATTTTTTTTTGATTTTTTAAAGAGGCGTGAATGATTTTTTCTAAATTCCGCAATTTTTTGTCCGTAAAAGGATAAATACTGTTTAGACTCTAAATGAAATTCATATAAAATTAAGTTACTTTGGAGGGCCATATCTTGGCCAAATTAAAAAACGGCGGGCAAATACGGCTCAAAATCCTTGCTAGAAAGAGCACATTCTCTATCGAATGAGCCCGGTTTTGACCGTTTTTAGGTCGGACACCTTGCAACCTCTCCTTGTTAGTATGAAAAAGTTGTCGTGAATCAATTGGTATTTGTATCCTCTTTCCATTTTTGTGTGTTCGATCACCCTTGTGCTCGGTCGATCAAGCACATATATTCCTCATTTTTAAATAGACCGGGTCTTCTATTTAGCTACATATATTTTATATTTTTTTTTCATTCCTCTATTTCTCCTCAAATTATAATATTAGTCTATTAATTCCATTAATTTTTTAAAATTAATTTTAAAGATATCACGATTTGGGCCCAAAATTGATGCCTTTATTTATTGAACTCTGTGAAAATGGATTTTTTGAGGAAGGTATTTAATTTAAAAAATTTTTTTAATTTAAAATTTTTTTGAAGCATTTTCTATAAACGAAAATGGGGATCCGAATTCTTCAAATATTACACTTGATGAAGCTTTCAATTTACTTCAAGTAGACGATTTTAAAATTATTTGCAAAAAATTTCATATTGATACAAGAATTGGAAGGCAAGGAATTATTAGAGAATTAAAAAAGCATGCAATACGTAGAGATGTTTTTGGACGGTGTAATTTGAAGCATTTGTTGAATTGGTGAGTTTTATGGTGTTTTTATAGGGGAAATTTGAAAGAAAAACACAAATTCTGATTTTTGTGTGTTTTTAATAAAATACGAAGAAATACAAAAATCAGAATTAATATAAAACACATGTATTTCTTTTATGTTCTAATTTTGTGTTTCTTCAAGTTTTGGTGATTATTCTGGTTTTTGTATTTTTGTTTTGGTGATATTCTGATTTTTGTATTTTGTTTGGTAATTATTCTGGTTTTTGTATTTTTGTTTGTTGTTTATTTATTCTGATTTTTCTGTTTGTTTTCTGTAATGTGTTTTCCTGAATTTGTTGTATGTTTATTCTGGTTTTCTCGATTGTTGTTTGTTTATTCTGATTTTTTGTTAGTTATTTGTTTATTCTGGTTTTTTTCTGTTTGTTATTTGTTTTTCATTGTTTTGTGTTTATATCATTCTAATTCTGATTTTTCTGTTCGTAATGTGTTACGTTTCCGGAATTTGTTCTTTGTTTATTCTGGTTTTCTTTTATTGTGTTTTTAATTAATTCTGATTGTTCTGTTTGTTATTTGTTTTTATTGTTGTCTTTTTTGTTGTTTGCTAATTCTGATTTTTTTGTTTTTGTTTTTAATCTTGTTCATTTCAGTATAAAACAACTAACCGGAAAGTGCTACAGAATTAAACAAGATGCACTCTATTTCTTTAATTCTTTTTTCTCTGTCTATGCCCCAAACTTGATGGATGTTGGCGCTGCTGCTGTTCGTCCCCATCAGTGTTATGTTGATTTGTGTGACCAATTAATGTTTAAAATAATTTTTTTGTAATTTTTAATTTTATTTTTTTTTTCAGTTTCTCAATGCTTCAACGTCAAGCAGAAACTTTAAATTTTGTAAATAATTTAAATTTGAAATATTCTTTGATTGACCTTTTTTCTGATTTTGATGGGTTAACAAGGTTTTTTGTTGGGAATTTTTTTATAAAATATTTTTTTATAAATTTTAGATATGTTAAAGCAAAATATGATGAACAACGTTTAGTCTGCCTTATTGACAAGTCTTTATTTGAAGAAGCAAAATCTGTTGCTGCAGAATTGAAAGAATTATTTTTGAAAGAATTTTTGGAGGGCGAAGAGGATGCAAAGTTTATTTTTTTATTTTTAAAAATTAAAAAAAATTTTCAGAATTTTTCAATTTATTAATTTGCCTGTTTATTTACGCAAATTTACACCTCCTTGGATTTATTGTCGTTGTATATTTCGAGGAGTTGAAGCAGCCCAAAGATTAAGAGACTATGAACTTGCTGTAAACTGGTTAATATTTTTGTTGAGTAAACAAGGTTTTTTTTGGAATTTTTTCGATTTTTAAAATTCTCTTTTCCTCTAGAACTCAAACATTTTTGTATCAATTCCCGTGGAAGATGGTATAAACGCTTAGTGCTTAATTTAAATAAACACTTGAAACGAAATGAGGAAGCAGCTAAATTTTGTTGTTTGGGAATTGAAGAAAATTTTGTTTTGGTTTCTGATAAATTATCGCTACAAGAGAGACTTGACAAATTATCTCAACGTGTAGTTGACTGTCCTCAGGCTTTGTTAGAGAAACGTTTGGTTTTGGATGAACCAGAAAAGGTTTGTTAAAATAAAAGGTGCTATGAGTTTATCGGTTTACATTTAATTTTCCTCTTCTTTCTCCTCTAATGAATATTACAAAACGGTCAAATTAAAGTAAAGGTCAGACAAATATATCTATAGTTAAAATATATCTATAGTTAAAATATATCTATAGTTAAAATAGGACGTGTTATTATTTCTGGCTTTGACCATTTTGTAATATTAATGAGAGGTGAAAAGTGAGGAAGTCAAAGTTAAAATAAGACAAGCTATTATTTTTGCTTTGACAATTTTGTAATATTCATGAGAGGAGAAGGTAAGGTAAAGAAGAATATAGGCGGATAAACGCATGGTACCTAATAAATTTTGATAAGAATTTTTTTTTTATTTTTTAGGTTTCAATTACTGGACTTACATTAGGAAAGGGCCTAGGCGATGGTCTTCAAGTTAACCATTTCTATATTCCCTCGACTTCAACTCAACCTAATGTTAATGAAAATGTTCAACCAGAAACTACATTTCAATCAGATACTTTGTCGTCATCTTCAGATACTTCTTCTTGTTCTTCTTTTACTTCTACAAAAAGAGGGAGAGGGCCTTCTGGACAACAACAGCCCTCAACACAAACAACAACAGCTCCAACAAACAATACAAATATAAATAAATGTAACGTTGAAGAAATTGCATTACGTCATTTTATTGAAAATGAAAATTACAAAGAAGGAGTACATGCTGAAGGAAAAATTTGGCATATGTTGTTTAGACTATTCTTTTGGGATATAATTTCGTGTGTTGAATTTGAGAATGAGTTGGCTAATAATGTTTGGATTTCGTGGATGCAAGTGAGGGATTTTTTCAAATATTTTCTCATTATAAGATGCCCCCAAAATTAGGTATTCCGCAATTTTTTAACTTTGATTGGCCACTGGGTATGAAGCAGGGATGTCTCTTGTTTAGAGAAGAAAAGTCGGGTTTCGAATCGAGTCCTTAAAATTTTCGTTGGATCAGGTTCCTAATATTGTATTTCAGGTAACTCTAGACATCCCTGAGAGAATTGACACTCCCTATTTAAGATACACTTCATTATAAGGTCTTATTTTTTAGCTCCAAAGGGATGTATTCAACAATTAAGTTTAATTCGCGAAAATATTTTTAATTTTTCTAGAATGACCCTCTCGATCTTAATTATACAATGTTCTACGAAAATCGCTTAAATTTAATTGATGCTCGACTTGAAAAAATTCTCGATTCCTTGTCTGAATGTATTCTAAACAAAACTTCTTCAACAACATTTGAAGAAAGGATTCCTTCCTCCTCAGGATCACCCCAACGTAAATCTCCTCGAAAATCTCTTCATTGTCCCTGTTTTATTCATTCAACTGTTGACAAACATTACAACGAAAAATTATCAAAAACTATGGGAAATTCGGCTAGAAGTTCTACCATTGAATGGCACGATTTTGAAGGAGGAAAAGAACAACTTTTGGTATAAAATTGTGGTTTTTAAGAAAAAATTGTTTTTTCTAGCGTTTTCTACATTGTTGTTCACCTGTTCTGTTACATGCTTTATTTAAAAAGTTGTGTTCAAATTTTCGTCAAAGCCGTAGTGGATTTCCTGATTTGACCCTTTGGAATGCTGAGGATCGCAAATTAGCGGTAAATTTCAGAGGGATGTCACGGGGTTGAGAACAAAGCTAGGCAGGGTCTCTGATCAGGGTTGTTAAAATTTTCTTCGGATCGGATTTTTGTTAGAAAAATGACCGGATATCTCAAGTAGTCTGATATTGGAGTCCGTGACATCCCTTGTGAATATTTTTAGAAATTAAAATTTTAAAAATTAGACAAAATTTTAATTTTTGTAGGTAGTAGAAGTAAAAGGACCTAACGACAAATTATCTACTAAACAACAAATTTGGTTAGACTTTTTTAAATCTCAAGGTGTTCGGGCTGTTGTATGTCATGTTTCAGGTGAAAATAATTTATTTTTGTATTAAAAATTATTTTTTAGCAAAAAATGATCGGTCGATTGAATAAAAAATTTAAGAAATATTTATAAAAAAATTATATTTATTTTGACTGTGCAGCTTTATTTTATTTTTAGTGATCTTCCCTTTTACTACAAAACAAAAATATATTAATTTATATTATAATTTAATAATTAAAAAAATAAATATTAAAGGTCAAATTTATTTCATTTGCCGGTTTCAGGTGGACTTTATTTATTTGAACCCCCATTAACGTTAACACGCTCACTTTAGTGTACATTTTTGAATCTGATTGTTGACCAGAAGAATGGGTGAGAAGTTGCCCACAATTAAGTCCCTCATTTTACTGGACGATTTTTTGTAGCCCCAAGGATTTACACGCGAGTGAGGTCCGACTGTGGTATTATACGTGCACTTTCTTTTTATAATACTTAAATTATTATAAAATACATATCATAAATTGTTTTAGAAAATTTTTATTTGTAAAAAAATAAATGTTAGCTAATTCAAAACAAAATTTTTTAAAAATCTTTAATGGAGGATGGGAAATTCATAAATCGTATTCAAAAACGAAAGAATCTAAGCTTGAGGGTATGGCTTAGGCGTAGCTACTACCAGTAGCAAAATTTGTATTTAAAAGCAAGAGGGAATATAAAACAGGTCCTACAAAATTACAAAAAATTAATTTTTCTTATAAATAAAAAAATTATTTAAAAATAGAAAAAAATACTAAATGTTTTAAAAACAAAAGAAACTTGTTGCGCTTTTATCAATTGCAACATGACACCAAAAATTTTTATTTAAAAATTTTTTTAGAAAAAATATTTTTTTCTATTTTCTCTCAATTTTTCTTAAAGTTTACTTTGTTGGGGAATTACTGTTTGGGGATCAGTTACAATTTTTTCTTCTAAAAATAAATTAAAGAAATGAGCGAAAAGTGGAATTTTGAAGAGATTTTAAGTTAAAAAATTTTCTAGCATTTTTAAGAAGCATTTGTGCCTTTTGCGCAGGCAAGTTTTTTAACTTTAAATTGTTTACCAAAGGGATTTTTAAGTTAGAAAAGTATAAACTTGGTTTTAAAGTTGAAAATAAGTTTGTGTGTGTCTAGCTTTTATTTGTCCCAAGAAATGTCTAATAGAAAAGCAATAAGTTTTGTATTTTTGTGCGTAATAGAGAATTTAATAGGCGAACAATATTATTTTTATTTTGTCTGCCGTCTCTCTATTTTCCTTTATCTTTCTGTAACTTTTTCCGGAAAATATTAATTCTGATTTTGTTTTGGAGTAGTTGACTTCCGGAAAGTTTATTTTATTAATTTATATTTACTTTTCCGGAAAATAATAATTTTGATGTATATTTCCGGAAAGTTTACTGATTACTTTTCCGGAAAGTTGTTTTGCTTGTATTTCTCTTCCGGAATTTCAAATATTTATTTTTCCGGAAAGTTATACGTATTTTCCAGAATTGTATTTTTTCCTGTATTTTTATTCCGGAATTACGAACAATTATTTTTCCGGAAAGTTTACTAATTACTAGTTAATTTTTAGTATGTATTTTCCGGAATACTTGTATTTTGCTTGTATTTCTCTTCCGGAATTTCTAATATTTATTTTTCCGTAAAATTTGTATTTTTGTTTTATCTTTCTGAAAAACACACAATTTTATTCTGAATTTTCCCATTAGTCAATAAACAGAGTAAATTATAAAAACAAAGAAAAACACACAAAAAAACCTTTATTTTTCTGAAAGATGATCCGCCTAGGTAAAATTTTCTTTTATTTTATTTTTCATTTTTTGTGTGTTTATGGACTAAATAAAAATAAAAGATGCTCTTTTTTTACGGTTCCTTTTCTATCTATCCCCTCTCCTTGGCTGGCAGCAGTCCAGCTTTAAAAAATAAAGGAGAGAGTTATAGTTAGTCCCAAAGCTTTCCTTCTCTAAATTTTTTTTAATTTTCACTGTCCTCATTTTCACTCTCGCGTCAAAATGAGGGTAGAGAAAGAGTTAAAAAAAGAGGGAAACGGACTTTTAGACTTTTTGGCTTATTTTGCTATTATTTGCTCTGTTGCTTTTACTAATTCCTCCTAAACGTAATTTTCTTTCACCTGGATATCTATACATGTTTTTATTTTTTATAATTTAAAATATTTTTAATCTCTATTTAATTTTAATTATTTATTAAAATCTGTACCTTCCCAAATATATCCAAATCTCCTCCAAGATATCTCAGATAACCTTATTCTCTTTCTATAATTATATCAGCCAAATTCTTAAAAAATTTGTGTGATTTTTTTAAATTCTAATTTTAGTTCCCCTTAATTTTAATTTAATTTTAACAACTTTTTGTTTAATTTTATACCTTCCCTTTACTTTTTAACCCTATTTTTACCTTAACTTAAAAAATGTCAGGAGAGGCTTTTCCCCTATAAATTAATTTTATTTATTTTTATTTTATTTGCTCAATGCTTCGTCTTTTTTATTTATTTTTTTAATATTTAATTGTCTAAGCCTTTCTTAAATGATCTAAAATTTTGCGCAAAGATTAATTGGGTTGTTATAATAGGAAGAGTATTTTTACTGAAAATCATTCTGAATTAAAATCAGAATTTAATAATTCCGGAAAAATACATAAATAAACACATCAGAATTAATTATTTCTGAAAAAAATACAAAAAGAAAATACAAAGAAAATACAAAATACTCCGGAAAAATACATGGTCTATTAAAATCAGAATTTATATTTCCGGAAAGAAATGAGAGTATAAACCAGAATTTAACAATTCCGGAAAGAAAATACATAAAATCAGAAAGTTCCGGAAAAATACAAATCAGAACTTATGAAATAGAATATAGAGAATAAACCAGAATTTAATTGTTCTGAAAGTTCAGGTGTATAAATCAGAATTCTGAAATTAATTCTAAAATAATTCCGTTTAAAATTAACTTTTTTTATTGTTTCCAAGCAAAATTATTTTTTTTTAATTTTTATTTTTTATTTTCAAATATTCTCAAAATTTTAAAATTATTTAAAAATTTTTCTTCTGTTTTCGAATTTTTTATACCCACAAAACAAGCAATAAATTATTAAAATATGCAATTTTCTTTTAAAATTTCCCCTTTATTTTTTAAAAATGACTCTTCTTCTTTCTTCATTTTTTCCTATATTTATTTGTAGTTATACATATTTCCCATAACCACATTGGCATTTTTTTCAGCCCCATTTTCTCCCAAAAAATATTGGCTAGAAAAAATTCCTTTACTCCTTTTAGAAGCTCATCATTGTCTACTTCCTTTTGCCAAACTCTCCTCAATATTTTTTATTTGTTATTTATATATTAAATGAAATCTCTACCCCTTTCCCCTCTCTCGAGTTTTTTTTCTACTTTTTATATGCACTTTTAAATATTTCTTTTGTTGAAAATATATTTAAATTATATGTATTTTCTTTCTGTTTATTTAAATTTTTTATTCTTTCCGGAAAAATATACTCTTGAAAACACAAGATATTACCTAGATTATTTTCCAGATTGGTTAAAGCAGTATTTTCCGGAAAACACATTTATTTTTATTCTCCTGAAAAATTTTCCGGAAAAAGATAAAAATACAAAACATAATAAACACATAACAACCGGAAAGACAAACATCTTTCCGGAAAAACATATTCACAAAAATACATTGTAGTTAAATTATGTATTTTCCGGATTGAGTATTAAAACATTACTTCTTTCCGGAAAATACATTTATTTATTTTTCCGGAAAATACAAACGTTCTGATTATTTTTATCTTTCCGGAAAAACATACTCCCGAAAACACATAGTATTTGAATTATCTTCCGGATAATCAAAACATTTATTTTTCCGGAAAATACATTTATTTGATTCTCCTTATTTTATGCATTTTATTTTCTGTCAAAACCAGCTTTCTAGACAAGGATATTTCTAAAACTTAAATCTGTATTTTATTTAATTTTTTTTTCTTTTCCGGAAAAATACATACTAATATTTTTGCATAGAGATTTTTAAAAAATTGCTGCTTTGGTTTGTGGAATAAAAAAATAAAAATGAATTACTGAACAATATTTATTATTTTATTTTGTCATCCATAACCTATTGTGGTGACATTCACACTTTACCCACCAAAACCTCTCAAAATCCCCTTCCGCCGGCTGGAATTGGGAATTGGGGTGTTACAAGTAAGTTTTAAGTCCAAACTCTCTCCTCACCCATGAAAGGGATTCACCACGTAATTTTCTAGAATGTCAGTAGAACAATAAAAAACAAATAAAAATTTTTAATCGGGAAAAAAGTCAAAACAAAAATTATTTTTATTAAATCAACAGTTATTACAAAAAATTTAACCATCTAATTTGAGACCATTTTGCTTTCAGTAATATAATTGCTGATTTGTGATGAACAAGAATAGCATTTTTCATTTCTTCGTCGTTTTTAATTTCTTCACAATTTAAGCCATCAACTATGTTTTTAAATTCATATTGTTTATTGATTAAATTTGTGCCTAATTCCGACGATAATATAAGTAACCCCTCTGGAAAAATAATTTATATTATTTAATATATTATTTAATTTACCCAAAAATAATGCTGTCTTTTTATTTAATTTTGTTAAAAAGCAGCCGTATTCTACATTTGCTGAGTTTGATAATTCTTTGAAAGTCCCTTCGTGTTTGTGTTTCGAAATCCGATTTGTTAATATTTGTGATGTGACCCCAAAGTATTTAATGTTATAAATTTCATTTCCATTGCGCACTATGTAAAGCTAAAATATTTGTATGAAAAGAAAAAAAGGGGTATTACTAAATAAGGGCCTTCCTCCGAAAAATCAAACAATGTGTCTGTATTAGGTAGATCGTCATTATTTAATACTTCCTCAAATTGTAGTGACCACCCGTTTGTATAAAAGTTTTGGATTTTGCAATTTTTGGAATTGTAATGCCTGATTCGGACACAATCAAAAAACTCTTGTTCACAGAAGAAGCATTTTTTTGAGAAAATATTTTGAACTAAAAATGTTAGAGAATAGAAAGTTTGTATGAATAGGTCTACCTTTTGTGGTCTCAGCAAAGGTAAACATACTAGAGAAATCGGGAACGGAAAGTGATTTTTGTTTCAACAATTTTTGTGATTCTTTAAGTCGCTGTAATAACATCTGTTGTGAATCTGCTAATGATGATGGAATTGCTAATGATGGAATTTCTTAAAAATTGTTATAGTTTTTTCTCCCTATATAAACCCCTATCTAATACCAAAAGTAGAAGAACAACCCTCCATTAAAGCATCATCTACTCTATTTTCATTGTAATTATCCAAGTCGAGGTTAGAAGAACTTTGCTCCATAAAGGAATCATCATCTGAAAAGTGACAAAAAAATTTTCTACTTTCTAATTAGACTACTTTGTAATAATTGTGCTCTTTGTTTTACTCTATCAGCTCTGACTAGAGCTGATTCAGCAGCTGCCTTTTCCGCCTTTTCTGTTCTTTTTCGTTGCGCTACTTTTCTTTTTTCTTCCATTTTCTTTCTAATCTCAGGAGTAAATTTCATTTCTAAATTTATTTTATTAGGTCTCACATAACTTTTTATTTTGTCACGGAAAATAAATAAAACCGGTTTCAAATTAAAGAGGGGGTCATTTTTTATAAAACCGGAGCTTATCAGAATTTTAAGTAGCTTATTACCCTAGATATAAATTTTTAAAAAAAGTATATTTTTAAAAAATTTAACTAAAATTTCAACTAACCTTAAAACCTGGAAACAAACTAAGAAAATAAACTTGAAACAAAACAGAAAAATGTTGTCAGAACAAAACCAGAATTTAATTTAAACAAAATCAGAATTTAATTAAAACAAATCAGAATTTGTAAAAACCAGAACCTAAAAAAACCAGAATAAACAATCAAAAACAAGAAAACAATTTTTGAAATTACGAAACTACAAAAGAAAAGAAAAAAATTATAGGAGAGAAAAGATAAAAAGAGAGAAGAGAAAAAAAACATTCATGTAATAAGGAAATAAAGAAAGGGAAAGAAAGGCTGGCACATAATAAAAGGAGAAAATAAAAACAGCAACAGTCGTCAGGCTAAATGAAAGGGAGAGGGGAGTGAGAAACTTTGTTAGAAAAGGCCCAAGGGGGTTTAGATGAGGAAATAAAGAAAAGGAGAAAAAAAAAGTTAAAAAATATAGTCAATCAAAAATCAATTGAGAAACTTTTGGAATAAGCTTACTGGTTATGCCAATATTATTAGGTATATTAGCCCCTTTATTGCAGACAAAAGCCTTTTTGTAAGTGAGGAAGAAGTGTTTTTCTTACCTTTGTTTCTTTTCTTTAATGTTCATATGTTTTTGGAATTAAATTTTTAGTTTTGCTGTGTTTCCTTAAAATTTAAAAACACTTTATTGGGGGCAAAATGTTTTCAAAATAAAATAAAACACATAAATTATTTTCCAGAAAATACAAACAATTATTATAAACAAAACAATATAATCAGAATTATTTTCAAACATTGTCTTTTAAGAATAAAACACATAACTAAATGTTTTCCGGAAAACACAAAAACACAAAAACAATAAATCAGAAAATACAAAAACACCAATCAGAATTATTTTTAAACATTGTTTTTTAATGTTGAGTATTTTTCAGAATTAAATTTTCAGAATTAATTTTCAGAATTAATTTTCAGAATTAATTTTCAGAATTAATTTTCAGAATAATTTTCAGAATTAATTTTCAGAATTAATTTTCAGATTTAATTTTTCAGAATTAAATTTTCAGAATTTTTTCCCAGAATTATTTTTCAGAATTAATTTTTCAGAATTAATTTTCAGAAAAACACGCAACATTCTTTAAAACAAAAAATACAATTTATTTTTCTAAACAAACACAATAAATATCAGAATATTCATCTTTTCGGAAATTAAATTTAACTTTATATTCTTTTTATTCCCAGCATTTACTCTAAAATTCTTAACTTTTCTCGATTTATTTATTTTTTTTATTTCTTTTGTTTTTGAATTTTTTTCGTATTATTTTACAGTTGAGGCTTCTTAACTTCCTTTTTATTTTTTTTCAATTTTTCTCTTAATTTCCTTCAATTTTTCCTCAAAATAAAGGTTTAAAAAACTCATTTATTCTTAACAATTAAGTCCACTTTGACTTTTAATTTTAAAAATAAGTGGAATAATTGCGCAGCCCATAATTATTTTTAAAATTAATTTATTACTCTTTATAACTTTAAAAACAGAATTATTTCAGAGTTAATTTTTAATTGTTTATTTACAATTAGTTGATACACATTTCCTTTACGGAAACATTAAATTCTGATTTTTAATTAAATTTTTTCAGAACTATTAAATTCTGGTTATACTCTGTATTTTCTTTCATAAATTCTGATTTGTATTTTTATGTGTTTTCCGGAAATAATTCTGATGTTAAATGTATTTTCTTTCCGGAATTGTTAAATTCTGGTTTATACTTTCATTTCCTTTCCGGAAAATATTAAATTCTGATTTTTAATAGAACGTCTTTTCCGGAATATTTTGTATTTTCTTTGTATTTCTTTGTATTTTCTTTTCAGAATATTTAATTCTGATGTGTTTTATTCTGATGTGTTTATTTTATGTATTTTCCCTGAAATATTAAATTCTGATTTATTATAATATACATACATCTAGTTCAGTATTTCTACTCATTTTCAATAGATTTTTTGTATTTTTAATCCATTTTGTTATTTACCTTCTTTTTGTGCGTGTTTTCTAAATTTTGTATTTTTAAATGAGAATATAATTTTAAGAAGAAAAATGCCAGGTGCGCTAACATATTTTTGCCATTTTTATTTTTTCATTTTTTATCGCGCAATAATTTTTGAGACAAAACATATGTAAAAATACCCTCCATAAAATAGAATTTTATTACTCTTAATTTTTATTAGTCAATTAATCTTTTATCTGACATCATTTTGTTGTTGTTTTGATATACAGTAGGGAGTTACGGGTGGAAAATTAACGAGAAAAATTTTTTCAGAATTTTGGAATTTTTTAAATTTTACTTATAAAATACTCTTAAATTTACTAATTTATTTTAAAAAAATTAAAAAATTTAAATTTAACTCCATGTGAAAATAAAAAAGAACAAGACTATAAAAAATTAAATGTCAAATTAAGAGAAAAATAAATCTGGAAAAATTTTTGGACATTTTTTCCAAATTTAGAAATAAATTTAAAATTAATTTTGTGTGGGAAAAATGTAAAAAAAGATTTTTTGTTCTTTTTATTTTTTTAATCCCCAAAGCTTTTCAATTTTTAGAAATTCTGTTTTATCGCTTAATTAAAACAAAACACTTTTTCGGGAAACTTTTTGAATTAAATAAAACATCAGAATTTCATCTGAACATCTTCCGGATGTTTCATCTTCCGGACTTTTACGAAATGCAACAAAACACAATGATTTAATTTTTCCGGAAAATACAGTTAAATAAGAAAGGGACACTTTTTGGCGCATGAGGATCTGCCTGATTTTCAGATATGTTATAGAACTCAGAATTTTTATCCTAGTTTCGGTCTAGCAAAATGAGGGCCAAGGCTTTATTTTGTATCTTAACCCTACTAAGTCTTAAATTTTGCCTGGTCCAAAAGTGGTTCCTTTATTAAATTTCAATAATTTATAAAAAATAAAATCATCTTTTTTAATCCTTGTTCAACAATAATTTTTAAAAAATTAACGAGATAGATCGATCTTCTTCGTTAAAAAACTTTTTTTATTGTCCAAAACACATGTTTAGGTTTGACTAAATTTCTGCACTTTTTCTTATTTTTATTGGTTTGTCATTTTTATTCCAAGTTTTTCTCTTCAAAAATATTTTTTCTCCTCAAGTTTTGTTGCCTTTCAAACCTTCCAAGTTTTTATTCTATTTTACGATAATTTTTAATGTTTTGTGTTTTTGTATTTAATTCAAGTTTTAATGTGTTTTCGATTTAAACAACATTCGAACATTTTAACCGGAAAACACACATGTTTTTATTTAAGTAAAACACATGTTTTTCCGGAAAACTTTGTTTAAAACACACACTTATAAACCAGAATTAAACTTTTCCGGAAAGATATTGAATTAAAAAAATCAGAATTTAGTATTTCCGGAAAAATACATATAAAATAAACTTAGTTCATTAAAGAAAATACAGAAAATAAATCAGAATTTAATTGTTCTGAAAAGAAAATTTTTGTGTTAAAACAAAATTTGTTTAAAACACAAACATTGTATTTTTCCGGTTGGGTTTCCGGACTTATTTTTTCTCTCTCCAAGTTTTCTCTCTTCCCTGCTATTTTCCTGTGTTTTAAAAATACTAGAACAAATGTATTTTTGCAATTTTCAACAACAACCAAAGTTTACTAATTTAAATTTTAATTTTTTATTTCACCTACCATTCAACAAATAATTTTTAGATAACATTTAAAGATAAAATTTTTAACTGACGTAACTACACCTTTTGATACCATCATTTTCTTTTATTTTTACCAACCTCCAAAAAACTTATTTTTTTGTCAGTTTTTTTATTTTTTGTATTTTCCTTTAGTTTTTGGTTGAATTTATAAAGAAAATAAAATAATTCTTTTTAATTTTATTTTTTTTCGTATTTTTATCTTCATTAACGATGCTTCATTAAAAGGGAAAAATAAAAGATTAGTAGGTTGAATATAAAAATAAATAAAAAATTAAGCTGCGCGAGTCTTTAATACTTATTTATTAATTCATTGATTTGCCCTATCTTTATATTTTTATTTAATTTTTTTTTGCCTCTTTTCTATATTTTTTAATTATGAAGTTGTTTTTAAAATTATTTTTTAACACGTCTAATACTAATTAAACTTTCCGGAAAACACTTCCTAAAAATACACTTAAAAAAGTTTTGGAAAATACAAATGGACTTACTTTCCGGATTTTATACACATTTTTTGTATTTCACTATACAAAATACTAATTAAACTTTCCGGAAAACACTTGTTAAAAATACACATAAAGAAAATTCCGGAAAATACAAATAAACTTACTTTTCGGATTCTATACACATTTTTTGTATTTCACCATAGAAAATACCTTTATTATACTTTCCGGAAAAACTTTTCCCAAAAATACATTTATATAAACTTCCGGAAAAACACAAAATATATCAGAATTAAACAAAAACACACAATATTCTGTATTTTCCGGATTTGTATTTTACTTTCAATTTGTGTTTTTACAAATTAACCGTTATCTATATATTTTACTTCCTTGTATTTTTCCGGATCTTTTTCTTTCACTTAATCACTTATATTTTCGCCTCATTTCTCCCTCCTTTAAACACCTTAAAAAATTTTTTTTTCATTTTTATTTCTAACCACCTTTTATTTTTTATATTATTATGCCCATTAGGCAATGACGATGCCGACAAAGCACTTGAACAATTTATTGCCTATAATATATATTTATTTTTCGGTTTATCTCGTCATAAAATAGTAAATAATAATTTAGTGAATGAAATAAAAATATGAAAAATGGGAATGAAATTAATAAAATAAAAATAAAAAAATAATTTAAAAAAATTTTTTGTTCTGTTGAAATTTTTAAAAATATCAATTAAATTTTAACTTATTTTTTCTTCTTATTTCCCTCCTAAAATGAACAAAATTAATAAAAAAATAAAAGAAAAGCAAATCAAATTTTTTTATTCTCTAGGGAACAACAAATCCTATTTCCTCATCAATTCCCCCTCTCCGCACTTTTGACAAAAAACTTTTAAGATTTTCCGGTTAGTTAAATGTCTAAACAAATTCAATGGAAAATTTATACACACACCTTTCTTTTATTTTATTTTAATAAAATTTAACTAAGTAAACCATTAAAACTTTAAGTTTCAAGTAACTTAAGTTCGCAAACTTAAGTTTCCGGAAATACTCTTATAAAGAAATTCGCGAACTTAAGTTCGCGAACTTAAGTTTCCGGAAATACTCTTATAAAGAAATTTGAAAATCTAATGTGTTTTTCTGTCTCTAACATTTTTCCGGAAAATACACTTTCCGGTTTTTACACAAATGTGTTTGTGTTTTTTGGAATTGTATTTTCTTTTTCCGGAAATATTTTGTATTTTTTCTGTTCTATGTATTTTCCGGATTTGTGTTTTGTATTTTTCTATCTCTACTTGTATTTTCTGTTTACAATTAAACTTTAAATGTTCTTCCGTAAATCAATTAAAATACTTTCCGGAGAACACTTTTTTATTAAATTAAAATACAGCAATATCCCTCCCCTCAATATCATTTTTCCCTACGCATACAATTCGTAAAATCTTGGGAATATTTTTCAAAATATTTTTAAAAAATATTTTTGAAAAATATTTTATTTTCTATATTTTTCGTTTTGTTTCTCTCCTGCTTTTCACACGACAATGATACCTTTATTTTACCCCCTATTGTTTACATAAGAGAGGGGGAAGGCTTCTTGACTTTGTCAATTTTCTTTAAAAATATTCCCGGCACACTTCAAAAAAAATTTTTTTTGAGTTTATACTTCTCAACTTTAACTTTAAAATTATTTTTTTTCAAGTGGTTTAAGAATTTACATATAATAATATTGGAAATTATCTAAAAACTTTAAAAAAAATCTCTTTAAAACAACTTGACAACCTTAGTTTTGTGTTTTTCCGGAAAAGAAAGAAATGGCTAGAAAACAAACTTGTTCTCTTAAAAACACAAACACACACTTGATTTTTAAGTAAAACAAAGTTTAAAAGAGCAAAAGGACAAAATGTGTATTTTATGTGTTTTTTCCAGAATGTTTGTATTTTTCTTTTAGAATTTGTATTTTCTTTGTATTTTCTTTGTGTTTTTTCAGAATTTATTTTTCTGAGTATATTTATTTAAATTTATTTTTTTCTTCTTCTTTTGTGTTTCATTCACCCACCCACCTACCTAGTTTTTTTTCTCCTATAATTTTTTTCTCCTCGTTTTTTCTAACTCAAAAAATTTTCTGTTACTTCATGTAGCGGTAATTTCATTTTAAAAAATAAAAAAAAAGAAAAAAGAATAAAAAAATTGTTAAAGCTGTTTAACCGCGCAGACGATCTTTTTTATTTTATTTCTACTCATTTACAAACTTTTCACTTTTTCTTTCTCAAAAATTCGCCTTCTTTTATTTTTTCCTAATCCTCTTATTTTCATAGTCTTAAAAATCATTTAATAAATAAATTTAGGAAAAGCATCATCACTTGAAAACGTTATTTTCTGTTAAAATACTTTTCCGGAAAAGTCTCTGTCTTAATTAGAGCCCGGCTCATACGATATTTTTTTTTCAATATTTTTTGAAAAAATTTGAATTTGAAAATTTTTTGAAATTTTTTTAAATTTTTCAAAAATTTTTTTTTTACTTTTTTGATATTTTTGTATCGAATATCTACCAACCCCTCCGGCCGGGCTCTAATTTTAAAGTTTTTAATGTTTTCTGGAATGCGTTTTTTTTTCTTAAACAGAATAATGTGTTTTTCCGAAAAGATTTTTTTTTGTATTTTCTTTAATACTTGCATTTGTATTTTCCTTCCGGAATTCTATTTTTTCTCATGTATTTTTTCCGGAATTTTCTCTCTACAAGAATTAATGTTTTTCTTAACCCATACCTTTATTTCTTAAATCTCCCCATGCGAACTTTTATTGAGGTGATTTGGGGTAATTTAATAATTTTTATATCTATTTGTTTTCACTTTTTTACTATCAAAAAATTTTAATTTTTAATATTTTCAAAAAACTTTTTTTCAAAGATTTTAAAACCTTTTCTGGGATGTACAGCGATGGATTGATGAGGAAGAAAAGGTGGAGGAGACAATTTTACTCTCCCTCCTCCCCTTCCTCCTCTTCATCCTTCCCAACATTTTCTTCTTCATTTAATCAACGACAACAATCACCAAAATATTTTTCCAATCATTTTTTGTTATTTTTTGGCATTTTCACTCTTTTATTAATTATTCAACCAGTTAATGCTGGCACTAATTGTACAGAAGCAGATTCAACAAGAAATTGTGTTGATGGAATGCTTGTCCCTATATGGAAACCTTTTTTAGATTTGGGGACTGAAGATAGATTTTTGAGAGGAATAATATATTTTTTTGTTATTGCATATTTGTTTTTGGGTGTTTCTATTGTTGCTGATAGGTTTATGTCGAGTATTGAAGTTTGTATTTTTTTGTATTTTTAATGGCTTCCGGAAAACACATTTTAAAATATTTTTAAATAAACCGGAAAATGTTTGTTTAAATTAGAAGGCGTTTAATTATGTTAATGTGTTTTCCGGAATAATACTATGAATTTAATATTTTTCCGGAAAACACATTTTATTGTATTTTTTAAACAAATCCGGAAAATGTCTGTTTAAGTTAGAGACAAAACACATGTATTAATAATTTATTTTCCGGAAAACACATTTCGGAATATTTTTAAAACATACCGGAAAATGTTTGATTAACTTAAAAACACACTACAAATGTGAATGTGTTTTCCGGAAAACACATTTATTTATGGTTAAACCGGAAAAGTATGTTTAAATAAAAAAAAACACTTTATTCCACCAGTGTATTTTCCGGAAAACAAGAAATACAATGAATTTAATTTTTCCGGAAAAATGTGGTTTTTTTACTTGAAGATTAATAATTGCAAATAATTTTTACAAATATTTTTAGGTCATTACAAGTATGGAAAGAACTGTTGTAGTTAAAAGATTAGGTCTTCCTCCAGCCAAAGTCAAAGTGAGAATATGGAACGATACTGTAATTTAAGATTAAATTTGAAAATTAATGAAATATTTAAATTAAAGGTGTCCAACTTAACACTTATGGCACTCGGCTCTTCAGCACCTGAAATACTCCTTTCAATAATTGAGGTGGTCGGGAAGGGTTTTGAAGCAGGCGATTTGGGGCCTAATACTATAGGTTATTTATTTAATGTTTAATTATATAATTATTTTTAATAAACTGGGTAATTTTCCGAAAAACACATTCCGGAATATTGCTTAAATAAAATCAGAATTAATTTCAAACAAATCAGAATTAATTTAAAACATGAACGGAATTAATTTAAACAAAATCAGAATTAATTTAAAAACAGCTTGTTTTGTATTTTCCGGAAAAATGCAAAAACCAGAATTAATTTAAAACACAGCCAGAATTAATTAAGAAAATACAAACTTGTTTTAATTGTATTTTCCGGAAAACACTTTCCTTGTATTTTCTTGTTTCTAATAATACATATTCATATTAAAATTACAAAAAATACAAAATACAATTTTCAGTCGGTTCAGCTGCATTTAATTTATTTATGATTATTGCTATTTGTGTTTCTGCTGTCCCCCCAAAAGAAGTTAGAAGACAAAAACACTTGGATGTATTTTTTGTTACTGCAACATGGTCAATATTTGCTTATGTTTGGTTGTGGGCGATTCTTGCTTATTTTTCCCCTGGAGTTATTGAAATATGGGAAGGACTAGTAACTTTTGCTTTCTTTCCTATTACCGTTTTAACTGCTTGGATTGCTGATATTAAATTAATACAGGCATTTTATTTTGAATTTATTTAATTAAAAAATTATTATAATTTAAGAAAAAATTTGTGCCTCATCGTTATCGTCGTGGCTCTCACGGAATGATAGCGACCGAAGGAGAAGAGCTTAAAATGCTTGAAACTACTAATGGAACAAGCGCCTTAACTAATGCTTCTGCTATTGAGTCGTTAGTTTTTAAAATTAAATTTGTTTCAAACAAAAATCAGAAAAACATGTTTTATTAAATTGTATTTTGTTTAAAACATTCCTGAAAACATTTTATTCTGTTTTAAACATTTTAAAAACACACTGAAAACAACAAAACATTAATCTAAACATCCGGAAAATTAAAAACATGTTTGTTTCTGGGAATATTAAAAACATGCTTTGGAAAATTTAAAAACATGTTTCTTTCCGGAAAATTAATAAAAACATCTTTCCGGAAAACACATTTTCTTTAATTGTGTTTTTGTGTTTTTTCAAATATCTCTCCCTCCTTTAATCTTTTTTTAAATTTTCTGGAAAATTAATAAAAACATTTTTCCGGAAAACACATTTCTCTAATGTATTTTTTATTTTGTGTTTTCTTAAAATATCTCTCCCAACTTTAATATTTTTTTTAAACTTTTCTGGGCAACAAACGACTACCGTTATTGGGGACAGGATGGAATGGACCCAGCATTGCGTGCCTTTGAGGAACATCGTCGTGAATTTATTGAAACAATGAGAGAACTCAGAAGAAAAAATCCTCATATGGAACCAGAAGAATTACAAAAACAAGTTTTGAATTGATTAAAATTATTAAAAAAAATTTCCCTTCTCTCAGGCTGAATACGAAATGATCAGTAAAGGACCAAAATCACGTGCCTTCTATAGGGTATTAAATTATTTTTAGAAAAATTAGTAAATAAATTTATTCTTCAAATAAGGTCCAGGCAACTCGTCGACTTGTTGGTGGTGGCGATATTGTTAGAAAACGATTGGCGAGAGAGCATGACAAGGCTTTGGATATTGTTATCGAAGCGCAAGAAAGACAAGCTAGGCATAATACTTGTAGAATATTTTTTGATCCTGCCCATTATACAGTTTTGGAGAATGTTGGGACTTTTGGTGGGTTTGGGATATATTTGTGTTTTTTTGAAATGTTTATAAAATAAAATTGTGTTTTGCTTTACGGAAAACACAATTTTATTGTTTATTTTCCGGAAAAACACATTTTATTTGTTTTCCGGAAAACACACACAATTTTCTTTTATTTTCCGGAAAACACACATAATTTAATATTTGTTTTCTGGGGAAACAAACATTGTAGTATTTTACTTTTTTCCGGAAAGCATTCAATATAATTTATTATATGTATAATTTAACATAATATTTCCGGAAAATACATCCCGAAAGATTTTGTATTTTATCTAAACATAAAAATTTAAATGTGCAAAATACATTTCCGGAAACATCAAAACATCTGTATTTTTAGACGTTGTTGTTGGCCGAGATGGTGGCCCGGAAGGTTTAACAGTCATGGTTGACTACTACACGGAGGATGGAACAGCCAATGGTTAGACACGGAAATTAGAATTTTTAAAATAGAAAATTTTTTAAAATTTTAGCTGGTAGTGACTATAAGCCTGCTAAAGGAACCTTAACGTTTTACCCTGAGGATAGGCACTGCAAAATTCCTATTGGTAAGGAAATTTTATTTTTTAGAAATTTTTTTTTAATTTTTTAGAAATCGTGGATGACGATGTTTTTGAAGAAGACGAACACTTTTATTTACATTTAACAAATTTGAGAGTTCGTACACGTGATGGCCTTATTTTGGTTATTTAACCCCTTGCAAGATGGATATAGTTAAAATATATTTTTAGGACCCTACAAGGTTAGGAGGTGTTCCTCTGGCTCTGCTGGAAATGCCTACTACCGCAACAATTATGATTCTTGGTCTGTTAAAAAAATTGAAAAATAAATTTATGTAAAATACTCAGATGATGACCATGCTGGTGTATTTTCATTTGAATACGATCACTTTCAAGTTGTTGAAAATTGTGGACATATAACTCTCAGGGTGCAAAGGACAAGTGGATGTAGGGGTCAAGTCTTACTGCCTTACAAGTAAACTTAATAATTTTGTAATATATTCCGGAAAAAGAAAATATAATATAACTTTCCGGAAAAGGATATTCATGTGTTTTGTGATGTTTATTATTCTTTCCGGAATATTTTCCGGAAATTTTATTTTTAAAATTAATTTAACTATGTATATTTCGGAAAATACTCATGTGTTTCATTGTTGATGTATTTTTAAACAACTTTTCCGGAATGTACATATTTTCCGGAATTTTAATTTTTCAATATTATTTTTAAATTATTTTTAAAAATACAATTTAAGAACTTACGACGGGTCTGCTACCACCGGTAAACATTATGAAGCTAAAGAAAGCGGAGAAATCCTTTTTGAGGATAATCAAACTGAGTGAGTTTAAATAATATTTTTTTAATTTTATAAAATAAAATTTAGGGCCTTTATTGATATTGGAATTGTTGATACCGAACAATACGAACGCTCAGATTTTTTCTATTTGGAATTGTCACCGCCTGTTTGGACTAAAAAGATGTCCGGTAAGCAAATTACCTATTTTCTTTTTGTATTTTATTAGAAACACATTTCCGGAAAAAATACAGTAAAAACACACACTTTCCGGAATTTTGTATTTCTTTTTTAAAACATTTTCCGGAAAAAATACATTCAAACTATTGTATTTTAACACACACTTTCCGGAACTTTAAAATTCCGGAAGCAACAATGTATTTTTTTAAAAACATTTTCCGGAAAACACTTTATAATTTAATAAAATACAACCTTAACAAAATACATTTTTTCACCTGATTAACAACAAAAACACAAAACACATATAAACTTTTAAAATAACAGAATTTAAAGTTTTTTTTCTTTTAACGCTTAATAAAACAAATAAAAAATAACAAATAAGGAATCCTGGGAAACTAATTAAATCTAATTTTAAAAAATTAATAAAATATTGCTTTTTTGCTTCTGCTAGCCTTTCTCTTTTACTTACTTTTTACCTTGTCTAATTATATTTTTACATAAATATTTTTTCTGTGTTGATTTTTAGTTTTTTTGTTTTTAAATTATATTTGGTTTTTATTAAACATTTTTTTAATTTTCTTTTTTTTTTTAATTTTCTCTGCTTTTTTGTTTTTTACATACAGTGAGGAGCAAAAGTTTGGAACATTTTGCTTTAAATTAGTAAATCAATAATTTTTCTTTCATTTATCAGTTAATCGTCTGGATTAAATTTTTTAAAAATATCTATAAGTGTTGTCTTTAATATGACATTAAATGTTTCTAATAAGCTTCGCATATTTTTATATTTTACCCTATTTATATTTTATACCTAAAAAATAAGGGGTGCAAAAGTTTGGAACATTTTTGATTTCATTATATTTTAATGTCAAAATCTTAATAAAAAAATCTAGAAAAATTCATGCAAGCATATTGATCTATAATAAAGTAAAATAAAGGAGAACTAGGCCCATATCTCATTTCATTGTCGAAATCTCGCTACCCTGAAATCAACGTAAAATGTGGGTAAGTCACTTAAAAAAATATTTTCGACCTCTTATGGATAGTTTTGAACTTTCATTTTGTGCTTATCTTAAAGCCCTTGAAATTTGCTTTAAGATAGCATTAATATAATTTTTAAGAAAAAATTTGATAGCGAGATTGTGACCATTTATCTTTCTGATACAACAAAAAACGCCTAAATGCCCCATAAAATGACCTTTCAAAAATAAAAGGGTCTATATCACCCGAATAGATTTTTCCTGAAAAGTAAAATTATACCTATCTTGTAGCAAATTTCAAGGGCTTTCAGATAAGCCCAAAATCGAAATTCAGAATGACCCATAAGAGGTCGAAAATATTTTTTAAGTGATTTACCCCTATTTTACATTGATTTCCGGGGTGTCATGATCTCCGGTTAGAGTAACGATATGGACACAGTTTCTTTTTATTCTTTTACAATATCATTATCTTTGAACGATGAAAATTTTATAGATTTTTTTCGTTGGAGTTTTCCATAAAAATACAACAAAATCAAAAATGTTCCATACTTTTGCACCCCTTATTTTTTAGGTATAAAATATTTTAAGGATAAAATATAAGAATATCTGAAGATATTTAAAAACTTTTATTTTCATTCTATAGATAACACTTATATTTAATTTAAAAAAATTTAATCCAGCTCATTCGTTGAGAAATGAACGAAAATTTATTGATTAACTAAATTACAACAAAATGTTCCAAACTTTTGCACCTTACTGTATGTATTTGCTTCATTTCTCCTTACACTTTTCTATCATTCAGTTCAAGCAATTTAATTTTTAATTTTCTGGAAAAAAATTTTTTTGAAGAAAAATATTTTGAAATAAAATTAAATAAAAAATTAACACATTAAAAATTAATTAACTTAATAAACTAAAATTATTTGCTTCAATTTTAATCTGCCTAAAAGCTTCATTTTTATGTTGCTTTTTAATTTATATTCAAAATATTTTTCAAAAAAATAATTAGATATGAAAAAAGTCCAAGAACGGTTCCATCGACGTATGGAAAGAAAAAGGGCTTCGTCTGCTGATCAACAACGCCGTTCTAGTTCTGCAGCATTAAATGAACAACAACGGTTAAACAAAAGTTTTGATAATAGACGTCAGAGCACTACAAGTACTTTGGGAGAAGGTAAAAAAATTTTTTTTAGAAATTAAAAAATTAAAAACCCTCAAAATTAAACGAAAAATCAAAAAATCATTTAAATTTATTTTTAATATTTTTCAACTAAAATTTCCTTTTTTCTTCACATTTTTTCATATTTTTTCATTATTTTCTCTATTTTTACTATTTCTCTTCATTTTACATGTTTCCCATGTTTTGTAAGACACAGGCGGCCAAACAAACTTGTTGAGCCCAGAGATGTCTTCTGAAAATGAAAACAAAAAACAAAACAAATCAATCAGAAAAAGAGTTAATTCTTGGTTTGGACAAACATCGCAAGATAAAGAAAATTCAGGTTAATTTGTGTTTTTGTTGTTGTAATTATTGTATTTTGATGTTTTGTATTTTCTTTCATGTTTTTCACAATTGTTTGTTTAAATGTCTCATTTGTAATTTTTGCTTTGTATTTTTAAATGTGTTTTTCCATGTTTTACAATTTATTAAAGTTTTAAGAAAAACATTTACAAATTGTAAAAAAACATTTTACAATTTGTAAAACATTTTACAATTTGTAAAACATTTTACAATTTGTAAAACATTTTACAATTTGTAAAAACATTTTACAATTTGTAAAGAAACATTTTACAATTTGTAAAAACATTTACAATTTGTAAAACATTTACTTTGTTACAAACATTTTGTTGTTGCAAACATTTTATTTGTTGCAAACAATTTGTTTGTGTTTTTGTAGCCCAAACATGTTTTTAACAAAAACATGAAATACAAACATTGTATTTTTCTTTTGTATTTTACATAAACACATTTTCCTCTTTCCTAGCTTGTTTTGCTTTTTTGCTTTCTGTCCCAAACGCTTTTAGCTTTCTTTTGTAATTGTAAAAAACATAAGGGCAAGCAGAAACATTAATTAATTAAAAATATATTTATAAAAATTATTTAATAAAAAAATTAGAGAAAATAATTGCTTTTAAATATGTCCTAGTCTTTCTTAAATTAACCAAAAAAATATTTTTTAAATTATTTTCTATTTTTTTTAAATTTCAGATGAGAATTTAATGAATTTAACGCCTGATCAATTAGAAATTGCTGAACTGGGAAAGCCACGATTGGGGGAATTTAGAAAATGTCAAATTACTATAAAGGAGAGCAAAGAGTTCCAGGTAAAAAAATTAATTTTTTAAAATTTATTCTTTTATATTTTCATCAAAATTTACAAATATATGTGTAAAATCACAAGGGATCAGTAGGGGAATAATGAGTTATTTGGCTATAATAAATGATTTAATTGGAGGGGTATTTAATTATTTAATTCTAAATTATCTAAATTTATTATTATTTTTCTAAAACTAACCTAAGAATTATTACTAAACTAAATTTTCTAAAGAGAGGGGTAGAGGGAGAGTATATAGGAGGGATCAAATGTCACCTATCTTTTAATTGTTTCTAAAATGTTTTATCAAAATTTCTTTTTCTTTTCTTCATTCTAATAGTACTCAATGTCCATATCCTCCTCCATGACCATATCCTCCTCCTCCATGGTGACTATGTCCTCCATGACCTCCCCAATGCCCATCTCCTCCATGACCGTCCCAATGTTTGTCATCATGATGTCCACTGTGGGATCCCCAACCGCTATAAAATTTTATTTTTATTTTATTTTAAATGGGGAATATTTTAATTTTTTATAAAAAATTTTTTTTTGCCTGTCATGTCCATCTCCATGGGCATGTTTGTAGTCAGTTCCATCATCCTTTAAATTAATTTTTTTATTAAAAAAATTTTTTTAAACTAACATGTCCATCACCCCAAGCACTATTATATCCCTTAGCATACGAATCCCCTTGTGCCTTATTTCCTTGGCCTCCGTATTGATAATTAGACCAGTCTGATTTGTCACCCTTTGCATAACCGGCTGCGTGTCCATCGTCTTAAACAAATTTGTGTTTTATCTTTTGTTTAAATCAGAATATTTTATAAAATACATCTTTCCGGAAAATACAAGTTTTGTAAAAACTTCCGGAAAATACATGTTCCGGAAAATACAAAATACACAACTTTTAATAAAACACAAGTTTATTATAACAGAAATACATATTTCTAAAACACACGTTTCATAAAGTTGTATTTTCCGGAATTGTTTTCCAAGCCGAAACAATATTATTAGAAAACACAAAATTCTTCCCTACCGTGATTGTCTTTATGTTTGTAGCCATGTCCCCATCCATCATTTCCATACCGATCATGTCCCCAATCCCCATGTTTTCCATATCCATCATGATGTACTCCATGCCCATGATGACCGTGTTGTCCATTCCAACCTTCATGCCCGTCATGGGAATGCCAGTACGGCGCAGCGCCCCATCCATAACCTCCATATAACCCTCCGTAAAGGCCTTCTTAAATTTATTAATTTTGGATTTTAATGCCAAAAATCTTGGAAATAAAAAAAAAGTTTACCTGATGCATTTATCAAATTTACAAAGGCGGCGATTACTATAACACATTGGATTAGTCTTAAAAAGTTAATAGGGATGGACATGTTTTGGAGAGTTGTAAAACTTGTTTTACAAACTTGTTTCTCTCTAAAACAAAAACACATTTATAAATTAAAAAATGTTTTGATTTTAAATGAACATTTCGTTGGGAAAATGTTTGGGGAATTGTAAAACTTGTTTTACAAACTTGTTTCTCTCTGAAACAAAAACAGGTGTTTTTGTTTCTAATAAAATTGAGTTTGGAAATTTTTTTTATTTTTGAGGCTAAATAAAATATTATTTTTAAATGTTTGTTGTGTTTTTCCTGAAAATATTTCCAATTTATATAGGCTTCCAAACATTATTTTTTATTTGTATTTTTATTGTTCATTGTACATGTCAATCATTTTAATCACCTTGGCATTATCGGCATAGCCTCATTAAAAGCTTCAAATAAATTTTTTTCCTTAATTGTTTTTTCATAATTTTTGATTCTTTTTTAATTATTTATTTTTATTACATTAATTGTCCTTTTTTACTTTTTTTTGTCCTTTTTGTGCCGATTGCACAATCTACTAGTAATTAAAAAATATATTTTCTCAAAAATAATATTGTGTAAGCATTAATTGCTTTTCCTATTATTATTTTAAATAATTGCCTACAACCAACTAATATTTTTTCTGGCCAAAAATCTTTGCCGGTAACTAGCTTCCTACAAATTTACCTGTTTTGTTGTCTAGACTAAGAAATAAATTAGAACAGAGTAAAACAATTTGTTTCTTGTTTTATTTGTCAGAAAAACATTAAAAACACAAAACACCAAACATTTCTATTTTCCTGTGTTATTAAATGTTTTGGGAAACATTAAATAAACTTTTCTTGACAAACATTTTAAAAACATGTTGTTTTAGTATGTTTGTAAAATATTTATTAAATTAGTTTTTTAAACAAACATTTGTATTTCCTTCTGTTTTGTATTTTCTCATGTTTTGTGAAACACAAACATTTGTATTTTCAAATGTTTTGGGAAACAAACATTTGTATTTTCTCATGTTTGGGAAACAAAAACATTTGTAAAACATTTTGAAAAATTAAAAAAAGTTTTAATTTAAGGGTGTTGTTGACAGAATGTTAAAAACAGCAAATGCCTCATTTATGCTTGGAACTAGCAGTTGGCGAGAACAATTTATTGATGCTTTAACTGTAAGTGCTGGAGATGATGATGATGAAGAGGAAGAAGGAGGAGATGAAGATGAAGGAAAAACAACTAAATTAGTCATTCGGGAGCCGGGAGAAGCTGATGGATTGAAAGGGGAGGAATTGTCAATTACAAAAGGAAAAGGGAAACAACCGAGTAAATCTGACTATTTAATGCATTTTATTTCTGTCCCGTGGAAGTTGGCATTTGCAACTATTCCACCTACTGGTTATTTTTTAAAATTAAAAAAAAATTTATTTAAAATTTTCAGATTATTGGGGTGGTTGGGCATGTTTTACAGTCTCTATACTCATGGTAATATTTATTTTTATTTTAATAGAATAAAATTAAATAAAATTTTGTAGATTGGTCTTTTAACCGCAGTTATTGGTGATCTTGCTTCTCAATTTGTAAGTTGATTAAATAACACTGAAACACAATTTTAGAAAGCACTAAAGCACAATTATTTAAATAAAAACATTGTGTTTTTTGTGTTTTCAGGAATATCGAAACATTATTTTCCGGAACTTACAAAGCTTTTGGAAGATTTGTAAAACATTCTAGAAACATAACAAAAGAAACATTGTTTAAACATACCAAAACATATTTTATTAATTTAGCAAAAACAAATGTTTTTTTCTTAAATATTATAATTTACTTAAAACAAGTTTAATAACCTTGCTGAAGATTGTAAAACTTGTTAAAAATATTTATAAAAAAGAAAATATGTTTCGAAACATGTTTGAGGAGAAACCTCAAGTTTTGGGGAATGTGTTTTTCAATAACATTCTTGTATTTTTCTAAAACATAATTAATAATTTTGTTTTTATTTTTAAAGGGCTGTTGGGCCGGTCTCAAAGATGCAGGTCTAAAAAATATGCCTTTAAAAATTGCAGTTTTTATTTTTTAAGTTACTGCAATCAGTTTCGTAGCATTAGGTACTTCCGTTCCCGACACTTTTGCAAGCAAAGTTTCTGCTGTACAAGACAAATATGCAGATAATTCAATAGGTAGAATTACAAAAAAATTACAAAAATAATTCAAAACTTTATCCACTCGACTATACTCCACCTTTTTTTAAGTATATTTACTGCTTTCTTATGGTATTCGATAACAATATTCTTTAAATCTTCCTTTGATAATTCTGCTATTTCTTTGTCTGATAAGCCTTTAGTAATATTGGTAAATTCATACGTCTTGTTTAATAAATTGTAGCCGAGCTGAGAAGAGAGGATGAGGAGTCCTTCTAAAAATTTTTTTAAACATTTTCAGTAATAAAAATCAGAGTTGAAAAACTTTCCAAAAAACTCCCAAACTTTCAAATCTAATAAAAATGTAAATACCCAAAAATGATGCTGTTTTTTCTGATAAATTCTCTAATAGTATTGCATATTCAGGATTCTTTAACTCGATGAATGTTTTTGTGCATCTGTGATTTATCATACGTATTTTGATTTGTGTTGTTATTCCAATATATTTTAAATTGAATCTTTTTTCACCATCTCTAACTAAATACACCTAAATAGTGTATTGTTAATTTTATAAAATATTAAATTTTACTTTATATTTACCAGACTCATTAGAAAAATCAAAATCTTGTTGTTGTAAGGATTCATCATTGAAAAAAGTTGACCATTTGTTTGTTGAGTAAAAAGAGGTGATTGAACATTTTGAAGTGTTGTAATGTTTTGTAGTAACAACATCAGAAAAATAAAACAAACAAAAAAAACATGATTTTTGAAAAATTGAGAATTTTGCTAAAAATGCAAAAACAACAATAAAGTTTTGTAAAAAATTTTTACATTTAATGACATCTTCAGAATTTAATTGAATATTTTCCTCGAGTAGTGTTTCAGCTACTTCAAGTAATTCATCATGTTTCATATTAGACAAATCAAGCATTGAACCCCGCAAATCATTAGAAGGCCCTTTAAAAGTTAAAAAAAAATTCTTTTAAAAAATTAAAAACCAGCGACATCATGACAAGCATCATAAATCTCTGGTTGAACACCCAAATTTTCATCTCCGCTAGTTTCTCCAACAAATTGTTCATCTTCTGTAAATATTTCAGCCTAAAAAGAAAAATAGCTTCGGTACAAATTTAAAACTAACTTCTTTGTCTTCCTCATTTTCTTCAGGCTTTTTCCACCTAGATTTTGATGCATTTGCTGTGCGTTGTCTTCTTTTTTCTTTTTTATTTTTCTTTGCCTCATTTCCTATAGCGCTGTTTTCGCAAAAAAATTTTTTTGTTGAAGTATTTTGGGACATTCTGAAATTTCAACATAGGAAATTTTTCATTAAACATAGGTTTTCTTAACTCAATTTTTCGCGAAAATATTAAATAAAGTCTGCTTTTCAAAATAGACGGATAAAAAAATTTTTAGACGGATTTACCCCGAGATATAAATTTTTAAAAAATATAGCTAAAATTTTTAACTAACCTTAAAACCTGAAGCAGAATCAAAAATAAACTTGACAAATAAACTTGAATTGTAAAACTTTCAAATAAACTTGAAGCAGAAAACCTAAAAATCAGAATTTGTATTTTTACTAAATTTAACGAGATTAAAACCAACCTTGAAACCAGAATTTTTAAAAATCAGAATTTGTAAAATCAGAATAAAATTAGGATAAAATCAGAATTTTTTGTCAGAAATAAACTAGAAAAACAAGACAAATTTAAATTCCAAAACTAACACAAAAGAAAAGAAATAAAATATGCGAGAGAAAAGATAAAAGAAAGAAATATAGGCACAAAGAAAAAACAAGACGTTTTGTCGTCTTGTTTTAATTATCTCTACATATTTTACTAATATTCTAAAAAACAAAATAAATAAAAATCTAAAATAAACAGAAACCCGGAAAAAACAGAATTAAAACAAAATCAGAATTTGTAATTTCAGGAAATGTTACTGGATCAAATGCTGTAAGTTTATTTTAGATTCTAATGTTTGTATTTCTGTGTTTTTTTATTTAATCTAGTTTTAAACACAAACAAGTTGTAAAACATGTTTTAATACTTGTGTTTTTCTTATTAAAGTTTGTGTTTTAGTGTTTTCTGATTTTGTGTTTAGATTTGTGTTTTTCTTTTTAAAGTTTGTGTTTCTGATTTTAATTAAGTTTGTATTTCTGTTTGTGTTTTAGTTTTCTTTATTTAATTATTTTTTTAAAAACATATTTTACAAACATTCCAACTTTTTTTAATAAAAACACAAAATTATAGGTAAATGTATTTCTCGGTATTGGTATAGCTTGGACATTAGCAGCCGTTTATCATTGGTTCAAAGGAAGTGTTTTTCGAGTTGATCCTGGGTAAGAAATATTTTTTAATTTTATTTTAATTAAAAAAAAATCATTTTTATAGAGCATTAGCATTTTCTGTTACTATTTTTTGTATAGAAGCATTTGTTTGTGTTATTGTTATTGTGGCTAGAAGACATCCGTAAATTAATATTTTATTTTTTATAAATTATTTAAGAATTAAGAAATTTTTAAAATTATTTTTAAAATTAAAAAAAATATTTTTCAAAAAATAATTTTAATTTTTTTTTCATTTAAAAATTAAAAAAATATATTTAAGAGCAATTGGAGGCGAATTAGGAGGCCCTCGCAAATTCCAAATTCTCACATCTGGATTTTTTGCATGTCTATGGCTTTTCTATATTGGAATTTCTGCTTTAGAATCCTACTGTGTAATTGCTGGATTTTAAATTTTATTAAAAGGAAGAGAAGAAAAAATTTTTGAAAGAAGAAGAATATCAACTCTTTTATTGTCCCGATTTTATTTTTTTTATTTTTTAGACTCCCAATTAGCTCAATAATTCCCAAAAAAATTTTTTCAGTTGTCTAGTCTATTATTCAAAGAATTATTTTCTGAATTAGAAAAAAATTTAAATAGGCCAAAAAAATATTTTTGAAGGTAAAAGATGAATGATGGCAATTGTTCGCTTATCCAGCCATTCTTTATTAATTTTTGTGTGTCTTCTATTTTTCTCCATATATTTTTTTATTAATTTTTTACAAATTTATTTTTATTTGAAATTTTTATTATTTTCTATCCAAGAATTTATTAAAATTTAGCACATTTCAAAATTATTTTTAAAAATGTCAAAAAGCAGCTTCCTCTCTACACTCATGTGAAATCATACAAGAAATGTTTCAGATGCCTTAAAATCCCCCCATTTATTCTCTTATTATTTTTGTATTTTATCCAAGCATTTTCCCTCCTTTTTATATTTTTTGAACTTGAAAACACTTGTTTTTGTCTATTTTGTTTTTATTAGGAAAACATGATTTAGTATAAATATATAGTGTGTTTTTATTTAAAATGTGTTTTTGATTTGTCTATGAAAATTTGGTATAATAGGGAATTAATCAGTTGTTACTATACACTCCGCGTCAAAAAGATTCTGACACCTAGTTTTTTGAATATATTTTTCGATTATCTTAACGATTATGGTAAATACTATATGAAAGATACAAATAATGATCAAAGATATATGTCTAAACAAAAAGTTTAAAAAAAATTTGAAGTATAAATTTTTTATGAAATAATTTCTAAAAAACATGTGCGTCAAAAAGAATCGGACACTTTTTTAAAAATTTTTTAAGGTGCCATAAATGATCCAAAAATTCCGCAAAAATTTATACGAACATTTCCATCAATATCGAGTAGAAATGCAAAAAGAACGAAGTCCATAGATGCATTCTTCATTGAGATTTCAAATCCTCAAAATCAACGGAAAACGGGGGTACAGTACTTAAAAAAATATTTTAACCCCCTTAGGCATTTTATAATAAAATTTTTTCAGGCCTATCTGAAAGCCCACAAAATTTGCTACAAAAAACACTTGGTCCCATCCTTGAGAAAAAATTTACCATAGAGGCCCCATCGGTTAAATTTAAAAGTTAGAAATAATGTTAATTTATGGGGTGATTTGAGTTAATTTGTTTATCTGCTCCTTTAACCGATGGGGCCTCTATGGTAAATTTTTTCTCAAGGATGGGACCAAGTGTTTTTTGTAGCAAATTTTGTGGGCTTTCAGATAGGCCTGAAAAAATTTTATTATAAAATGCCTAAGGGGGTTAAAATATTTTTTTAAGTACTGTACCCCCGTTTTCCGTTGATTTTGAGGATTTGAAATCTCAATGAAGAATGCATCTATGGACTTCGTTCTTTTTGCATTTCTACTCGATATTGATGGAAATGTTCGTATAAATTTTTGCGGAATTTTTGGATCATTTATGGCACCTTAAAAAATTTTTAAAAAAGTGTCCGATTCTTTTTGACGCACATGTTTTTTAGAAATTATTTCATAAAAAATTTATACTTCAAATTTTTTTTAAACTTTTTGTTTAGACATATATCTTTGATCATTATTTGTATCTTTCATATAGTATTTACCATAATCGTTAAGATAATCGAAAAATATATTCAAAAAACTAGGTGTCCGAATCTTTTTGACGCGGAGTGTAGAAACCCGTTATTTAGTAAAAGGCTTGTTAGCTATTAAGAAGATCTCCTTGTGGTCGATATAATAAAAATTAAGAGGGTAGATTAGGAAATCAGTCCCTTGCTACATAATCGAAGCCCCTGTTTGTAGGTAGTAGAATAGGCCTGAGAGGTCTAGATTAGGGAATTGGTACCCTTGATACCAATTAGAAGACACCTTCGTGGGTAGTAGAATAGCCATTATCTGGCTAGATTAGGGAATTGGGTACCTCCATACCGAATAGAAGATCCCTTTGTAAGGTGTAGAATAGCAATTAAGGGGCTAGATTAGGGAATTAGTCCCCTTGATACCTATCATAAGACCCATTTGTGGGTAGTAGAATAGGCCTGAGAAGGCTAAATTAGGGAATTGGGGACCTCCATACCGAATAGAAGACCCCTTTGTGGGTAGTAGAAGAGCACTTAAGGGGCTAAATTAGCAAGTTTGTCCCTTGATACAGAATAGAAGACCCCTTTGTAGGACGTAGAATAGGCCTGGGAGGTCTAGATTAGGGAATTGGTACCCTTGATACCTATTATAAGACCCCTTTGTATGTAGTAGAATAGGCCTGAGAAGGCTAAATTAGAAAATTGGGGACCTCCATACCGAATAGAAGACCCCTTTGTAGGCTGTAGAATAGCAATTAAGGGGCTAGATTAGGGAATTAGTCCTTTTGATACCTATCATAAGACCCATTTGTGGGTAGTAGAATAGGCCTGAGAAGGCTAGATTAGGGAATTAGTCCCCTTGATACCTATTAGAAGACCCCTTTGTGGGTAGTAGAAGAGCACTTAAGGGGCTAAATTAGCAAGTTTGTCCCTTGATACAGAATAGAAGACCCCTTTGTAGGACGTAGAATAGGCCTGGGAGGTCTAGATTAGGGAATTGGTACCCTTGATACCTATTATAAGACCCCTTTGTATGTAGTAGAATAGGCCTGAGAAGGCTATATTAGGTAATTAGTTACTTTTTTATTTCCAAGTGTTTTTATTATAATAATATTAGTATTAGAAGTAGCCGCCAGTTGACCCTCTTTAATGAGTCCATCACTTAATAAAAAATATTTTTGTTTTTTATTATCAGTAAATTTTTTTCTACTTTGTTACGTCAGTTGTTAATTTTAGAGTCAACCATCTGTCGCATGAGGAAAAAGGAATTTTAAGGGGAGAATCAATCGAGGGAGAGATCAAACATTTAAAGATGGGCAATATTTTTATTTATTTTTTTAAACAAAAATCTCTGGATTAATTTTTTGACAAGCAAAAAATAAATGGTTTATTAAATTATTCCGGATATTTTTTTTATTTTTTTTCTTAAATCATTTTTCTTCATTTTTCCTCTAAATTACACCAATCTGTCATTTTATTTTATAAAAATGTTTTTTAGCTGGAAAAATTTTTTTTTTCATATTTTTTACTTATTTTTACTGATTTTACGTATAATAAGAAGAAAATAAAATGCATTCCTCATACTCCGAAACGGTCGGACAAATTCTGCCTGAAGGTATTGAACGGCAATTACGTTCCCAATTAAGAGCTTTACGTTTTGAACACCCACAAGAATATGCTAGACTACAACAATTAGAAGTTGGAAAATTTTTAGCTTCAAAATCTTTGCATAATTGGCTAAGTGAATGGGAATTGAGTAGATGGGATAGTGAAAGGAAAAATAATAATGAACTTTTGTGTTTTAATTTAAATAATAACAGAAATAATTTGTGGCAGAGAAGACAACAAAGAAATTTTAAGGTGTAGTTAAAAATAAAAATCAGAATTTGTAATTGTAAAAATTGAGAAGTTTAATTTTGTTAAATCAGAAATTGTGTTTTGGAATAATTCTGGAATTTAATCAAGTTTATTTCAGAGACAGAAAATCAGAATTTGTAATTTTAATTAAAACCAGAATTCTAAATTGAAAACCAGAATTTGTAATTAAAAAAATAAAATCAGAAATTGTAATTTCACGGAAAATTCTGATTACAATAAAAATCAGAATTTGTAATTTAAAAAATAAAATCAGAATTTGTAATCCTACAATAAAAACCAGAATTTGTAATTTACGAAATAAAATCAGAATTTGTAATCCTACAATAAAAATCAGAATTTGTAATTTGCAAAATAAAATCAGAATTTTCAAGAAACCAGAATTGTAATTTAATTAACAGAATTGTGTATTTATCAATTACAATTTGTATTTTAATCAGAATTTTAAAAAACCAGAATTTATGTTTATTAAAAATCAGAATTAGTTACGAACATTATGTTTCATGTTTTAGTCTGATGTTGCTGTTCAATGCGGTGTAATAGAAGAGGAGCCGGAAAACAATGTTTTCAACAATAACAATGAAGAATATTATTACAACAACAACAAAAACAACAGCAACAAAAACATTGTAAACAACCAAAACTTTAATAATTTTAACAACAACAACAATGTTTATAATAATTATCGACTACCAACATTCCAACAAAAACATTGTTGGAATTCCTTTCCTTCGCAAATGGATGCTAGTACAAACACTGCAACAACAACAGAAGAAACGATAACAACAACGGGGACTGGAGGGACAATGAAAGTGTTTAGACGGGCTTCTTATTTGGAGGAATATGCAAGTGGGAAAGAATATTTTTTTAATTAAAATTCAAAAAAAATTTTTTCAAGTGAACAGAGTTCGCCAATTAGAAGAAGAACGACTTGCAAAGGAGGCCATTTTTAAGGATAAAAATAAAAAAATTAAATGTTGTGGGATTAAATGTTGGAAGAAATTGGGGTGTTTTTGTTGTTGTTTGGGGTGCTCTAGAAAGGTGAATTTTATTTTTCCTTTAATTTTTTGATAGAAAAATTTGTGGGGAATTTTTTAAAAATAGTCTTCAGACCAAGAAAAAAATTTTTTTAGTAGAAAATTTTTTTTCCTAAATCCAGAAAAAGAAATCTACAGGAAATAATAGCAACCCAACAACAGCTACCAGTAGTCTATCTTGTAATAACACAAACAGCATTCCTTCCAAAAATCAGAATTCTTCAAAAACATCAACTTGTTCAATGCAAAATATAGAACAATTATCAACCTCTTTAAATGGAAGAAAAAGAAATTTAAAAAATAAATTAGAAAAATATGAAGGGACAATAAATAGTAATAAACCTGTTGTTGTTAAGTTTACTTTGAGTAGATCTGGTGGAGGTGGTTATAGAAATGAGGGAATGAGATGTTTTGATAGAGACGAAACGAACAATTTTGAAGGTAAAAAATGTTTAGAAAAACAATTAAACATTATTAAAACATGTTTGTGTTTGTAAATAATTCTGGTTTTTGAACAAAACACAAATTCTGATTTTATTAAAACCCAAATTCTGATTTTTAATTAAAACAGAAATTCTGATTTTTGAACAAAACACAAATTCTAATTTTATTAAAACACAAATTCTGATTTTATTAAAACACAAATTCTGATTTTTGAACAAAACACAAATTCTGATTTTATTAAAACACAAATTCTGATTTTTGAACAAAACACAAATTCTGATTTTATTAAAACACAAATTCTGATTTTTGAACAAAACACAAATTCTGATTTTATTAAAACACAAATTCTGATTCATGCTTAAACTCAGAAATACAAATAAAATACAATTAAAACACATTCTGATTTTTAAACAAAACACAAATTCTGATAAAATTACAAATAATTGTAAAAATACAAATTCTGATTTTTCATCAGAACACAATCTAAACACGTAAATTTTATTTATTTATAGGCATGAACAATAGTTTACAATATTGTAAAAACAATGGATGGGGAAAGGGAGGAATAACAACAGCACAATCCCCACTTAATTATGATAATGTAACAGAAGAAATGTTGTGGACATCAATGCCTGGAAAAAGGAGTGATTGGTGGTGAATTGTAAATAAGAATAGAAAAAAATTGTTTTTTAGTTTTTAATTGTTAAATATTTTAAAAATTTGTTTTCTTATAAAATTAATTATTATAAATAAAGTAAAGATTAAAATTAAAGATAAAAATTAAATAAAGAATGAAAATATGTACTTATATAAATTTAGTAAAAGTATTGAAGTAGGTTTAAAATAATTAATTCTGATTTTAATTAAAACAACAAATTCTGATTTGATTGTAAATTGTAATTGTAAAATCAGAATTTGTATTTTATTAAAAATCAGAATTTTTGTTTTTTAATATAGAATTCTGATTTGAAAACAAAAATTCTGATATTTAAAATACAAATTCTGGTTCTTAATTAAAAAAAATAATTCTGATAAAATTACAAATTGTAATTATTAAAATACAATTACAAATTCTGGAAGTAGTTTTGTTCTAATTCTGATGTTTTGTAATAATTCTGATTTGTAATAATTCTGATATTTCTGATTTGTAGTAATTCTGATAATTCTGATTTGTAATAATTCTGATAATTCTGATTTGTAATAATTCTGACGTGTATTGAGGAGAGAAAGGAGAGAAAAGACATTTTGAGAAGAGAGTATAAGACTCAAACAATCTAAATTACAAAAAATATTTTTCCGTCTCTAATTACCCTTAATATCATTTTTTTATTTTTTTTTACAATTTCAAAATACAAATATCACAAATATTCAACATTTTTTTTAAAAATTCACGTGTTTATTTCCTATTTGTCTTTTCTCCACTGTCGGCCACAGTAAGCCTTTTCCAATAAAAAAAGAAAAGAAAATAGTATTTCTTTTTCTTCTCTTTCTTTTGTTTAACTTTTAGTTGCCTTTATTTTAATTTTATTTTTCTCTCCACAGTTGAGCAATATTTTTGCGGATTTTTATTTGCGGACAAATTTTTTTCTTTTAAAATTTTTTTTTAATTTTTTAATTTTTTTGTAGAATTTGTAATCAAAAAATTTTTTGGTTTTTAATTAAATATATCTAGACCTCTCTAATAATAGACTCTTTTTAGTCTCCTTGCTATTTGAAGCCAGTCAAGTTAGCTGTTCCTTGACTAAATTGTTAGGGGCCAAGCTGGATTTTTTTGTTAATTAAATATTTTTAGACCTCTATAATAGTAGCCTCTTTTAGTCCCTTACGGTAGGCTGAAACATAAACAGGCTAATTGCTCTCCCTCCCCAAAATTATTCGAAACCAGGCTAAATTTTCTTTGGCTAGCTCGTAGATCACGTATAGCTTACCCCTCCTCTTTTAAATGATTATATTAGCTAATTTGGATAATCCTTTTTGGTTTTTTTGAAACAATATTTTAAAAATGTTGGCATGTAAGTAACACTAAGATTTTTTAAGAAACATAACTAGAAATCGTTAGCAATGTTTAGAATTACGTAACAAAATTTGTATGTACTTGTACTTCTAGTAAAGGAAAAATTCGTACCTAAACATACGCCATTTTTAATTTTTCGTATTTGTACAAATGCGAGAAAAAACAAGGCAAAGTGCAAGTACACGACAGGGGTGTGCCGAAAGTGATTTTAAAAAGCGAACGGCGAAAGGCGAAAGACGAAAGGCGAAATTTTTTAATTTCCGCTATGAGTCTAGAGATTCTTTGGTCAGGTAATTCAAAAGCCTTGTTAAGTGTTTCAAATCTACATTTGATCGGGGATATAAGGGAATTTGTAGGATTAAAAAGGATATCACAGAAGATTTGGATGAATATCATGGATTTAAAGGAAAGTCAGAGGATATGTCAGGAAAAGAGAATCCTGGGAAATCTGAGAATCCTGGGAAATCTCTGGATCCTGATCCGAAAGTTTGGAATAGTCGGATGCCGAATAGGAAAATTGAGATCTCGATCCTGAATCTCGGTTACCGAGAATCGAGAATTTTTTAAGATCTCGATTTCGATTCTCGTACGACACTCCCAGTCCGGTCTTTAATCGACCTTGCCACATATGTATGTAAATAAACAATAATTATCTATTATTTTGTTCTTTAATTATTAAAAAATTTTTTTAATTTTTAAAAAAATTTTTAAAAAATATTTTATTTTCTTTATTTAGATTTTTATTTATTTAATTTTTGTATATGTCGGCGGAAAATTTCAATTTTAGGAAAATTTCAATTTTTCCGGAAAATTTCAAATTTTCCGGAAAAATTCAAATTTTCCGACGATTTAGGAAAATTTCAGTTATTAATAAAGTTGTCAGTTGAGTCTGGGCTAGTTTTATGTTTTTTGGTGTTTTTTGTGTTTTCTATGCTTGTTTTTGTTTTTTTCAAGGTTATTTATAAATTTCTTGATTTAGACAAGATACCATGGATAAGTTTGGATAAAGTTACGACACGAAAACAAACAACGTAAACGTATGGGGAGTCGGCGAGACGCTTGTGCAAAACCCCGCGCTTCGCGCGGGGTTTTGCGGCACGCGTCTCGCGGGAGTCAACGGTCGCTGGGTTCTACACTAATACCATAAACCTATTCCTTTTAACGATTTTCAGCATTAAATGCCAACCTAACCATTCAGTAGTAGCACAAAAAAAACAACTAAAAACAAAATTAAGAAAAATAAACGAAAATATTTAAAAAAAAGTCAAACAAACCAAAAAACAAAACATAAAACAAAAAAGAAAAACATACTCAAAAACGAAAAACAAACGAAATAGTGTTAGAGAGACTATTAAATTAATTTAATAACTGAAATTTTCCTAAATCGTCGGAAAATTTGAATTTTTCCGGAAAATTTGAAATTTTCCGGAAAAATTGAAATTTTCCTAAAATTGAAATTTACCGCCGACATATATACAGCTAACCCTTAATATTAAAAAAATATTAAATTTTTTTAAGATATTTTAGTTTATAACCATTTTCAGTAAAAACCAAATTTTTCTTTACTTCATTCAATGAATTAAAAATATTTTTATTTAATTTTTAATTTTAAATTAATTTAAAAATTTTTTAACCCAATTTGTAATCAATTCTTGGAAACTTCAGATATGCTCGTACTCGTATTTTGTTCCTCGCCTAATTTTGGCCTCGTACTAATTCGTACCTATGTATGAGTCAGGGATGCCGTGTTGAGAAAAGAGTCAGGTCAGGTTTCGGGTAACCCGGCCCATCCCTGGTATGAGTACGAATTTTAGATTGCGTCCAAGCACTGTTTATGATCTGTTTAGATATATTTTAGCTTTGTTACTTTAACTACTCTGTTCTCTCCTTTATTCTTTCCAAAATAAATCTGGTTATCAAAATAATTTTTAAAAAATGGGATAATTGAAGGAGCAAAAAAGGTACTTTGGGGATATATTGAGAAATAGTTCCTGTGTCTATTTTAGAGAAAAATACTGGGATTTCTACAAAACAGCCAATTTTGTTTTGTTAATTTAGTTAGCATATTAATTGTTATTTTAATCGAGATAAACCCTAAATTTAGTTAAGCTTAGGTATATTTTTGATATTAGTTTCTATTCGAAACCATGTAGCCGCGCCTGTTCTTTTAAAACGTCGTCATGACCAAAAAGGGCTGATGAAACGATATTTTGATGCGACAACATTTTTGTCCGAGTCTTCAGAATTTGCTGCATTCTGAAACAACAACAGTCATTTTCTTTCGTCTTCTACAGAAGCATTTTTTAGACTTTAAGCTTTTGCGTTTCGCTTTTTATTTTGTTTCGACTTTAGTATTTTAAAACGGCAAGGCTTATCATTGACAATAACTTCATAAAATTCACAACCTCCAGCCAGCCTCCTTGGCTTAAGTTTAAAATGACTCTATAATAGACTCTACCCCCTAAGCCTTCAAAACAGCCTTCACCCAAGTTTTTTAAGCAAGTCCGCAAATTAAATCCGCAAATCCTCCATAAAAATTATTTTTTATTCTAAAAAGACCGCCACATCGTCGTCTATCGATTTACTTCCCACTCTCTAATGTTCTTTCTTTTTTTATTTTCTTTCCAGCCTAAACATTGTTATTGTGTGTTTATCAACTTTTATCATACTATTTTTTCGTTTTTATTTTAAAATTTCTTTTATCTTTTTTTTTCTTTCTCGAATTTTTTTTCTCAGTTTTTTCATCATTTTTAAGCTTTTTGCCAGTTTTTCAAACGTCTCTTAATTTTAGTACAAAGACAAAATGCCTAGCGACAAATTGCCTAGTTTCACAAAACAATGAGGTAGGTATCCCGTCTAGGGTGTGCGCAAGAGAAAATTTCAAAAAACGCAATAACGCAAAATTAACTTAGGAAATGTTTTTAGGAAATAATTCTGGACCGAGTTATAGGTCTCGAAAAATAGAAAAACTATAGGGGGAGTAAGCCTGATTTTTTGGGTGAAAAATTAGAATATTTTTCGAACTACACTATATCCAACATTTTATTTTGTAAATTAGAACCCCTAGTTTAAATTGAGGTAGTCTAAATGTCAGCGAATTAGTGCTAACTCTTAGTCTTGAAAACTTTCTTGGTGACCTATGACATTTCTTTGGTCTTTTCGAACTTGGGCGGTATTTATTATCAATGTTTTGTGGCTTTGGCTTTGTAGCTCCGACCTATTCAAATATGGGCCTTTAGTTTTTTTTGGAGTTGTTCCATGATAGCATAATATATTCAGATCAAGACTTCCTACTTTTAGCCAAAATTTGTGGAGTTAGAGAAAGCCAGAAAGTCAAAATCCTTCCTTGTTTTATTTACAACTTATAGGGGTAGCTTGTTATGTAAGATATGTACCTAAACTAGTATACCCGAAGGGACTAAATATATGAGTAAAGAATGTATTGTGCCTATGTTCAATGATCGTTAGTATTGTAAAGCATATAGCTATTTAATTCAGAAGGCGGTGTGGTGTAATGGATAACACATCAGTCTGGAAGATGCTGGTTCGCTCCCAGCCGCCGATTAACCTTTTGCACTAGCTGCTTTATTTATTGTTTTATTTATCGTAAATAAAGTTCGTAAATTATCACTTTGGCGTGTTTCGGTGTAGGGAGGAAGAGTTCAAAGGACTTGATCACCTCGAGGGCCCTCTAGTATTGTCTCGATCACGCCCCCTCTCCGTTGCGTTATCCAGGATATCTGGAATAGTTCAGTCGCTTCGGTGCAGAATAAAGGTAACCAACTAAGGAGACTTACCGAATGAGAGTAATTTAACTATTGTTTGGGAGCAAACGCAAAGCAATTAGATCAACGCAAAAATGTATTGCGCTCACTCCTGGTTCCGACTACATACGGTATTCTTTACTTACCACTTGGACGTTTTGTCCTATTCTCTACTTGTTGGCATTTTGTCCAAACTTCTTATTTGGCATTTTGTCCTATTCTCTACTTGTTGGCATTTTGTCCAAACTTTTTATTTGGTATTTTGTAATATGGCATTTCGCTACCTATGTCCTCTTTTTTCCATTATTCTTTTTCTCAACAAATTTATTTATTTATTCAGTCTTTTTCTCTTTTTCTCGCTCCACCCCTCTCATTTTATGTTTGTATTTACTTTCCTTATTAAAAGAACGGGGGGAGTGTTTTCTTTAGTTCAAAAAGCATTTTTAAGTGTTTTTGTATTTTATTAAAAAAGATTATTAAATATTATTTAGCAAAATATTTTTAAGTGTAGTCGACACCTTTTTGTGTTTCTTTTAAAAAAATTTTGTAGGTTACGGTATTGACTTTTGCGATTTTTGAGTTTTTTTTATTAATATTACTGTAATCATTACTGTAATTAAATGTTTGTAGGAATACTGTAAGTCTTCTAATATACCTAACTAGGGTTGCCGTTTTCGGTCGGGCCGACGTTCGAGACATTTTTCGGGCCTCATTTTATCGATTCGGGTCGTACTAGTCTTTCGGGCCAATTATCCTATGCCCGACTCGATCTTTCGCTTCGAGTCGGGCGATTTTGGCAACCCTATACCTAACCACACTTTCACACTTTTCAACAAGCACAATAAGCACACACCCTCCGAGAGGGTTGAAAAATAAAAGTTCTATTAGTTTTACTGTATTAGAAGTTAGGTAATTGTTTTAATTTAAAGTGTCGTATTGGGGAAGAGAGGGGAGGGAGATGTGTTGGCCTTCTTTAGATTTCCTTATTAAAATTTCTCTCAAATTTCTCTATTAGCTATATTCAAATCCAAATCTCTTATCCATATCTCTTATAAGGTATGTCAATGTTAATATTCTGTTATCTGCACGCATTTTCATTTTCCCCCCATTCTATTTATTTTTAATCATTCATCATTCTTCAAGTTCACTCCATTTCCCTGTGGTATATTCAAGCCAGACAAGGATTAATAAAAACCAAAAATTAAAAAATAAACTTTTGTGAACTAAATTGCTGTCCGTTAATGTACTGTTAAATTTTTACGAGTTGTAGTAATTAGGGTTGCCATTTTCAAGTTTGAGCGACGGTAAGGCATTTTTTCGAGGCTTGTTTTTATCGAGTCGGGCATGTACAAATACTTAGGCCCGACTCGATCTTTCGGTCCGAGTCGGTCCATTTCTAATTGAGGATTCTCTTTTTCTATATCAAAGACTTGGAGAAAATTTCTACATGATGTGCCCTAGTGATGTTCGGGAGGCCAAAAACTCGGGAAACGGAAGTCGGGTTGGGAATTGACACCGGGAGTCGGGAGGCCAAAAACTCGAGAAATTTTCCCGAGTCAGGAGTCGGGATCAGAATACCCGACATCACTAATATGCCCTAAAGGTTTTTTCCTTCAAAAATATTATTGACCATTTCTTTATGTTCATATGAAAACTCTAAACTTATTCCTTTAGGTTAATTATACAAAATTTATTCAACTAATTTTTTTATTTAACCTTGAAAAACTTTTTAATTATTTACGCGTTACATGGATATGACTGTTCTTTTGTGAGTGAAATTATTATAGGCTTCGGATCATTCAATTAAAAATTTTTTAATGTTTGGAAATGACCGTGCTGTCCCGTTTCCCTAAAATTGGGATTTTTATTTATTTTTTATGTTGACGGATCCCTTATGTATCACACTCTATTTAACACGCCCCTCGAGACGAGATTTAGGTAGGAGTCATTTTAGAGGGATTCCACTTTAGTCCGTTATTTATAAAATGAAATCTTAGAAAAATTTTTCTAAAATTTCAGAAAAAGTAGTTAACTATTAGTACAAAAAATACAAAAAAGGAATAAAAATATTCAAAATAAATCTTTTCAAAATTTTCTGGAAGGTTCGAATCTTTCTCGTAATCATCCCGTCGGTTTAACCTTCATTATGAGAAGCAATTTACAAAAAGAAAAAGGCATACAAAGGAGACCTTTTCAGGTGACTGTAGGACTGTGAATGGCCTACAGACCTTCGTAGCAGTTAGCATTGGACCCTGATCTATGTTAGGCTTGAAGTTCCTCGGTCGCAGCGCTTATATAGACTTCGAAGGGGTTCTCCGACCCTTGTTAGCTACTACTTTTTGCCAACTTGATGAGCCTTTCTCCTTGTCATGCCCTAATTAAAACAAATACAGTAAGCTACCCCTACCTACCTCCAATCAATCAAAATTTTCCTTTTGCCAGGATTGCTCACGGCTACAAGTCTAAATAAAATTTTTTCTTTCTCCATTTCTATCGCCCCCCAATCTATCCCCCCCCCCATCCCCTCAATGCACGCACACATTAATAGTAGACAATAAATATTCTTACTTGGCCGCCAAATATTTTTTTTAGTTGTATGTATAAATAGCATTCAAAAAAATAAAAAATCAATTGTGAAATCGTTGGGCTTTTTTTTAATTTTTAAAAAATTTTTTATATTAGAAGAAAATTAACCTCATCTTTAGAAATTTTTGGAGATTTTTGGATTTTTTCTTTAAAAATCTAAAAATGGGCCAAATCAATTTTATTGGAGATTTAGGGCAGAAATTTGTCCCTGTTGCATTTTTAGAAGCGTTTAACGGAACGGCTAAATTTTTTTCGAAAGGCGGAAGCGGAGGAAGTCAGTCGGGAACTTATACCCTTTATTACCCTCTTTATTTTACCAGAAAATTTTAGACTTGACAAATTATATGTCAATCGAAAGAGCTCGAGAAGCTGAGTATAATGACACCAAAATCAGCCTTCTGTATGTCTGAGCTCAGATAGGGTTTCGAAATGGTCAAAAACCATGGTGAAAGATACAAGTTGTTATAGTGAAGGCTTAAGTTCTTTTTAAAACAAACAAAAAATTTTCTATAGAATAAAAATTATTTCTTCTGTAACTGCAAAATTTTCCAGAAAAAAACCTGCGCTACGGCAAAAACTTGATTTTAAAAAAATACAAAAATTGTTTTTAAATTAATTTTAGAACCTTATAAAAATTTTAATATTTGGAGTTATACTGTAATAAAAAAATTTATAAAAAATTATTTTAAATATTTTTAAACATTTTTATTTAGACATGCTTCTTTGTTTATTTCGAAATCAAGAAATAAAAAACAAATTTTTTTCTTCCCATTTATTTACTTGTTTTCTTTGCGTTTCGTCAAATGATAGCAACTAAATATAATCATTCTAATAAAAATTAATATATTTTTTAGGAAAGTTTAAAAATGATTCAACTATATTTTTGAATTAATCATTTAAAAACAATACTTTTATTTTTTTTAATTTTTTTTAAATTTTTTTATTAAAATTATTTTTTTAATTTTCCCCTCAATTACCCTCCCCCTCACCTCTTTTTTCTATTTTTTTATTTTAAGAATTATTGATTTAAAAATAAATTAAGATAAATTTTTAATTAATAAAGTCATAAATTTTAAAATTTAACGTTTAAAATAAAATTTTATTTTAAAAAATAAAATCCATTTTAAAAATTCCTTTGCTACGTATATATTATTTTATTTAAATGTTTTTACAAACTTATATAAAAAGTTTTAGTTTTACTAAAACAAACATACATATATTGTTGCGCTTTGTTTTCCTTTTTATCGCAACCTTTAATAAACCTGGTAAAAACATATACGGAAATTAATGTTCGTTTAAAAACATGTTTACTGTAAAAACATTTGAAAAATAAACTTGTTGAGAAAAAATCAAAAACATACTAAAACTTATTCTGAAATGAACATTTTATAATAAAATATGTTTGTAAAATTAGAAACAAACAAACTTGTTTATAGACAAACTTGTTTTTGGATAAACTTGTTTTAAAAAAAAACTTGTTGCAATTAAACTTGTTTTTAAAGAAACTTGTTTTAATTAAACTTATTTTTAACTAAACATGTTTTAAATAAACTTGAATCAAAACAAACTTGTTTCTTTTAATAAACTTGTTTTTAAAAACTTGTTTTCCCAAGTTTATTTTAAAGTTTTTATTTATTCTCCTTATAAAAACATTTCAAATTCAGAAATGCGTCAAATAGGTGTTTATTATAACCATTACAACAACACTAACAACACAACTAACACTAACAACATTTCTATAAATTTCCAAAATAATTATTTAGAAAAACAAAACATTCATCAAAACCTTAATATTCAAACATCCTTTGAACAACAACAAACAAACAACAAAATGTTTATTCCAGCTAGTTCCTCTTCTTCTTGTTCAACATTTTCTTCTTCTCCTTCTGTTTCTCCCAACCCTTATATGAGTCCCCCTGTTTTAAGAAAGGAAATGGAGCAGGATTGGGGGGATGTTGAGAAGGAGAGTAACAATGTTGATGTTTTTGTTAGAATGCCTAAATTGGAGCCTGAAGTGGGTGGCCGTTTTTTCTTAAATTTTCAGTTTATTTGTAGGGCTCTCTAATTGAGAGGACACATCCCCTCTCTAATTTAAAGGACCATTGGTATGCCTCTCCAATTAAAAGGACACCTTTCTAATTGGAAGGGCACCTCTCTAATTGAAAGTACCCCTCTCTATTTAAGAGGACACCTCTCTAATCGAAAGTATCCCTCTCCAATTAAGAGGACACCTCTCTAATTGGAAGTACCCCTCTCCAATTAAGAGGACACCTCTCTAATTAGACGTCGGCCACTTTAAGTAGATTATCTCTCCTTAGATTTTTAGTATACTGTAATTGCTAATCAATCTCAACTTTGTTTTAAGGTATTGGTTGAGGACAATGATGATAATAATGACGTCGTTTTCTTTCCCACAAAAACTACAAATGAATCATCGGAATTTAACAATAAAAGTCCCCATCATCATATTTTTCTCCAGCCATCATTAAATTCTTCAAAATTCTTCAATTTATCATCAGATATTTCTTCTTCCTCGATTTGCTCAACAACAACAAGTAGCGGTATTTGGTCTTCTCCAACAGAACAACAGCCTCTTCTAGTATTCTCCAACAAAGTTTCCAAAAAAGAAATTCGGAAAAATATGAAGGGAAAAGAAGAAAAAACAAATAAAAATGGAAAATTAAGTTTAAAAAATATTATGAAAGAGAAGAAGGAAGTTAATAATTGTAATGTTTTGGGCGAGGAAGAGGTTGAGATGAAGCCAAAAAGAAAATATGTTAGGCGTAAAGTAAAAGATTTGGAAGAAGGAAAGGAAGTGAAGAAAGAAAAGGAAGAAAAATTAATTAAAAGAAGAAGAAGAAAAAATCTTCCGAAAGAAGAAAATTTAGAAAAAGAAATTAAAGAAGAAATTAAGGAGGAAAGTTTAGAGATTAAAGAAATCAAAGAGGAAATTAGAGAAAAAGAAGAAGAAAATATTATTGAAAAAGAAAATAAACTTGAAAGAAGAAAGAAGTTGGAAAATGTTGTTGGGAAAAGGAATTGTAAAACATGTTGTAAAACAAGTTGTAAAACAAGTTGCAAAACAAGTTGTAAAAAAGGCTGCAAAACAAGTTTGAAAACAAGTTGTAAAACAAGTTTGAGAAATAGGACAAAAACAAATGAGAATGTTCAAAACTCTGATTTTAATGTTTTGAAAGGTACTACTATAAAAAGAAAAATAAAAAGTTTAGATGTTTCAGAAGCTGTTGGGGAGAAGCAGGCGTATTTAATGAGGTTGAGGAAAAGAAAAGAAGATGAGGAGAAGAAGAAAAATTACAAAAGAAGTAAATTAGAAGATAACGAAAAATTAATTATTCGAAGAAGGAAAAGGAAAGCTTTGTTATTGGCAAATTTGAAACTTTCGGAAATTTCGCCAGATAAAAGGATTGGAGGGGAGAGACGGAGCTGTCGTCACCCTCATATTGTAATAATTTCATTTTCCTTAATAATAAAAAAAATTATTTTTTCAGTCTCGAAAGATGGTTTTATTCTCTTCATCTTCCTCAGCTTCTCCATCACCTTCTCGGGCCAAATTGTTACCCAAACCAATTTCAAAACCCCCAAAACCTTTAAATACTCCAACTTCAACCATTCCAACCTTCACTTCCCAACCTTCTCAATTTTCTTCAAATTGGCGCCCTATAGGTTTAGGTGTTCTCAAACAATTACCGCTACGTCGTCTTCCTGATTCCAACGAGGAAAATGTTAAACAATATTTTTGTTTTAATTCAATTCGGCATAAATCTGAATCTGAAGTTTATATAAAGTTGGGGGATTGTGTACTGGTTAATTCGGCTGATTTTGAGGAGGACATTTTTGTGGTAAACTTTTGAATTTTTAATTTTAATAACAACCTGATTTACCTGAAAATTTAAAAACCATAAGGGGACTAAGTTGATTTTTGGGGCCAATAAGCTAGTTCGAAAGAGCTTTTTTAACTTAGTTGAGTGACACCAAATTAGCGAAATCTGAATTAAATGGACAATAATGCATAAGTATTATCCTTTCACCTCCCTAGATAAGGTTGGAAGTAGGGCATGTCGTTAACTGCACGCAAAACACACATACACTACACACAGAACCGAGAAACCGATGGATCCAGCGAGACGCTACGAGTGTAGCTCTAAGTTTTGTACAAGCATCTCGCTGGCTCCGTTCCAAATTCGGGCTCCAAATCTGGATTTTTTGCAATCTCCGGATTAATCCGGAGAAATCCGACCGGATCCGGTCCTGCTCTTTTTTAAAATCCGAGTCCGGAAAAAAATGAACCTCTAAAGTTGATTTTACAGTTTACAGTTTTTAATAAATTCTGATTTTTAGGGCAGAGTTCTGTCTATCCACTACGAGCCAAGTGAGCGCTCTCTACTTCTTACTCTCCTATGGTTTTATACTGGCAAACAACTTCCTTCTTTGCGTCTAAACAATTCTGGGTGTTCCAACTTTGAAGATGATGAATTATTTGCTTCAAAACATTTAGATCAAGTAAATGCAGATTCTGTACAGGTAGAGGAAGAAGAAATCAAAAATTCTCTCAGAGAAAATGTTTCTCCTTTTAGGGAACTACGCGCGTTTTAACCTTTTCGGCATATTGTCGCTATAAAGCCCAATTAGCTTTGGAACGTCTACCAGCTGCTAGAAGGCCTCCAAATTGGGCACGTCCTTGCCCTAGATTTAAACAAAATGTAGAGGAAGGGGAAGTGGATGATTTAATGAATGATAGTAATACTACACAAGATACGGTGTGATTTCTGAATTTTTTCTTGATTTTTAAAATGATAGAGGGGGATATTTTTCTTGTATTTCGTACACAGGTACGAGTGTGAATTTTGGCACGAGCTTCCAAACAATGATACCGGCATTCCAAACTTTGCCAAATTCTACTGGGGTTGTTAGCGGACCGGTTATTAACCTGTATACTCGGTTTTTGATCCAGGTTAATTTGCAAAAACACCGGTTTTCTTGATTTTTAAAAGATTAGAGAGGCCTGTTTTATTAATTTTTGGTGTAGTGGTAGTGTTGCTGATTATGATATGAGCTTCCAAACATAGATACTGACATTCCAAATCTAGCCAAGTTCTTGCCTTTTTAATCTCTTAAATATACTGTATTTCAAATAGGGTTGTTAGCGATCGGTTATTAACCTGTACCCTCGGTTTTCGATTCCGGTTAATTCGCCAAAAACACCGGTTTCCAGTTCTGGTTCGGTTTACTTCCATGTTAAAATATACCTTTGTGGTGTAGTGGTAGTGTTGGCTGACCTCCCTCATTTTTCGGATGGAGGTTCGAATCCTCTCGGTGCCAAATAATTTTTTCTTTGTATTTTTATAATTAAAAAAATTTTCCAAACAGGTATTCTTTTGTCGAAGCATTTTCTCAATATACTCGAAACGCGTCCGCTCCAAATTCCTACAATTAAATACTCGCAGCAGTGCTGACATCAAAAAATCAAACGGGTCATTAACAACTAAAAGTGTTTTACGAGCTCGTAGAGCGCAATCCTAAAATAAACTTTTGTTCTATTTTCGTTTTAAAATTGTTATTTTGTTTTTATGTGAAATTTCTTTTTTCGTCTTAAATATTTTATTTTTCTATTTTAAGTAGCGATAAAAAAAAACTTTGAAAAAATATTGAAAGAAATCCATCTACAACAAGGTTGGCGGATAGTTGGAAATCTTCGGATATCCGAATCCGATATCCGAACCGAAAATTTCAATATCCGGACCGAAAATTTCCGGATATCCGGCCTTTTTTCTGATCCGGCTATTCAGATCCGCTAACCCTAATCTACCATAAAACCCTCAAAAAATCTCCTAAAAAGGTATACGAATTTAACCTTGTTGAAAATTTTTTTTTGTTGAAGGATGAGAATTTTTAAATTTTGTGTGAGTGAATAAAATTTGTTTAAAATTTTGAGTTAAAAAATAAAAAATGAGCTAAAATCGGGCTATAAATAACCTTCAAACCAAACTTATTAAACGACGAGAACTCCTAGAATATCGAACCAAAAATTTCCAATTTTGGTATCTATTAGAAAACACTCTAAAAAATTTATATTCAAAGTTTCAAGGCTTTTGGACTTGTACAAAAAATTCTATAACGATTTTTGTAAGCGACATTTTTTTTATGAAATGAGCTAGTAATTATAAATCAGGCAAACATTAAGAGGAATAGGAAAACGACTATTTAGACACATTTGGATTATTTTAATGGGCCACAAAAACAAATTGGGGCACAATACAAAACACACAATTATGGGGGATTGGAAAGGAAAAGAGAGGTTATCTAGTCAAACAACAGCTTCTTCTGTTCTTCTCCATCTTCTGTCCTCGGCGCACATCATTTCCCCATGTAAACACCAGGGCTGGGCGCAATCAAAAATTAAAAAGCGAAATGCGAAATGCGAAACTTTTTAAAAAAAATTAAAAAGCGAAATGCGAAATGCGAAACTTTTCGCGCTAAAAAATGCGAGAATGCGAAAGATGCGAAAGCGAAAGCGAAATTAATTAAAAATTTTAAAAATATTTTATTCATATTCAAAATTATAAATTACGAAATTGTGATGAAAAATAAAAGCATTAGTGCATTTTTTGAAGAAGACTCTTCTTAAGATTGCTTATTATTAGCGCCCGGCACCGGACCGGGCTCAAGGCCGGCTTTGCCTGAGTCCGGGTCCCAATCGGAATAATACAAAAAAATCCGGCCGGCCCCATTTTTCATCTTTTACTATGAACTTTATAAATTTTCCATCGATCTTTTCACATTTTAATATACTGATATCCATTTTAATTCAAATCCCTTTCCTGCGCCGCAGGCGAGAATTTCGAGAATTTTGGAGGTCCTTAAGTCAGATCTCTTCCTTTTTCAGCGCCGAAGGCGAAAATTTTTGGCAATTTTGAAAGAACAACCCCTCAGATCTCTTCCTTTTTCAGCGCCGCAGGCGAAAATTTAGAAATTTTGGAATGCCGAGAAGCCAGATTTCTCCATTTTTGTCAATAAATTTGGTAAAAATATTACGAGTCTTGTTCGAGTCGTGCCAAATATGATTAATATTTTATAAAACAAATTTACAATTTAAAATTAAAGTTTAAAAACATTTATTTTTGGAAGAAAAAATTTTTTAAGTCTTATTTCCTATGTCTGGATTCGAACCCATCCCCCAAAAACACCAATGTGAACGAAGTCAGTCAACTTAACCACTCCACCATGAACCAACGAAAGCAAAGTGTCAGATTATAAATATGTATTTCTTTTCCTATTCCTTTAAAAATTTCTATGTCAAAATATCTAAAGAATAAAAAAATACTAAATGAAAAAGGCGAAACAAATTTCGCATTCGGACCAAAAAGCGAAATGCGAAACGCGAAACTTTTCGCGCAAAAAAATGCGAGAATGCGAAAGATGCGAAACGCGAAATTGCGAAATGAGCCCAGCTCTGGTAAACACTCTGGAAACCACCGCCTCCTCCTCCTCCACTTGCAGCTGCACCACCCATATAGACAGACCCCGCGCCACCAGCAGACTGCGCACCAGTGCCACAACCTATTTGTGGACCGCCACCAGCAGACTGCGCACCAGTGCCACAACCTATTTGAGGACCACCAAGATTTGACGAAGAAGCACCAACATCTTTAAATGAAAATAAAAACTCAATTAATGATGGTTTGAGATTTAAGTTTTAACTCACTTGAACCAGCAACTCCCCCCATAGGCGAGTCAGAAGAAGCACCAAGAATTATGCAGCCATAAGAAGGAAAAGGACTCTGCGTACCAACGCCACGAGAAGGACCACCAAGAGCAGTTTGTGTACCAACGCCAGAAGAAGGAGCGCCAAGAGGCATAAAGCCACAAGAAGGAAAAGGGGGAGCACCAAGAGGAGCACCAAGAGCAGTTTGTGTACCAACGCCAGAAGGAGAAGTACCAAGAGCAGTTTGTGTACCACCGCCAGAAGAAGTACCAAGAATCGACTGCATACCACCACCACCACAAGAAATAACAAACAAGCCACTGTCACCTCCGAAAGCACTTGCGCCACCTGCAGGCCTACCAGCAGCAGCCGAAGCTTAAATAAAATTATCAGTTATTAGCATATTAGGGTCAATAATTATTCACCTCCTCCCAAAGCAGGTCCACCAATATAGGCACTTTGTTGACCGGCTCCTCCGCCTCCACCAACAGGACTACCAAGATAGACTGACGCACCACCTCCACCAGCAGCTCCATAACCACCACCTCCAGCTGCCGGTTGCTTCGGTGAACCGCCGGCTCCAGATCCCATATAGACAGAAGCATCACCACCTCCTCCACCAGCTGTACCACCTCCACCTAAGTATGCAGACTGTGCCATTGACTTGTGAAGTTTATTGTGTGTGTTGTTGTTAGTGATATAGGGTATCTATTGCTTTTATACTACATGGAAATACTCTAATTGAAACACATGTGCTTCTATTTTTCAATCCTCTCGGAGGGCGTGCTTATATTAGAGGGCGTGCTTGTATTGGAGGATGTGCTTCTATTAGAGAATTTACGTAAATTTTTATTACTTCAACAAATGCCAGGACAACGTGAGAAGTAAAGCTTCTCGCTCCAAAAAATGTTGCAATATCTCTGCCTGAGTAAGTACTCATTCAACTACCTAATTAGAAAAATTGGTTGAAAAACTACAGAAACCCAAACCAAACTCGCAAAAACAATACATAAATAGAAATTTTGGTGACATAATTAAAGATTTTACCCTCATTGGCAAAATATGTATTTGGCGAGATGTGTTTTTTGCCCTTATTGGCAAAAAATGGGTTTTAGCCTTATTGGCAAAATGTATTTTTTGCTCTTATTTTAGTCTTATTGGCAAAATGTGTTTCAGATTTTTTGATTAATTAATTTTTAATTTATTTTTATCAGCAGAAAACGGGTGATTATGATTTAAAATTTGTTTCTATTCAAGAATTATTAAAAACAAATTTATTCTTAAATTCAACACCAAATGGTTGCTACAAATTTCAACGTTGAAACTCTCCTCCCCGCAATAATTGCAATTGCCTATTATGCCTTTGTTTTCTTTTTTGCGGAAATTACAAGAAAAATTGTTGGGCTAATTTTTAAAAAGTCTTCTCTAATTTATGTGTTACTTATTGAATTGATTGGCACTGCCCAAATGTGTACTTGTGTTTATGAAAATTGTAAGGAGGTTTTTTGGTTTATTTTTAAATTTGCGGACAAATTTTTACGCTTGCGGACATGTTGACTTAAAGGTTTTTTAAATGTGTCTAGGTTTAGGTACAGGCTAAAATGGGTGGATTTAAAGTGTTTCTACTTGTTAATAAAATAAGTAAGCCTACCCTGAAGCAATTTGCTAATCATAAAACTAAAATGCGGATTGTCCGCAAATATGAAAATTTGTCCGCAAATATTAAAATTTGTCCGCAAATTTTATTTTTAAATTTTTTTCAATTTATTCTTACCTCTCCCAAAAATTTCTTTTATTTAGCCGTAATAGTAAAACATTATGGCTCTTCTGGTTTCTTCTTCGCAGTCTCAATGCTTTTGCTTTCTGGAAATTTGCTCAACCGAGGGGCCTATGTCACTCCACTTCCTGTCATTGAACAATTCTTTACTGGAAGGATGAGGTTTTTTAAAACAAAATTTTTTAATTTTTAAAAATTTATTTTTCCAGTTCAGAAAAGTTTTTGGCTCTAATATTTGCTCAAAGCGTCGGTGGATATTCGGCTTTTCGTCTAGCTAATTCCCTTTGGTATTATTCTTTGTCTTATTCAATAGATCATCTTCAACTGTTTGAAAGACTTCCTTGTGCAATTAATTACAAAGTAAAAATATTTTTTTGTTTTTGGGGGAATTTTTTAAGGTCTCTTGGATGTTCCCTTCGAATTTGGAGACAGGAATCCCTTGAGTTTTGGGGGAATTTTTAGGGTCTTTAGGATGTTCGTTATAGACTGTCCCCCTAGGACTTTGATCTTTTTTTTCCTTTTAATGCTTCCCTCTTGGTTTAGGAAGCCTTAGGAATACCTTGTTCCTAGCCAAATGAATTTTTAATCACCTTTGACGTTAATCTAGTTTTTAAATTCTCCTCTGATTGTGAGTTTGGGAAGCTCTTTAAATATTTTTTGGGCGGGTAAGCAAAGTTTGAACTTCAAAAAAATTTTTTAAACTTGTCTATTTTATTTTCTTTGACTCAATATTCGTGTCAAGCATTTTCCCAATTAAAAGATTTTATTTTTCAGGTTCCATTCAATTATGTATTCATTAACGAGTTATTATGTGCTTTTTTACTTCGCTTTTCTATTCAAAGAATGCCTCTATTTGTAAAAACTCGGCTTATTCCATTTATCATTTCTGGATTTTTAACTTTTTGTTTGTTTTCTAATTTTTTTAAATTTTTTAAAACAAATTTAAGCACTTGTTTATATTGGCATTCCTGGCTTGAATCCTGTTGTGGCTTCTTCTCGTCTAATGGGTTGTCCCGGATTGGATTTGCAATGGTTTATGGTATTTTTTTGTCTTTTTAATTTTTGCGGACAAATCTTGCGGATTAATTTGATTTTTTCGGTTTTGTCCGCAAATTTTTCAAATTTGTCCGCAAAATGTGTCCGCAAATTTAATTTAATCTGTTAAAAAATTTTTCTAATTTAAAAGATAACTTACTGGTTATGCCCTGTAATCGGTTGGATGATGGCTGTAAAATTGGATAAAATCAAAATTGTAAAGAAGAAGCAGCACAAAAAGAAGGAGAAATGAAATTTTCGAAAAAACGGTTATTTTTTTAAAAGATTTTCTAAGCCTGGATACCTTAACGATTTTTTTGTGTTATTTGGTAATACAGTCAGACCTTGCATTCTTGGGACTAATTTCTTTTATCCAGTAATCAACCAAAAAAATTTTTAAAAAATGTATGAACCTCAAAATGTGTCTGACATTTTTGGCAAACTTTGAACCCTCATAATTTTTTAGTTTCTTATTCCTAGCCAAAAAAAGCCGATAATTTTCTAGAGTAAATCGATAATGCTCTATCGATTGGTATCGAAAAACGTACAACATTTTGACTTACAGTTCTAAAGGTTCCCTTGTAAATATTAATTTTTAATTTATTTTCTAAATATTAATTTTTTTAAATATTAATCGAGGTCCGACTTTATTTTTATTAGAATATTTAGGGAAATAATTTTTTTGGGATAATATGTATCTTTAAACATTTATAAATTTATTTATTAGATTTTTACGTAAATATTTTTTATTTATTTAATTTTTTTTTAATTCTTATATTTAATCTTTACTTATATGTTTTCACTTTCTTACAATTAATTTAAAAGAAAATTTATTTTTTTATTTATGCCTTATATATCTTCTGCTTTTAAATTTTATTTTTTTTTATTGTTAAATTTCTCTTATAGCAAATAATAAATTATTGTTGGATAGAAAATTTAAATTAAATTGTTGTTGAATTTATTTTTTGGATGTTTTTCTTGAATTATTAAATATAATTTTTTTAATATTTGTTAAAATAATTTTTTCTATTTTTCTTAATTTTTTTCTAAACTTTTCAAGGGTTTTTATATTTTTTTAAATTAAATCTTTATTTATTTTGGAATGTCTTCAACATTTTCAAAAAATTCTTCTTTTACTCTTTCTTCGAGTAGTACAATTTCTAATGGATCAAATACATCATTAAACAGCAGCAATTTTGATATTGATCCATTGAAGTTATTGACAAGTAAATTGAGTAAATTTAGGGATCAAATATCGCAAACACTTTTGGTTAGTTTTTTTAATTTTTTGGCTGGGGCAAGTCAATTTAATTTTTTGAGGCACTAAAATTAGCCCGTTAAAAATTTGGTTAAATTTTTTGTAATTTTATTTTTTTTAATTTAGTCTACTCCAGAAGGATTTTCTTCGTTGAGCGCATTTATTGATGATTTTTGGTATTTTAATTTTATTTAAAAATTTTTATATCAGAATTATTTTTTCGTGATATTTATGCATCATTTATCAGAATATTTTATAAAATAAAGATATTTCAGAATTTAGTGAAACACATTTTTATTTTATAAAATTTAAGTTTATAATAAAGAAAACACAAAATTCTGATTTTAGGAAAAGAAAATTCTGGTAAGTAAATAAGCTTTAATTAAAGTTCAGAATTTAATTAAAAAATACAAACATTTTTTGTGTTTTTGTTTGTTTCAGAAAATGTGTCTTTAAGATCAGAATTTTTTTAAAAATCAGAGTTTTTTCTAAAAATCAGAACTTTGGAGAATCTGAATTAATTCTGATTTTTTAAATCTGGTTTTTAATCAGAATTTTCTTTTAAAATCAGAATTTTTAAAAATGTGAATTTAAAAAAATCAGAATTTTCACAAATCAGAATTTTAAAAAATCAGAACTTTTTAAAAATCAGAACGGTGAAGAGTCTGAATTAATTCTGATTTTTTTATTCTGGTTTTTTAATCAGAATTTTTTTCAAAAATCAGAATTTTTCCTTATACCTAGTTATTTCTACGGCTTCAATCCTTCAGAACGCGCTCGTTCTTTTGGTTATTTTTCTCTCTATGAATTTCTCAAGTCTGATTATATGAAAGGACGTGTTTGTTTCAAAATTAATTTTAATGGAGAATTGTTTCTATTCCCATTAGCTGATGACAACACTCGACAAATTTTTAATCAAATACTTATTTCATATGATGAGAGAATTCAGAGGAATAAACGGTAAAAATAAATTTAAATTAGTTTGTGTTTTTTTGTGTTTTTGCAGATCTGATTAATTTTTAAAAATCAGAAAATGTGTTGTATTACAAATCAGAATTATTTTAAGGTGATGTATTTTATGGTATTTAATAAATGTGTGTTTTTAATCAGAAATTGTATTTTCAGTAAATTAAAATCAGAATTAAAACCAGAATGTGTTTTTCAAGTCAAAAGTACCTTTTCAGAAAATGTGTTTTTTAATCAGAATTATGTTTTCTTTAAACCAGAATTAAAAAAAATCAGAATATTTAAAACCAGAATATTTTTTTTTAAATCAGAATTTTTTTTAAAATCAGAATATTTTAGAAACCAGAATTTTTTTTTCTAAAATCAAAATTTATTAAAAACCAGAATATTTTTTAAATCAGAATTTTTAAATTTGTGTTTTCTTTTAAAATTCTGATTTTAAAAATTTGTATTTTGCAAATCAGAATTAATGTGTTTTTGTATTTTTCTATATTTTAAAAATCAGAATTTATTTTTGTATTTTTAGCCGTGCAAATCTTGGTCCGTTCTCTAAGCGTCGCAATTTTTATTAAATTAATAATAGACAATTTGAAGATTGTTCTTGTTTCTTTCAATGACGGGGAAATATATTTATTTTTTTAATTTTTTAATATATTTGCATTATTTGCAGTCATTGTTATTTTTTTGATATATTTTATTTTAAATTGTTAAATCCCGTTTATTTATTTTTTTAAATTTATTTTTTTTGTCCCAAATTTTAATTTTAAAAATTTAAATGTTTAAAAATAAATTTTTAAATTAAAAAATAAAATTCTTTTTTTAAAGTTCACGTCTTTTTCATAATTTTTTAAAATTTATTTCCTCGTAAATTTTATTAATTGTTTTTTAACCTTTTTTAGTGCATCTTTTGGCTGCTCTGCATCGTCTGATCATTAATTAAATCGTTCGATTTTATAAATTTATTGCTTGCATTTTTAGAGAAGAAGAGAACGAGGAGAGGGAAGTAGGTATGGAATAATTATTATTAGACAATTATTTTATCTCGACTAAAATTATTTTTTGCATGGAAGGTGTTGATGCTTTTTTTTCTTTTATTACTCTAAATTTTTGGTTTAATATTAGATTGTTATTGTCATTGAATTAGTATCCAAGGGTAAACCGTGTTCCTCAAAATTCCCTTTTTACTGACTTCTGCTTCCAACTACCTATTTTTATTCCACTTTCGTCATCCGCTTTTCAAATACGCGACAGGGCCCAAATTTCTGTTATTTGCCCACATTTTTATCAAGAAAAAATTACAATGGAGAAAAAAAATAAAAATGTGGGCAGATAACAGGAAAGTGTACCCCCTGGTCAGTGAGGGTTTCAAAAAAATTATCGCATCTAATTTTAATCAGCCCTTCGGATGATTTTATTTTAAAATATTCTCATAGCTTAAATCAATTTTTTAAATTTTTTAGCTTTATCTAAAACTTTCAATTTTTTGAATGTCTTATATTGACACAACCAAAAATAATTTAAACAATGGTGGATCCAATGATAATGGCAATGCTTTGTTTCTTCTTTGCAATAATAATGAGTCTGTTTGTAATAATGCTGAATCTGTGGTTAGTAATGTGGCGGCTCCTAATGTCGAGGAATTGCGAATGTCCGTGCCACCAGAATGCTTCGAAAAAGTTTTTTTTTAATTTTTATTTTCAAAAATAATTTTAAATTTTTAGCCCTTAATTCGTTCAATCTCTTATTTAATTTTGGATTTGGTAATTATTTCTGGTCTTTATATGGTTGTTGGAATTGTTGAAAATTATTTGGGATTTGTTGGACTTTTAATTTGGTGAGTGAAAAAATATTTTTTATTTAAAAATGAATTTCTTTAATTTTTGGGTTTCAAAAATTTTAAAAAATACAGAAAAAATTTTTTTGAAAATTTTGGAGATGTTTAAGAAATTTTTTGAAAAAAATATTTTTGCTTCAAAAAAATTTTTGTTTTAAAACATAGCTAAATTTCATTTTATAAATTTAAAATTCATTTAAAACCCCCAAAGAATTAAAAAAAATATTTTTTCAAGGTATTGGGTTCTCGGTATGTATTTATCCTCTTTATTTTGTATTGGACACGATTGTGGACACGGAACTTTTTCTTCCTATACTTGGGTGAATGATTTGTTTGGACATATTTCTCATGCTGTTATTATGGTTTTTATATAAATTTGAAAATTTTAAAAATTTATTTTTATGTTCCATTCTGGCCTTGGCAAAAATCACATCGACAACACCATCAATACACGGCACATTTGGATAAAGTAAAAAAAATTTTTTTTTGAATTATTTCCTAATTTCTACTATTTTTTGATTAAAAAATTCATTTTAATTTTAGAAAAAAATATTTTTGAAAAATTTATTTTCGAAAAAAAAATTTTTTTTTAATTTTAAGGATAAAGGTCACCCTTGGGTTACAGAAGAGGAGTACGAATCTAGTAATTGGATTAAAAAACATTTTGCCAAAATTCCTTTATCTGGACTTATTCGGTGAATTTTCTAAGACTATTTTTAAAATAAAAATAAAATTTAAAAAAAAAGCTGGAACCCAATATACACAATCGCTGGACTCCCCGATGGTTCTCATTTTTGGCCGTGGTCTAAATTATTTGAAAATAATGTTGATAGAATTAAATGTGTTGTTAGTGTTTCTGCTTGTTTTCTTTGCTCTTTTGTATCTTTAAAAATTAAAAAATAATTAAAATTAATTTTTATAGGTTATTCTCTCCTATATGAATTATAATTTGTGGAACTTTTTTAAATATTATTATGTGCCGTTAATGTTCCAAGTTGTGTGTTTTATATTTAATTGAATGTGTTTTAATGAAAATACAAGAAAATACACGAAAATACATTTTAATTAAACTTTTCCGGAAATTGTATTTTAGAGAAAACATAATTTTCCGGAAACTATTTCTATAGAAGAATAATTTTTCCGGAAAAAGTTTATCTATAAAAATACATTTCCGGAATGTATTTTAATATAAAAGTTTTCCGGAAAAACACATAATTTTCCGGAAAATATTTTCTATAGAAGAGTAACTTTTCTGGAATAAGTTTATCTATAAAAATATGTTTCCGGAACGTGTTTTTATGTACAAAGTTTTCCGGAAATAAATTTACACCTAATTTTCCGGAAAGTATTTTTATTTTATAGGTTTCCGGATACATAGTTTTCCGGAAAGCTTTGTATTTCTTTTAGAATATTTTAATCTTTTTTAGGTTTCTGGATGGTCATAATAACCTTTTTACAACACCAAGACGAGCAAATTGAAGTTTATGAAGAAGGGACTTGGGCATTTATGAAAGGGCAGCTACAGACTGTTGATAGATGTAAATAAATATTTAAATTAATTTTTAATTAGATTTTTGTATTTTTTAAGCTTTTGGATTTGGAATAGACAAAGCATTGCATCATATAACTGATGGTAGAAATTTTGGAGATTAATTTTAAAATTAAATTTAAATTTCAGGCCATGTAGCCCATCATTTCTTTTTTACTCGTATTCCTCATTATAATTTACCTAAAGCTACGGAAGCTGTTAAAAAAGTTTTGCAAAAATACCCTGGCGCGTATAAACATAAAAGTGCATATGACTTTTTAATTAAATTTTTATGGTGAATTTTATATTTAAATTATAATCTTTCCGGAAAAATGTATTCTACGAGAATATGTATATATGTATTTTCCGGAACAGTAATATAAAAATAAAATACATGTTTCCGGAAAAGTTATATATTCAAAGGAATTATTTTTTCTAGAAGAGTAAATACATGTGTTTTCCGGAAAACTCGTAACTTTTCCGGAAAGATGTGTTTGTGTTTAGTCGTTCTAATAGAATATATATTTTCCGGAACAGTAATATTAAAATAAAATACATGTTTTCCGAAAAAGTTGTATTCAAAGGAAAATACTCTTCCGGAAAAGCAATACTAAAATACATTGTGTTTTCAGTAAAACTCGTAGTATTTCCGGAAAGATGTGTTTGTGTTTAATCGTTTCCGGAAACTATTTAACTAAAAATACATTGTGTTTCATTTTGTTAATTAAGGTTAAATATTAAATTGGACTGTCTTGTTGGTAAAGGTACCGGTTTACTTAAATATCGTTCTACTGTTCACAATGATGAACAACTTAATAATAAAAAGGATAAATAAGTGACCTACTTAATTTTATTTTGTTCTCATTTTTGAATATTTTTTTTATTTTTGAAATTTTACATTCTGAAATAAAATTTAAAAATATTTTTTTATTTTTTTTTCTTTAAGTTGTGTTTATTTTTAAACTTGTCTGATTTTTCTGCTGACTTTAAAATAATTTTTTAAATAGTACAATTTTTATTTTTTCCTTCCGTGTTATTCTCTTTGTCTAGGAAATCAAAGATTAAATAGGTATTCAATTTGCAATATGTAGGGGAAGTTAGTTTTATAAACATAAATGTGTTTTTCTTATCTAAAATTTATTCTTAAGGATTTTTCATGCAAATGTTCAGTCAGTTATTTTATTTTTATTATTCATTTAAAAAATCGCTTTTCAATATTAAAATAATTTATTTTAAAAATCAGAATTTTCTTGTTTTTCTAATCAGAATTATTCTTTTATGTATCAGAATTAAATGTATTTCACATTTAAGACAATCAGAATATTTTTTTGTGTTTTAGAATAATTCAAAGATCAGAATTTGTATTTTCTTTTTTTTTGCATTAAAATGCAATTTAACAATTTTGGTGTAATAATTAATATTAATTAAAAATCGTTCGATTTAATTAAAATTATCAATGCATAATTATATTCCATTTTTAATAAGAAGAAATTGACAGGTTATTTCCCACCATCTTTTTTAAATTTAACTAAATTAATGTATTTTGCTTTAGAACTTGTAAAATCAGAATAATTATTAGGTTTGTGTTTTTTATATAAATCAGAATTTTTATTTTGTGTTTCTGTTTCAGAATAAAGCTGTGTTTTATAAGAAAATTCTGGTTGTATTTTTGTATTTTTTAAGTTTGTGTTTCATAGGTCAGAATAAGTTTATTTAAGTTTGTGTTTTTTCAGAAAAGTTTGTTCTAAATCAGAATTTCTATTTTGTGTTTTTATGTATTTCAGAATAACAAGTTTGTGTTTTATAGAGAATTCTGATTTTGAATCAGAATTTTTTGTGTTTGTGTTTTATAAGTCAGAATAAGTTATTTTTGTGTTTATATTATAAATCAGAATTAATTTTTAAAGTTTGTATTTTTTCAGAAAATTTTGTGTTTTTAAACCAGAATTAATTTAAAAATCAGAATTATTTTAATTTAAAATTCTGAATGTCTAATACACTTATCGAAACAACTAAAACAAATGGAAATACAATTTCTGATTCTAACAACAAAATTAATTCTTTCCCTAATTTAAATGAACTTCGAAATGCAATCCCAGCAGAGTGTTTTGAAAAAGTTTTTTTATTTTTTAAATTTTTTTCTGATTTTTAATTTTTAGTCTCTAATTCGTTCACTTTCTTATTTAATTTTGGATTTTTTAATTATTTATGGACTTTATTTAATTGTTGGGGTTGCTGAGGACAAGTTTGGGATTATTGGACTTTTGCTTTGGTAAAAAAATTTTTTTCTCAATTTATAAAATTTTTCTTCTTATTCCCTTTTTATTTTAAAAGTAAACCAATTTTTGTAGGTATTGGGTATTAGGTATGTTTTTATTCTCTATATTCGTTGTTGGTCACGATTGTGGGCACGGAACTTTTTCTTCTTATACTTGGGTGAATGATTTGTTTGGGCACGTGGCACATGCTCCTACTATGGTTCTTTAAGAAATTTATTTTTCAAAAATTCTATTTTTTATGTCCCTTATTGGCCTTGGCAAAAATCCCATAGACTACACCATCAATACACTGACACTTGGATAAAGTAAAAGAAATTTGAAAAAAATAAAGTTTCGTTTTTAAGGATATGAGCCATCCTTGGATACCCGAAAAGCTTTATTTATCTTTAAATTGGATATCCAAACATTATCTCAAATTTCCGTTGACTGGGTTTGTCAGGTAAAGGTTTAATTCTATTAATTTGACTATTGACTTAAAAATACAATTATTAAATGAAAACACATTTTTTGTGTTTTTCCGGAAAGTATATATAATTTAAAGAAAACACATTTGATATTAATATTCTTTCCGGAAAGTGTGCTACAATAAACTTTTTCCGGAAAGTTTTATAGCTTAAAAACCCATAATTTTCCTTAAAGTTTATATTTCAAATAAATATATAAAATTTAATTCTCTAATAATTTATTTCCTTTCTTTAGTTGGATTCCATTATATACAATATTTGGTATTCCCGATGGTTCTCATTTTTGGCCGTGGTCTAAATTATTTGAAAATAATACTGATAGAATTAAATGTGTTGTTAGTGTTGCTGCTTGTTTTCTATGTGCCTATGTATTCTGATTTAAATTTAAAAAATTTTTTTAAATTTATTTTAGATAGCTTTATATTGTTCAAATTATAATTTATGGATATTTTTTAAATATTATTATGTTCCGGTTATGTTCCAAGTTTTGTGTTTCATATTTATTTAAATGTGTTTTAATGAAAATACATTTTAATTAAGCCTTTCCGGAAATTATATTTTATCGAAAACACAATTTTCCGGAAACTATTTCTATAAGAGAATAATTGATTCCGGAATAAGTATATTTATGAAAAATACATTTCCGGAACATGTTTTTATGTAAATCTTTTCCGGAAATTATATTTAAAAGAAAATACATAATTTTCCGGAAGGTTTATACTTCAATGAAATAAATATTATAATTCCCCAATAATTTGTATTTTATATATTTTTCCGGAAAGATTAAAAATTAATTTAAATAAAATAAAATTTTAGGTTTCTGGTTAGTTATGATCACTTATTTACAACACCATGACGAACAGACTGAAGTTTATGAAGATGGAACGTGGGGGTTTGTGAAAGGACAGTTACAGACAGTTGATAGATGTAAATAAATATTAAATTTAATTCTTTGTATTTTTCTGTATTTTTTAAGCTTTTGGATTTGGAATAGACAAAGCAATGCATAACATAACTGACGGTAGAAAAATAAAATTAATTTAAAAAATTTGCTTAAATTTCAGGCCATGTAGCCCACCACCTCTTTTTTACGCGTATTCCACATTACAATTTACCTAAAGCTACAGAAGCAGTTAAAAGAATATTAATGGAAAAATACCCGGGAACATATAAATACAAAAAATCATATGACTTTTTACTTGAATTTTTATGGTAAGCTTGTTGAGACTTTTGTTTATATATGTTTGTGTTTTTCCGGAAGAGCCTCATAAAAATATAACTCAAAAATACAACAATATAATGCTTCCGGAAAGTAAAAGAAAATTATTAAATTTTCCGGAATATAATACATTTAACTAGAAATACATAAATTAAATATTTCCGGAAAATACATTTAAAGAAACACATAATTAAATTGTTTCCGGAAAAACACATAGTCCTTATAAATAAATACATTTTTCCGGAAAAATACAGAGTCTTCATACATCTTTTCCGGAAAATACATTAAAAACACATAATTTAAGCGTTTCCGGAAAAATACATAGTCCTTATAAATACATACATTTTTTCCGGAAAAACACATATTCCTGCATAATTCTTTTCCGTAAAATTTATTTATACATAATTAAATTGTTTCCGGAAAAATACAGTCAATATAAAACACAAAAGTTTACGGAAAAAGAAAATACATTTTATTTATTTTCTAGGTTGAATATTAAACTGGATTACCTTGTTGGAAAAGGTAGTGGTTTACTTAGATATCGAAATAATATCCGGAATAATGACCAATTTAAAACAACAAAAAAAGAATAATTAAGACTTTAATATTCTCGATGTTTTTCATTTTGTTGAATTTTATTTTTTCTTTAATTTAAATATAAAATTGTTTATTTAATATGTCAATTTGTATTTGCCTATTTATCCAATAGTTTGAACATTCAATAAATGAATTCTGTAACTTTATCATATTTTATTTTTAATTAATTTAAACATATTAAAAATTATTTATATTTTTTAAATATCTTTAGACCTCTATTAATCAAAAATATTTATTTTCAAAATCCATAAACGTCTGGATTAAAAAGGTATTCACAATGAGAGCCATGAAAGCCTCTTGCACAGCTAAAATTAATTTTTAGTAAAAAATTTTTTTGGTAAATTCGTTTAATATCTTATATGTATTCCTTCCGGAAAAGGAATATTTATTTCCGGAAACTACTAAAAATTAAAAAAATTACTGGCAAAAAGGTTTGAAATTTCCATTGCCCACCCAAGCTGCATAACACTTCCCTCTATTATAACAATATTTAGAATAACTTTCCGGACATGGACGTGTCAGAGTAATCGTATCTATCGAAGCAGTTGAATTTTTTGTTGAATTATTTAATGCTGGTGGAGGTGTTGGTGGAGGTATAGGAGGAGGTATAGGAGGAGGCAACGGATGAGGTAAAGCTTTAATTTTAATTAAATAAAAAATTGAAATTAAAAATAAAATATATTTTTTAATCATTTTTTAAATTAAAATAAATAAAAAATAAATTTCTGATTTTATATTAAATAAATTTTAATTTTGGAATATTCTAAAAAACCTTTTTGATTTTTAATGTTTTTTGAATTTTATTTTTAAATTTAAAAAAATTTAATTTTAATGTAATAAAATAAGCCTTATTAAAATAAATTTGAGGGAAAGAAAATTAATTTTATAATTTGATTTTTTACTTAAAATTGGACATAAAATTAGAAAAGAAAACGCTTCCAGAGAGTACAGCAAGTATGTACCCTCCGGAAAAATACTTCCGGAAAATAATAATTTTAATGTTTCCGGAAAATTATTTAAAAAATAAAAGTATTGTGTATTTCCGGATATAATTACAGCTGAATATAATTAATATTCTACCGTGTATTTTCCTTCCGGAAAATATAATTATCGTTTATTCCGGAAAACATACTTATATACTTTCCGGAAAACATTGATATATATTACTGTTTCCGGAAAATTATATTTAGTATTTTCGGAAAACACATATTTCCGGAAAAGAATTTTAAATGTATTTTCATGTTATGCCTTCTGGAAAATAAACATTTAAGTATTTTCTTATAAAAATACAAAAAGGCGTTATGTGTTTTCTAATTCAGGTTTATTTTATTTTAATTCAATTTTAAAATTGAATAAAAACACCATTAGAATATTTTTAAAAATTAAAATTAAATTTCTACAAAACCAAAAATTTATTTTTTTATTTATTTAATTCAAAAAATGTTTAAAAAATATTTTTTATTTTCTCTCTTAATTTTTTATTTAATCAAAATTAAAGCTTTACCTCCTCCTTTAAACAAAAATAAAATTAAAAAATCAACAGAAAAAAAATATTACGAGGAAAAACCAGAAATACCCCCTACACGTGATTGTCCGCCTTATTTAGAAAAATATTGTTATCATGGAGGGACGTGTTTTGCTGCTCATGTTGGTAATGGAAATTATAGGGCATCTTGCCGGTTTGGTTTAAAATTAAAAATAAATTTTTTAAATTTAATTTTAGTTGTAAACCAGGTTGGCGTGACCCTCGTTGTTTGCATCTTATTGATCTAGGCCTCTATGATATTTTTTAAAATTAATAAAGAGAAAGAGATACATATGTGTTAAAAATCTAAAGAATTCTTTAAATTTGTATTTTTTCTAATAAATTGTATTTTCCGGAAAATTTGTATTTTTTTGAAGTAAAATAAGCTTTCCGGAAAATACAAAACATTTATTTTTAAATTATATATTCATTTCGGAATTGTCTAATAATTTATTCAGAAATAAACTTTCCGGAAAAAAAATATTATAAAACGTTCCGGAAAATTTATTCTTAAATAGAACTTTCCGGTGTTTCCGGAATTTTTTCCGGGATTTCTGAGTTATATTGCTTACGGAATTTATTCCGCAAGTATATCTTTCCAGAATTTTTTAATTATTTAAAAAGGGGTATTTTAAACACTAAATATTTTTAATAAGCAGAGAAAAATAGCTAGTAAAATGTAAGTGATTAAACTAAATTAAATAGCAAACAGTTTTGTTTTGTTCTATAACAAGTAAAGAATCATGACATTTTTCTTTTAAATTATTTTAGGGTTTAATATGTAGAATTTTATTTTTATCTTTACCGTGGCAGGTCCGATGTGGATGGTTATCATTTATTACCCAAGTTTAAGGTCTTCACAAGCTTCCCATCCATGCCTTTTGACCGTCAATTTTTTTTAAAATCCTTTTTTATTTGTTAAAAATATTTTTACAATTAGAATAAATGGTTTATTCTTTACTAGGGATCGCGCCGACCCGATCCACGATTCCCGAAAATCGCGAATTCCCTACGATTTGTTTGCATCTTATTGATCTAGGCTTCTATGATATTTTTTAAAGTTAATGAGAAAGATAAATATTTTAAAAATATAAAGAATTTTTTAAATTTGTATTTTCTTTACCATAAATTGTATTTTCCGGAAAATTTGTATTTTTTTAAATATAATAAACTTTCCGGAAAATGATAAACATTTATTTTTTAGTTATATTCTTTCCGGAAAATATTAATATATTTATTCTTTTCCGGAAATCTAAATAATGTGTTTTTTCCGGTTATATCCTTTCCGGAAAATTCTTTGTATTTTCTTTGTATTTTTATTTCTCAATCCGGAAATCTAAATGAAGTATTTTTACCGTTATATTCTTTCCGGAAAAATCTAATATATTTATTCTTAAATAGATTTTCTTTCCGGAAAATATCTAATATAGTTATTCTTTTCCGGAATTTTAAATAATGTGTTTTTTCCAGTTATATTCTTTCCGGAAAACACTTTATATTTCTTTGTATTTCCGGAATTATTTCTCAATCCGGAAATCTAAATTAAGTGTTTTTCCCATTATATTCTTTCCGGAAAAATTTAATATATTTATTCTTAAATAAATTTTCCGGAAATCTAAATAATGTGTTTTTTCCAGTTATATTCTTTCCGGAAAATTCTTTGTATTTCTTTTTTCTTTCCGGAATTATTTTTCAATTGTTTAAGAAGGAGTAATTTGAACTTTAAATATTTCTACTATAAAAGTAAAGGGAAAATAGAAATTTAAAAGTGATAAAATTAAATTAAATAACAAACAGGTTTGTTTTGTTCTATAACCATTGGAGAATCTCGACATTTTTCTTTCAAATTAATTTAGGTTTTAATATAAAGAAAAGTTTTGTTATTTTATAGTGTGATAGGTCCGGAGTGGATGGGTTATCAAAAATTTAAACCGAATTCAAAAAGGACTTACTTTTACTCTATCCATCCGCGATCCCTTGACCGTCACACTTTTTTTTTAATTTTTTTTAAATTTATTAAAAATACATATTTTTTTGCTTGAGAGTTGAATATAGAGATGACCATAAACGAAAATTTTCAAGTCTCCAGACCAGATCCCAAAATCCTTTTTCTTTCCTAAACGAAACACGAAAAGACCCAAGAAAGTCTAGGAAAAAAGGAAAAAAGGAGGACCGTCTCATTATTTTCTTTAGTAAGAGAAAAATTTCTATTTAATAGGAAAGGAGACCGCTCCAAAAGTTGAAGACTTTGAAGCCCTATAACCTTTCGATTTTGGGGTCGGAGCCGAAAAAGCCAAAAATTGGCAATATGTTATCGACTATGCTCTACACGATGGTGCAAAAATAATTATAAAATTTTTGGTGACAGTTCGATAAGTTCCCCTTGTTAGTCTCAAAAAACTCAAAAACCGTCTTGGACGTCTCTATTACTTAATACTCTAACGTCACTTCCTTTCCGGAAAATTTTTTACTATAAAAGCCGTTCAATTCTCTTCACTTCATTGTAACTTAATTTAAACAAAACACAAATTTTAGAATGTTTTTGCGAAACAAATTTATTATTTCCGTCATCGCAATTATTTTTATCTTTTTTTGGTTGGTGCCGAAGTGTTCATCAACTGCTGGTTTGGTGATTGGAGGGGATTATCAAAACAATACAAATAGCAGCACTAAAGGGTTTTACAATCAGTTGACTTCTAGCAAGGATTTGGATGCTGGGGTGAGTTTAAAAATAGGGGAAGGGAAGGGAAGAGGGAGGGGAGGTTTAAATTCTCGAAGACAATCTTAACATTTTTGTGATAGGCTCTTAGTCTAAAGACTCATGGTCTGAACGGCTTGATTCAATCTATTGGGGGTTTCGAGTCTTTTTTAGTGC